AAAAAAGTCCGGTCCTCCCCCCCCCCCCGATACTACGAAAGAAGCAAAAAGGTCCAATTCCCCCAATAGTCTCTGCTCGTTGCCATCTCCGATTCATTCCATAGTACATTCGCTCCATGCCTAATCAATTATCCACCCATCCCATCTTCTTCTCCCCCCATCTCATTTCCAGAATATACCCTGTGTGTGAGGTGTCATTCCACAGAGCCATATTCCCCTCCTTCTATTCCATTCCATTCCTCTTTCCAGTCTCCATTCTTCATGTTCGTTCATCTGAATAATCCCCCCTAGGCCACGCCCCCTTTTCTGCGCTTCTTCCTCTCGTCGTCGCGTTTCACAAAGCCCCATCCCTTTTTATCCCTGTTTTTTTTTGTATTAACACCTCAATAGCCACGTTTTCGGGAAAGTTCAAAGGATTCTGACGTCGAATTCGGGCTATTCTGGCATGTTTTCGGGCCGGGGCGTCTCGACAAACGTTCTCTGCTAGCCTACCCTTCTTCCCTCAACAACTTTGCTAGCTGACCTACATACTTCCCTAGTGGCTACTGCGAGCTTGTGCTCCTCTCCAATGATCTCAGCTAGTTGCCTTTCTCCTCCAAGGTTCCCTGCTAGCTTGCTGAAATTCAAAATAGTCTCTGCTCGCTTGCCCAATCCTCTAAAAACATTTGCTAGCCTGCCAATTTCCGAAATGACCTCTGCTCGTTTCCCCGCTCGGCAAGAGGTATTGCAAGTTTCCCAAAAAAACCAGTCCTCTGCTAGCTTGCCTTTTCCTCAAAAATCGCAGCTAGCTTGCCTTTTCCGAAAGAATCTCTGCTAGCTTGCCTTTTCCCAAAGAATCATTGCTAGCATTTGCTCCCCCTAATTTCCCAAATGCTCTTTGCAAGCCCTCCTCTCAATTTGTAGCCGAATCAAAAATTGCAAGCCAAAATTCCCCTCAATTTCAATCAATATCGCCCTCTATTTCCCTAACAATAGATCTATTCTTGTCTAGAAGGGGGAAAGGGCAGAACAATTGGGCCCAGCGTATTAGACCAATAATCACTAGCTTTTTTAGTTTCTGCACGCATTAGAAAGCAAAAAATAGCTTAGAATAGTAGCATAAAAATTCCGCAAGGATCCGTGCTTGATTGCCTAACGAGACGGGAAATTCTAGACCTTTTAAAGGGCCAATGAAGTCACATGGAGACCCGCAGCATTCGATGAGAAAAGTCGAAGCTGTTCCCCAAAATACTCCGGAGTTTCCACAAAGGTCCTTGCTATCTCGCACCATTTAAAGGACCACCGAAGCCAAATCCACAGCCAAAAATGCTGATTTAACCAACTAAAAGCCCCGCAATTCAATTAATAATTTTTCCTTGCCCTGCCCTTACCTATGCAATAATCCAAAACAGTCGATTGCACTTTGTATTCAACTCGAAAATAAATCATTGGTAGAACGGAATTGGTTAGGAAATTCTATAAATAGAGAGAGAGGAGGGGAAAGAGAGAGAGGAGAGAGGGAGGGAGAGAGAGAGAGGGAGAGAGAGAGAAAGGCGAGCAATTGTCTACGAAAAGCGTTACAAAGCGTTGTTTTCCGGCCGCGCAGTTAGCGTGGCAATTTTTCTAGATCGAGCTATCACAGCGGCCCGGCGCCTAATAAAACGTCCGGTAGAATTGGAAACCAAGAAGACCGCAACGCGTGCGATAAACGCGTCGCGCCATGAAGCCCTGCGCAGCCAAAAAAGCTGCTATTTCGCGCCCCAGGCAAAAACCCGTAGGCCTTTCCGGGGGGCCCGGGGACCGAACCCATGGGCGGTTGCGCTATGCGTTAGTTTTCTCGTTAGATTATTCCATTACGCAATCAATTGCGGGGAGATACGTTAGAGCGCTTAGTAAGTTAGTCTGCTGCCACGATCCCTTTAAAGGTGGCGTGATCGAAAAGCTACACTGAATCCCTAAAGAATGATCCCGGAATTATCAATAATCTTTGCTAGCCGGCCCAGTGATTGGGGCGTTCCCAAATAGTCTCCGCTAGCTTCCCCATATTCCCAGAGGGTTCCCAAATAGTTGTCACTATTCCTTTAATGGGAGAGTGACACTTAGTTTCCGCTTCATCTCTCTCGCACTCTGACGTCTTCAAGCAGTTCAGCTGCACTTTCCCCCCGTGGCGAAGTTGGTGTCCCGTACCCACTGAGAACCATGTTCACCAGACCGTCTCCCCGCCCTGTCTCTATCGATCCGTTAAACCGTGAAAATGGGGCAGGGCCGAAAAGCCTGTGGCCCTCCAGGGCATTCAATTAGAGACGAGAGAGAGAGAGAGAGAGAGAGAGAGAGAGAGAGAGAGAAAGCGAATGGAAGGGCCACCATCCCAATGTCCAATTAATATTTGGGGCGAGAGAGTAGTGGGAGAGAGAGAGAGAGAGTGAGAGAGATAGAGAAAAGCCGAAAAAACGAGGGGCAGCCTCGAATTTGCACCTGGAGGGGGAACACGCGCTCACCCCCCCTTCGAGACATACATTCCGAGACGCTCCGCGTATTTTCGAGCGCCACGGGGATCGCCTTTAGGGGGGTGGTTGGGAAATAATGGGGAGTCTGAGCTTTGATCAGTCCTAAGGGCTCTCTGCTAGCCTGCCTAGCCTTTCAAGTGTTCCCTAATGGTCTCTGCTAGCTTGCTTTGTCTGAATCCCGCAAACCGACCTTTTCGAAAGGATCTCTACTAGCCAGCTATCTAAAACCACACCAAAATTCTAAAAATCCAGTGTCCCAAGGAATCTCTGTTAGCTCGCCCTGGTTCGACGTCATCAAACAGTTCGGCTAGGCTTCCAAAAGAATCCCTGCTAGCCTACTCACAACTCTTCCGCATTCCATAAGGGATTCTGTTAGCTTGCCCTGGTCCGACGTCATCAAGCAGTCGGACTATGGGCTCCGAAAGGATCTCTGCTAGCCTGCCCTCATTTTCCTACTTCCCTAAATAGCCTCTGCTAGTTGTACGGCAGAACCTCCAAAAAACGCTAAAATAAATTTTCCTAAAGGATTTCTGGTAGCTTGCCTCCCGCATAATTTCTTTTGGAGTTCAGAAATTTCCGCAAAGAACCGCTGCTATACTGCCTTTTTCCGGCTTCTCCAGAATATCAGAATCTCGCTTCTCATCGTCCATTCCGACCAGTCTACCCTGCCCCAATTTTAATTCGGCTAATTTTCGCTTCCCTTCCGCTTAATGGCTGATTGGTCGGTGTGAGAAAGAGAGAGAGAGAGAGAGAGAGAGAGAGAGAGAGAGAGAGAGACAACCAGTGTGAGAGTCTCCCCCCTCAATTGCCTGTATTTCTATAGAAACAGCGTGTCTCTTCTCCCCCTATTCCCTCTAGGGGCTCCCAGGTGATTGTTGCCAGATGTTTTTCCCGATTCTTCACATTTCATAAGGTTACCGGCGACCGGAAAGTCTCCAGATTCTGGTTATCGATCCGGAAAACGAATTTTTAGAGCCCTAACCAGAGGCCCGTTTCCTTAAGAATCTCTGCAAGCCTGCCTAGGAGCCGCTCCTCAAGGATCTCTGCTAGCTTGCTAAATTCTAACCAGGGCTAAGGGAGGCTAGCAGCGATCATTTGGGGCACCGGAAGTTGCCTTCAATGGACCTTTAAACAATCTACTCGCGCTGTAGACAAAGAATCTATGCTAGACTGTCCTAAAGGATCTCTGCTAGTTCGCCTATGGCTAAGCCGGCACAGGGCATGCTAGCAACGATTTTTGAGGAAAAGTTGTAGTTTCCGAATTCTTGAATATACTTTTTTTAATGTACATGTTTTCCCTCTCTTTTTAATACCTAAAAAATCATTAAAAAAACTCTGTTTTCAGCATCGGCCCTCCCAGCCGCGGCTTCATATGCTGGCGGCTTTCAGCTAGGACAGAAACGCGCGTCGCACAACTGTACGCTCGCTAACTACCGTACCTCGTGTGTCTGGCACCCAGAAAAACGTGGGTTTCAACCGTATACTACAGTGATTCATTAGTTTCTGAGTATGCTACAGTAATTGTTCTACCAACTACAGAAATCAATAAAAATTTGCCTCTTTTTTAAATAACAAATTCTCAAACAAATTTAACAAAAAAAACGTGTGTTTCTACGGCATCATCGAGTGATTTTTTTAATTTCTGAAAATGCTGCAGTAATCCATAAGGTTTTTGAAAGGCTACCGTAATCGTCAAAAATGGGCTGTTTTTTACAGCCACCTACCTCAAAAAAATCTCCGGAAGCCCATTTTATTGGTCTGCAAGCTAAATCACTGACTGTGGACGCCGGAAATTGACGAGTTGAAGCCGGTAGATCATGTAAAACCACAAAAACAATGTTCCATTTTTTGCTGGGCCATTTCCCAAATTTCCGCCACCCAAATTGACGAGGGGATGGGAGATGTTTGGCTGGATTTTCTGAGAGGCTTAGGTTCAGGCTTAGGCTTATGCTTATGCTCAAGCTTGGGCTTGGGCTTAGGTTTGGGCTTAGGCTTGGCTCAGGTTGAGGCTTAGGGCTTAGGAATATGCTTAGGCTTGGAAATAGGCTTGGGCTTCGGAATAGACTTAGCTTAGGCCTCTGCGTAGCTTAACTAAAGTTTGGCTTAGCTTAGGCTTGTGCTTAAAAAGGCTTGGGCGGCTTAGCTTTAGCCTTAGGCTTAGGCGAAGGCTTCAGCTAAGCTTGGCTTAGGCTTGGGTGTAAGCCAATCCCTAGTTCACCAATGTTCTCACCGGTCTGAGAAAACACACAAACAAATTTGGGCCCGTGGAGGGGGATCAATTTCGCCCCACCGCCGCCGCGGCCGCCAGTTTTTTGGACTTTTGCCAATTAGGGGATGGGAGGGAGGGACGGGGGCTATGAGAAACACGTCAAGAACACCGGCGCGCATCCCTTGAAACAAAGACTCATCATATTTTCGTCAAATTTCCGGGGGTACTGTAACTTCCGGGTGCCTTGAGGGGTCCTTTAAAACCGCTAATTTCAGCTGAGAGAATCCGATATCAGCTGTTCCACAATGGGTACCTGCCAGAGTGCCGAAGAGAAACAATTGGCAATGAAGAGCAAGGCGATCGATAAGGATATGATGCAGAGTCATCTATCACAACAGAAGGTCGTCAAACTGTTGCTGCTCGGTGAGTTTGTCGTTTCCGGTTTTTAGTTAAATCTCAACAACAAGGAATTAGGTTAGAGACCAGGCAGGCTAGCAAAGATCACTTGGCAAAGAGAGTGCTCAAGTTTATAGCCCAAGTCCGGATTTAATCGTCCTCCAAAAACGCAAGATAGCAGAAATTTCTAAAAACCAAATTATTTAATTTGATGCAGCCTGTAGTCTCACGATTAGCGGGCATGCTTGCAGAGATCCTTGAGGAGAATTCACCGGATTTAAATTCTTGTAGTTTGTAGCCTGTAGTGGCCTTACAAATCCTAGGCAAGCGAGCAAAGTTCTGGCGCAGAATTTGGGTTATTTGGACTATTACCGCCTGCAGTATCCCGATTAGGCTGTAGAAAATCAAAAAAGGCAAGATCTGGCTCGCTTTTTAGCTAAAAATGCGCACCCCTATTTTCCGGTCATTCAGAAAACACTGCAAAAGAGCCCTAGACAAACCCTTAAATTATGGCGAGACTAATTATTCGAGTTATGTCTATCCGTCTCATCGCCGCAAAATTGCAGGTGCCGGCGAGTGTGGGAAGAGTACGGTGCTCAAGCAAATGAGGTACGTTTGACGTTCAGAAATTACGAAAATATCCTCTTAAAAAATGGGAGCTAGAGTAACCCTATATTTACAAATTCGAACTTTATGAAAACGCAGTTTTAACGAATAATAACCTCATGATTCCTTAAAATACAGTAATCCAATGATTTGCATTTCATGCATGAAAGAAATAGAATCTTTCTGCAAAAGGCTCTTGAAAAAATCCCCTGAATCAAACTAGCGCTACGCCTCTTAACGCCCAAAAAAATTACAACGTACGGAAGGCTAAACCGGAAATTCCAAATCAGACCCCATTACGCCTACGCCCATTTTTGAGTCATCGGGTAGGACAGAAATCGGTCACGTAGCTACACAACTCCAAAAACTCCACGATTGATCACCCCTTGAGACAATGCGCTAATGTCCATCCATGTCCGACTACATCGTCAAAATTCTCAGCCCAATTACGCCATGTAATTTCCCAGGATGGCCCTGTTGAACTTGTACTTTTGCTTGTCGCGCTTCTCGGAAATGCCCAGAATTCTCGAGACAAAAATTATTGGCCAACGAAGCAGCGCAAAATAAGGGCCCATTAAATTGAGGGCTCCAGAAAAGGGGCGTAATTTGGCGTGAAGCGGAAGTCGAACTTTTGTTTGGCTGCAAAAGCTAATTAGAGGCTAGAGCAAACTAGCAGAGATCTTTCGCGGAACTAGTAAGGGCGAAATAGCAGAGATCCTTGAGGAAATTGGGGGCGACCTAGCGACGATCTTTTGAGCAAGCTGAGGGGGAAGGCTAGCAAAGATCTTTGTGGAATCGGACGAGAGAGGGGCAGGCTAGCCGAGATCCTTGAGAAACTGGCGACTCGACTAGCAGAGATTATTGCGGAATTGAGGGCAATCCAGAAGTGATCATTGGCAACACCAGCAAGGACACGCTAGCAGAGAAATTTGAGGAAATTGGGCCAAAGCGAGGGATAACTAGCAGAAACCTCTCAGGAATTATGAGGGCTGACTAGCCGAGATTCCTGAGGGAGTTGAGGCAAGCCGGCAAAGATCGTTGAGGAAATGGGACCTAGCTAGCAGGGATTTTTGAGGAATAGGTAGCAGGTAACTTCATAAATTGGTTGTCAACTAGCAAAGATCTTTGACGAAACACAGTACCCTCAATTTCTAGAATCCTGCACGACCACGGCTTCACAGAAGAAGAAGCCCTCCAACAGAAGGGGGTCGTCTACAACAATACAGTACAAGCCATGGCCACCGTACTCCGAGCACTCCCACAGCTCAGTCTACAGTTCTCCGATCCGGCTAGAGAGGTAAGGCTTCGAAAACTTAGGGGTAGGCTTAGGCTTAGACTTAAGCTTAGGCTTGGGCTTAGGCTTAGGCTTGCGCTTAGGCTTCGGCTTAGGCTTAGGCTTAGCTGAGGCTTGGGCTTAGCTTAGGCTTAGCTTAAAATTCGGCTTAGGCCTAACAATGGTTTAGGCTTGGGCTTCGCCTAGGATTCGGCTTAGGATTCGGTAAAGCCCAAAGTACCGTAGCAAAAATCCCTCGGAAATCCTCCCAGAAAGAAGGGCAAGAGTACGAAAAGCACCTGCCTACGGGGTGCCCAAAAAGAAGTGAAAAAGCTGGCATTTCAGCAGGAATGAGCGCAATAGAGAATAAAAATTCGGGGTCAAAAACAGTCTGGGAAAGGGGAAATTAATTTCAAAAGAGCTACGAGTTTTTCAAAACTTCTAAAAATTCTGTGATTGCAAAAACTTATTTTTAGCCCAAAGAATGAGGCAAATCGCATTTTAAGCTTTTACAACCCAAATTTGCCATTCGAAAACCCCCTTTTCCAGAATTGACCTGTATCTAGCGAATCCACTCCTAGCCCTCGAGAAGAGCTTCTACCACCTTGTGAAGTCGAGGCTTGCCCATCTTTTCGCTTGATTCTTCTTTCTTCATTTTTACCCTGGAATTAATCAGATTAAAATTATTTAAATAATTAGATTAAGATTTAATATTTTCAATTTAAACGATTATATTCTTTTTAAAATTCTCAAAAAACGATAAAATTCAAGTTTAAAAATTACAAAATTGTCGCAAAAAAGGTTGAAAATAATCTCTAATAAATTCCAATTTGTGGAGACAATTCATTTTTTAACTTAGAATTCATAAAACTTACAAGAATTTAAAAAGTATAGTAAAGCTCGGAAAAGCACAGCAAACCACCTCCAAAAATCCTCGAAATTTCCAGGCGGACGCGCGGATCGTGCTGGACGTGCTGAAGGCGGGCCAGGAGTCCGAGCCGTTCAGCCCCGAGCTGGCGAAGGCGCTGAAAGCATTGTGGAGTGACAAGACCGTTAGGGATGCCTGCAATCGGGGCAATGAATTCCAGCTCACCGAGAGTGCACCATAGTGGGTTTTATAGCAAAAAAACTTTCAAAGCCTTTAGAGTCAAGGAAAAGCTCGCGAAAAAATTCGATGCATAGAAAAACATCAAAAAACGCGTAAAAGTGTTGAAAACAGATTTTAAATTAGCGAAATAACTTTTTTTATCAACAAAATCGTCGAAAATCCTGATTTTCGAACTTCTCGACAACGAAAAACGCTCGAAAACTGTTACTAAATTCGTTTCTAAATTCTCAAAAGCCTCCAGAGCCCTGAATCCCTTTAAAAAACGCTCAGAAAATGTCTCAAATCGCATTCTTTAAACCTTAAATCACTCTAAAAATAATAGAAAAGCTCGAAAATAGCTACAAAATAAAACGTTCTCATTCAAAAAGCTAAAAAATCCCATATTTTTCAGCTTCCTCGACAACCTGGAGCGAATCTCGATGCCCGACTATAAGCCGTCAGAGCAGGATATTCTCCTGTCTCGGATAAAGACCACCGGAATCGTCGAGGTCAAGTTCCAGATGAAGAATGTCGATTTTCGGTGAGTAACTATGAACTAAAAACCCTATCAAAACCGCAAAAAGATAAAAAACAACTACAGGAAAAAAACCTAATAAAATTTAAAAAAAGCCTATACCGATAGGGGGCACGGTCGAAGGGGACCAATGCCGGTATGGGCACCGTCGATAAAGGGGATCAGCCGGTATAGGGGCAGGAGATGGGGACCATTGGGGGTTAAAGGGTGCTAATGCACTTGGGGGGGCAGTCTGGATTTTGACTACGAGACGCTCCAAACGCCGTTTTTTAAACTCGACGCCTCTGGAGAAGCTAAGCTAAGATTAAGCCTAGGCTTAGCTTCATACAAACGAAGCCTGAGCTTAGCTTGAGCCAAGCTAAGCTTAGTTCTAAGCTAACCCATAAATGACCCCATTTTGACCTCGTAAGAATTTTAAGCTCAAGATAAGCTTAGCTTGGGCTTGGGTTTAAGCCTAAGCCTAAGCTAGGCTTAGTTAAAGCTAAGTTAAGCCTAGGCTTACGTTGAAAACCAAGTAGCTTAACCGGAGCTCCTCGTAACCCCTTACTACCAATTTTGGACTGCCCCCCCCCCTCCAACTGCATACCGCATAAAAAATACAAACTACATGGTTAAGTAAAATCCTAAGCTATAAATTACAGTGTTCTAAACGTTAAAGAAAAACTTAAACCACAACCTACAAAGCTAGGAATGTTGATTTTCATGGTTTAAAACGCCAAACCACATAATGCAAAAAGTAGAGAAAATTATAAACTACAAACAAAACCTAATAAACTAAATGAATGCCTAAACTACTAACTCCAAGCGCCATACCCTAAATTAAAACCTAAACTCCAAACTCCAGAGTCTTCGACGTCGGCGGTCAACGATCAGAGCGAAAAAAGTGGATCCATTGCTTCGAAGACGTGAACGCCATCATTTTCATCGCAGCCATCTCCGAATACGATCAAGTGTTGTTTGAGGATGAGACCACGGTTAGTAAACAAAAAAATTAAAAACGTAAAACTATTTTCTAAATAGTCTATAAAACTATATTCCCGGCTTTAGAACCGTATGATCGAGTCGATGCGCCTGTTCGAGTCGATCTGCAACTCCCGTTGGTTCATCAACACATCAATGATTCTCTTCTTGAACAAAAAGGATCTTTTTGCCGAGAAAATTCAGCGCACGTCGATCAAGATTGCATTTCCGGAGTATAAAGGTGAGCAACAACAGTTTTTTTTAAATGAGGGGCAAAAATAAATCTAGATGCATGCTTTGCAAAAGTAATTTAGCGTCATAAACGCTCGGGAAAATCTAGAAACACATAAATTAACTAAAAAGCTGCTAAAAGTGCGTCCAAAACTATTTCTAAGCTTTTACAGACAAAACGAAAGCAAAATTCGTCTTTTCCAACGTCGAATCGAACTTATAAAAGCGCTAAACCCCAGAAACCCTTTAAGCAACGAAAAAAAACATTCAGGAGGCCAAAACTACGATGAAGCCGTCGCTTATATCGAGGAGAAGTTCGAGGCGCTGAACGCCAACCCGGAGAAGACGATATACATGCATCAGGTAGGCTTGGGCTTAACTTTAGCTTCGGCTTCGGCTTCGGCTTGGCTTCGTCTAGAACCTGCTCTAAAAAACTTCTCTAGACCTGCGCCACGGACACGAATCAAGTGCAAATGATCCTCGACTCTGTCATCGACATGATCATCCAGGCCAACCTACAGGGATGCGGTCTCTACTAAATTCACATTTTTATCTTTTATTCTTACTTATGACACTTCTATCAATTCCAAAACATAAACTAGTAGATTGCTTTTCTAGATTCTCCAATTTTTTCGACAAATCAAAAATTTTTTCTACTTTCAAATCACTAAATCTATTTTCTAAATTCAAAACTATCCCTTTTCGACCTCGCCAAACCAGAATCTAGTTTATAAACTATCAAAACCTCTCTACCAAGCTTCTACTTTCTAAACGAAGTCCAAAACGAAGCCCGGAAAGGGCTACAAAATGGGTTCCACTGTTTCTAGTCTACTCTAATCGATAAATCGCACCAAAAAGGTTCTTTTAAAAGATTTCTCTCGCCAATTTGACTTTCTTATGCTTACTACACCGCTTTTCACCCCCAGATCTCCCCCAAAAATCTTGCGATCTATAATCTCTTCATGATCTCTCGCTTCTCCTCCCCTTCCCCGAAATTCCATATCTATTAGGTCGCTATTGCTCAACTAGTAGACCGAACGAAAGACACGAAAAACATACAATCAAAACGAATCTCTCACCCCAAGAAGCAGCTTCTCCTCCTTGTCCTTCGCTTCCGCTTCTTCTGTTCTCGCCCGCTTCATCCCTTCTCGTCGACGAGCGATCGACGTTTCCTATGAAAACAAGTATATTGTTCGTGTGTGTACACTTCATAATTCACGCCGAGTGAACTCCTTGATGATGATGAGACCAATGTATTCTCCAATTTGTGATGTTTCCTGTTCCAATTCAACCGAATAAATCCAATGGTTATAACGAGTTTATTCCGTGACTAAAATGGCGGGTGGGGAGGCGGGCGAATAGATACGATACAACGGGGGGAACAAGTAATCGCTAGAAAATCGGGGGAAAATGTGTTTTAAAGGGGCGCGGACAAGGCAAAGTCTCGATGGGGATGAACTGGGAGTAGATGGTGAGGGCCACAAAAAGAGAACGGGAAAATGGGGAAGGAACAACCGAGATGTGTGACGATCGATCAAAGGAGGCATAGATAGTAGGTAGAGGAGAGGGAGAGAGTGGCGAGAGAAAGAGAGAACAAATCGAATAGACGCACGCACAGAAAACAGAAAAAAAAACCGGGGGATCTTTGTATTCTGCTTAGATGTCGTCGACGGCAATCTCCTCGCCGTCGTGGGCCTCGATCGTCTCGACCTGCTTCTTCTTGCGCTCCTCGAGCTGCTGGGCGACGGCGGACGTCTTGCCCGAGTCGAAGGCGACCTCGTCGTCCTCATCCTCATCGTCATCCTCGTCTTCCGTCTCCTCCTCGGCCTCCTTCAACCAGTTGATCACCGGCTCGCAGGCGGCAATGATCGCCTTCGCCTGCGATTTTGACACGTATTTCGATGAGGGCTGAAAAATGGGGTTATTCCAGGAATTGAAATAGAAAAACACTAGAAATCACGCCAATTTCTCGAAAAAGCTATACCTTTTCGGCCCACTTGAGAATGGCCTCCTCCTCGCAAATGTCCAAATCGTAGAGGGCCTTGATGATGTGCGGGGCGCGGGCCATCAGCGAGTCCTTGTGGCGCACGATGACCTGCTCGATGCCGCCGAGGAAGTAGCGCTGAGCCTGAAAAACGAAAATAAACTTAAATCCATTAAATCGCTCATTTGCAAAAGCATCCCGCTAAAAAGAAGCCTTTGTTCAAACAGAATTCATTGAAATCGAACAATTTATACAAAAGTTTAATTTTAAAAACCCTCAAGCTCCAAAAACGCGCAAAATTCCTGCTCACCTTGCTGTCGTTGGCAGTGAAGCGGAGCAGGCACTTCGCATACTTCTCAATCTGCTTCTCGGTGATGATGTTGTCGTCAAAGATGACGTTGGCCAGGATGAGGGGCGCCTTCTGCTTGATGTCGAGGCGCTCGGCTTCGTTCGCCAAATCCTAAAAACCCAAATTACGATGAGAGAAAAGAAAAAACTCCATACCAGTCCATCCCCAATGGCGTCCTTCTTTTTCTTCTCCTGGAAGAAGGTGTGCAGCATGTCGAGGCGCTCATCGATCGACTTCTCCAGATCGGCCGAGATGACGAGTTTGCCGACGCCGGCAGCGAGCTTGTCGGCATCGATTTCCGGGGCCTCGGCCCAATCGTCGTCATCGTCGTCCTGGACCTGGATGTCGTCGCCCGACGAGGAGCCGTGCTAAAAAAGGGATAATACGTAAGGACAAAGATGAATAACTGATTTTGATTTCGCATCACAAGATTTTGAAAAGCGCGTGACAGAATTTCGCTGTATTACAAGTGGAAAAACTGTTTTTAGAGCCTCCAAAATGTAATTTCGATGGAAAAATCGAACAAGCTAAAAACAAACGTCTTCATTTTAGAATTATTTACGTTTTTTATCCTAAAAATCTTTAGACAAAAAGAATAGATTTTACCTTGCTATCATTGCCATCCTCTTGCGCATCCCCATTCGTGTCGGCAGCCGGCTTTCCATTCGTCTTGTTGGCCTTCGGGTTCCCAATGTTCAAGTCGACCTCGATCTTCGGCGGATTCTTGATGATGTAGGTGCTGAGACGCCAGCGCGGGTCGATGATGGCCGAGTGGCCGCACGCCTTGCACTTCGAGTGGATTTGGTTCTTGCGCACCAGCTGAAAAAATGGGGTAAATTCACCAAAATCAAAAATCATGTCGCAAAATGGCCAAAAGAATAAATAAATTTACCAGTGCCGTCTCCGGGTTCTCGCACGAGCCGCAGAGGACAAATTTCTTGATGAAGCCGTCGAGGATGTCTTGCAGCTTGGCCGCGTCGTGTTCACCGTTGACGATGTACCGCTCGTTCTTCACGTCGATCTGCGTCTGGGCTCCGAGCTCACAGCCGAAATATTTGGTGGGATCTGAAAAAGAAAATAAATGATAATCTTTGGACACAAATACATATTTTCAGCAAAAACAGTTGTAAAATAGCTCCTCTTCAAATTCAGAAACTCTCACAAAATCAAAAAAGACATATTTTTTGATAAAACGCCTATTTTTAAAAACCCGTAAAATGCCAAATATCCTTTTTTGTGAATGTATCAAAGTTTTTTTCGGAATTCTTAAAGACCTATAAAACGTACAAATAGGTGGGCGCTCGAGAGCCTTGGCGATGTCGACCATGTTGGAGATGACCGTCTTAATGCCGTTGCCCTTTCCCTCGACCTTGGCCATGATGCGGGGCATCTTGTAGCGGTAGAAGGGATCGGAGACGTTCCTGTTCACGTTCAGCGCCATCTTGCTCGCTCAAGTAGTACGTCGTATTCTCTAAAACACAAAAATTAGTAGAACTAGACAATAAGATCGTACCGTTATCACAAATACGCTGTTGCGTAGAGGAATTCACAGTGCATACGCTACTGGAATTCAGGGTAAACCGGAGTAACGAAGAGCTTGAAGCCTTCAGTTTCTTCCTTTTTCTCGACAACCTCCCTGAAAAAAAAAGATTATAAAAGCCAAGAAATAATTTCAATTATTAATTAGGATAAATTACAAGGCAAAAAAAAATTACAAGAGTCCGACGGGCCAAGTAGCATACACCGGATGGGGATGAATGCCGGGTTTTGCGCCACTTTTTGGGTTTCGACAAATTTCCGGATTCCATTTTTCAGATTAAAATTCAAATTCGCAAAATTTACCTTCTTGAGGGTTGTCCACCATAAAATTGCTCCGAATGGTGATTCTTCTTTTTGGGCTGTAGAACATGCACAGCTCGGTGCACTCCGGTCTCACTGTTGAGGGAACCTGAAAAAAATAAAGTTATAGCGAGAAAGGTAGGGACGATATGACGAAATTCAGAAATCGTGGAAACGCTAGAAATAGAGCAAATCGTAGTTTATCTTTCTAAAAAGTAGAAAACGGGGGTTTCGAAGTTTTCCTAGCTTTTTATGTCTAAACACAGAGCTAGTAATTTAGCTAGTAGGCCAGGAAGCCTCTTTCTCAAAAAAAAAGAGAGGATCTGTTCCTGAAAAGAAGAAAGATCAGCTTTTAGGGAATTTTCCAAGCTTTTCCACCTCAAAATAGCTAAAACCCCGAAAGTAGGCCACAAAATCCCGGGGGAACCCCCCGAGAACAATTGCCACGTCTCGAAATGCGGGAAATCCATGAGCCGGGCGAGAATGGCCGGGCGTGTATGGTCTGGGTGGGCGCTCCGGGATACGTCACGGGGAAGCAGAGAAGCAGAGGCGGGCGAGGAGGAGGGGAGGGGGGCGAATAGAACGGCGCGGCGGCGGGCGAATGGAAATGCATGGGGTGGCATAGAGAGGCGAAGAAATAAGGGGGCAGAGAAGGCACCGCCCGCGCACAATCGATCCCACAGTATCCCGGGCACGGCGCCCCTTTCAACGCGGGACCCCCGGGGGTTTGAAATGCGGGGAATGGGGGAGAGCGAATGAAGCAACAGCAACCAGGGGCCGACCGCGGTGATGGAGTGACGAAATGAATGAAAGACAGATACTGGGTACGCCCAACTCGACACCTGCGTATCAGTTTTCAAAATGGGGCAGCGAACAGATCAAAAAACGGCAAGTTTTGAAAAGGGTTCCCGGAAAAAATGAGGAGATAGCGATGGGAGGGCAGATGTCGCAGATTTTCATCATCAAATTGTTGCCGCACTAACCGGAAGTGTGTGTTGCACCACAAAAACACTTAGACCAGAAAATCGGGCTGCAAAAATTTCCAAAATATCGAAACCTACAAATTAAACATCGGTCAACTACAGAATCCAAAAATCTACCTTGAAAAGATGGAAAATGGAAGAGCCAGACTAAACCGCCCCAGAACCCCAAAACCATTCCCCAACAGGGTCAATATGTCGAGAATCGGGTCCGGGCGTGCGGGCGAAGTGGTGTGGTGAGGTGCGACGGATCGGGACGAATGCAAGAAGAAGCGCAAAAAAGACGAAGAAGAGAGCCGTTTCGGCTCGTTTCAGGGGCTACCGACTGACGGAGCCAGTTCGGCGCTGCTCCACGAGCTGTGGTGTGTCGACGGGAAGCGCGAGAGAAGGGCGGCAATGGATGGGGGTGTCCATCTATCCATTCCTTCCTTCCTTTTCCATCCATCCCCCTATTTTTTTGCGCTATGTTCGTCTCCAACACTCCGCCGTCGGGCCACACATCGCTAGAGGGACGGGCAGGGCAGAGTGCCTTTTTGCGTGTAATTGGATGGGAGTGTGGGGCTCTTCTGAAAAAGGGGGGAAGGGCCGCCGCCGGAACGACGAGAAGGACCCACACGGGCTCTCGCATTCCGGCCAATTTCGGCAAATTGGCCATTCAATCGCGGGGTGGGGCAGTTCGGGGGAGAAAATGAGGGAACGCCGTTTAATCCCTCGAGTCAACGTGAAGCGCGCAAATTTCGAAAACAAGAAGCTGGGCGGAGAATTATGGGGTTTCTCGCTATAATGCTGAAAAACAAGAGTTGAGAATCAAAAACCTTCTAAAACTACCCAGAAATCTAGAAAACCGGACAAATCGGTCTTGAAAATTGACAGAAATTGAATTGACCTTGTGTTGCTTGTTTTCAACAGTTTTAGGCAAACGACGACAACGCGCCTCCCCCGGGAAAACCAAACAAATGATCAACCAAAAATGCACCGGCCAGGACAACTCATCCAAATTACACTCATGAAAAGCCGATTGCAGTGCCCTGAAAAACTACATCACAATGCGAACCCCACATCAAAAGGAATAAACCGGTCCCCCGATAGAATCACCCCGGCAGACAGCACTTCCCCGCCCGAGTATTCTCGACAAAAAGCGAACAGCGAAAATTTGGGTCAAGGCGTTCGCAAAATTGTTGGGGGGCTTATGTGCGGAGAGAGGAAGAGCAGGGGAAACCGGACAAAACTTTGATAGCTTATCAGCTAAAGGGAATGGGGACGGCTGAATGGGCGGAAAATCGGGAGGGGGGGGCTTTCCCAATATTTCGCGGAGTTCAGGGCTGCCATTCAATCATTTTCGGGGTGAATGGAGAGGATTGTGAAAGAATGAGAATGACTGGGAAGTGATTTAGGTACGAAAAATGCGCAAAATAAGGAAATGATCACTGTGCAGTCTATAAAGGTTCAGAAATCCGCAAAAAGCATTAAAAACAACTAGAAAATTTTTACAAACTCTACAAAACAAAAAAATAAAAAAATAAAATTCGATAAAAATTCTATAAAAAGCGCAGAAAATTGAAAATTTCGGGTTGAGAGAAAATCGGGAAGCGGCTCCTTTCCGCTCCATTATACGAAATCCGTAACTTGGTGTAGTACGGAATATCGACTTTCCGATTTTTTGCAGATTTCAAGAGCAAGAAATAGAAAAAAAAAGATAAAATAAGTAGTTTTTACGCCTATAAGCTATCCTTATCTTTTATTTTTTTAATATGATGCGTAGAATATTATTATGCTTCTTTCTAGACCCGTCATGCCCATTTTCGTCGCATAAATCTTCAGAATTCGATTTTCTGATTTTGTAAAACTTGAAAAATCTATAAAAACGTTTTAGGAAAGCGAACTGCAGGGCCAGGGCTTCTCAGCGAGTTCTGGAACGCAGCGAGGATGGCTATTAAGGTATGGAAAAGCCCAGAAACGTTAGAATTTCGAAATTTTAGGGATCATGACGACAACAAATACTGTGCGATCGAAAAGGAAGCGGCTTGGAATGGACGACAATTTTTGGAAACGATGTTGAAGGGCTGAGGACGATGACAGCAACGTCAAAATATGAGTCATCTAGGGGAAAGCATTTTTTGGGGGCTGATTTTTTCGAGTTAAAAATTTAGCAATTCTGAAAATTGGTAGATCTAGGGCATTTTACGTTTGTTTGTTCGAAATCGTAACTTTTTGAGCGATTTTTGTACTTTTTAACCCGGGCGGGATTATGGACTACGCACTACAAACTACAAACCACAACACTGGAGGAGCGGACGAGGACGTATTACTGTATTTTACTAGCGTAATGCTACCATAGCACACGGGTTCCGGGATTTCAGATTCCGCATTAATATAGACGTACTACAAGCGCTAGAGTACGCTAGACTACCACTACAACATTTGCAGTTACTCCGGATAAGAGCTATAGGATTTTCAAGCAACTGATTACTGTATCCTTAGATTCCGTAACAGTACGCGTGCTACATAATCGACTACAAACTACAGCACTGAAACCGCCGAATAATGCCTACAGTATCATTACCGTATCCCCAGATTTCTTTAGATTCCGAGATTCCTGATGAATACTACGTACGGGCTTTAGACGTATTTAGTACTGTAGCGTACTACACTTATTATTAGTTAGACGCATTACATGTTTACAGTACGCCAGACTACTGTAGACAACACATAAAAACGGGGCCGATGCTCCAGAAAAGAATACAGGATTGGGGCGGAAGAGTAGGGGGAACCAGTTTTCCACTCGACTACTCTGGACACCCTCGTTCTCTCTCTCTCTCTCTCTCTTGCACTCTCTTTCGCCTGCAAATATCTATAATGTTTTCCACTCAAGCCCCTCCCATCGTGCCCATGAATTGACAATGTCGCCCAATATTTTGTGAAGCGCTGAATGGAAAAGTAGGAAGGGAGGACAAATATACAGCGCATCCTTGGGGGTGGAAAAGCTTCAAAAATGATTTATTTAAGTTTTACAAAGTAATTTAGTGGATTTTGTAGCGTTTAAGGGAAATAGCATGTCCTCAAAATAGCTAAAAATTAGTTTGAAAATTTGTTTAAAACTGTCTACACTAATTTAAAACCTGTTTTCTAGTTATTTTCGTCTTTTTAAGCTTTGTAACAGGTGTGATGAGCAGAAGGTGGTTTTTTTTTTTTTTTGGTTTTTTTTTTGCCAGATCAATTTTTAAGGTATTTTCCGTGTTTTAAGCTATTTTTATCCCTAGGGAAATTTTAAAACTTTTTTAGAGCTCCGGAAAAACCTTGCATAGAATTTACTTAGGAATTTTGTAAAATAATGCAGCGGATTTCCTAGCGTTGAAGAGACTTTTTGTATCCTAAAGCTTACTTACCGTATCCATTTTAACTATTTTTTTGCATTTTTAAGCATTTTAAAAGTGTGCTTTTCACGTACCGTACGAATTTTATAAAAATTTTTAGATATTTCTGAATTTTTAAGGCATTTTAAGCTAGCTAATGACCCAGAAACTCACCGGAGATTTATGGCATCGGGTTTTTGGCGAGACGTTGGGTGAAGGGGGGCGCGGAAAAGCGGCGGCTAGCTGTGAGTGAATGACTATCAAAATTGACCGTTCGCTTTGGACCCCCGCCCTCCGGAATTATGGAAATTCCGGCTGATAAATCCTTTTTCCGGGACGCTACTCTCTGCGGTTTCGGATCGATGAGAAATAATACTGCTGCGGGGAGATTGGTCATCTATCAAAAAACGCTTTTCGGGGGTCGGGGGTGGTGTTTGATGAGATTTTCCAATGGAATTTTTATTTACAATTTTTTTAGAATTTTTCGGGGCTAGGGAATTGGATTTTAAAGGTATCAGACGTCATACTACGTTAATAGGACATAATTGGAATTTTTGGAGCCACTTGACTATTTTTGAAGGTCTATGACACGAAAATGAGCTTAGGAGCTGTGGTTTAGGCTCGGGCTTAGGCTCAGGCTTAAGCTTGGGCCTAGGCTCAGGCTTAGACTTAGGCTTAGGCTCGGGCTTAGGCTTAAGCTTAGGCTTAGGCTTAGGCTTAGGTTTGAGTAGGCTTAGGCTTAGGCTTGAGCTTAGTAACGTGAAGCTCAAATTTAGCTATTCCGAGCTCAGCCCCCCCTGGAAATTCCGGTTTTCCAGCCATGGCAGATTTTGCTGCCGTAATCGGATTGGACAGGCTTTGGCAGAGGGAGCGAGAGAGTGTGAGAAAGCGGAGAATCAGACGGTTAGAGGCAGCTAGAAGAAAAGGTGAAAATCAAGAACCTAGGCTTTGAAGGGTCTGGATTACCGTCAAATCCACTGAGAGAGAGAGAGAGAGAGAGAGAGAGAGAAAGATTCCCGTTTCGACCTCGACCCCCTGCCCTTCTCGTGCTCCTTCTCCTCCTCCTCAATCTAGAGCCATTCCAAAAGCGGTGGGCGATCCCGTTTATCTGGGACGACCACAAGACGACAAGCAGCCAGAAAGCAGCACCACCATCCCCTCTGCCCGATCTTGCCCTTCCTAGAGCTACATAAGGCGTCATTTGGCGTCAACAGTTGTCGCGCGTACTCTGCAGTACTGTACCGTACTCACCGTATTCTACAGTACTCTCCCTACTGCAGTAACCCCCTAAAATGCGATTCCTGCAATGGGTTCTGTCGATTTCTCTAATTCTGCTGCCGGTGGCTGTGACATTTGAGTGCTATACGTGTAATAACCATCCTGGGGCGGATGACGCGACGCCTTGTGATGAGCAGGTTGGGTTATTGGCTATTTTTGTCCCTTCCACGGCCCTTTAAAATGACAAACTTCGATGTAGGAGTCCTGAAAAGACATTTTTCATGACTTCAATGGCCCTTTAAAACGAAAACTGCAGCTTTGCTAGACCTGCAATGCCAGAATTCAATCCGAAATGTATTTTCCTTGACTTCAATAGTTCTTTAAATCTAAAAACTACACCCCAGAATCCTGAAAACCATAATGCCGGATTTTTCAATTTCCAATTTCCAAATAAAAACAAAAATCCGATTTTCAAGGTGGAGGAATGCCCGGAAGGGGTCGAGTCCTGCTCGATGCTCACCTATTTTTCCCAATTTGACCGGCGACAACACACCCGGAAATTCTGCACGACAAAGGGTACGGTAGAAAATTAAATTCAGCGTTTTGAGGACTTTTTACTGCTTAAAAATATGCTTTTTCCAGGCCCATGGACATTTAAAATCAAAACGTTTATTTTAGGAAGTCCAATTTACGAGTATTTGCTTGGGTTCCCGGGCAGCAGCATGTGCCAGAATATCAAGACGGTGGGGTGAATTTTGCAGTTTGTAGCAGAGCGTCCCTTGTTGTATTTTGTAGTTTGTAGTTTGTGGTGTAAAAGGTATCGTGTTGTACCTTGTAGTCTGCCCTCTGTTCCCCATTTCGTCTCTTGGTGTATTCTGTAGTCTGGATGTGGCTTGTTTGTGACGACTCTGTGATGTTTGGTAGTATGTTGTTTGCAGCCGAGGCCGCCCGCATTAGCTTTTTAGTTTATAGTTTGTAGCGCATCGATGCCGAGCGCATATATCGCCTTTTTGTATTTTTGTAGTCTGTAACCTAGGAAACAGGCAATTTTGTAGTTTATAGCGCCAAGGCTAAGATTAAGCTCTTTTTGATTTTGTAGTTTGTATCCTAGCCGTCCAGGATTAGTTTTGTAGTCTGTAGTTTGTATGTCGGACCGTCCTGTTCTAATTTTGTAGTTTATAGCCCCCTGTACCGCCAATTTTTTCAGGCGGGCCTAATGAACCAGAGTCGTGAAAAGCGGCAGGTTGCCCTCCCTCCAGCGCCTCCCGTCTTCCAGGTACAGTACCCCCCAAAAAATTACGATATTTTTCGTGCATAATTTTAGAGCTCGTCCCTATTATGCGTGTGCACGACGAATTTGTGCAATAAGGGAGGGTATAAAGAAGTAAGAATTTGATTTTGATTTTAATTTTTTTTGTAGACGAGGCAAGCTAGCAGCGATTCTTTGGCTTCATAAACCCTTTAAAATGCAAAAATTCGGGTTTTAGAGCTTGGTTTCCCGCACTTTTTCGATCAGGGTAAGCTAGCAGAGGCCACTTGACTTCACAGGTCCTTTAAGTTACAGAAATCGAGATTTAGGAGTATGGTTTTTCGATTACAGACAAGCTAGCAGAGACCCCTTGACTTGCCGGTCCCTTTAAATTGCTAAAATGGAGGGTAGACGCTTAAAGTTTTCCTGGACCGAGCAAGCTAGCAGCAATACTTTGCCTTCCTGGTTCCTTTAAATTTAAAAACTTGATTTTCTGAAATTTTCGAAGGCCGACTAAGTTAGGAGAGATTCTTTGACTTGTCGGCTCCTTTCAAATGCCAAAATGGAGAATAGAAGTTAGTTCTAATCCTTTTTTCGAGCTTCGCAAGCTAGCAGCGATTTTTTTTGACTTCACAATCCCTTTAAAAGCATCCGTCTAGGTGCTGGAGCGTAATATGAACGATGATTTGCCGCAGCCCGAGAAGCGGAAGCGGAAGAAGGCAAAGAAAAGCAGCCCAAAGCTGGCCATTCAGAAGCTGGCGGTACCCGAGGGACCGCCCAAACTATTCAAGCCACAGGACGGGCAATTCGCCTAAATTATTCTCATTTAATCGATTTTTATACGACGTACCTTTAATAAAAAACGGGATTATGTGGCGTAATTGATTACCCAGGGATTTTCGGTAGTTAGCAGAGACCATTCAGGATTTTAGCTTTATTAAATGGCCATTCTCATTTGGTAATGCATCACGCAATCTAATCCAGCAACGTCGGCAATCTCTTCCTTTCCTGTTGTATTCCGGCAAATGTCTTCCAATCATCCTTCACCTGACGACACCAATTCCCCGCGTGGAACTGAATGGTGAATAGGTTCTTTGGCATTATCGGGGGGGGGGCGGACTGTTAAGGGGCCCCAAAAAAGGGGAAAAAGGAAAAAAAAGAGGGGAGGGGGGATAGGGGAGTGAGAGGGGGAAAAAAAGAGAAAAAAGGAATTTATAAGTCGAGAAATATCTAGTAACTTCATAGGAAACATTTTATTAGTGTTTTTGGTAAAATAAAACTATTTTTAATCTAGAAAATATATAAAAAAAGTCGAAATTTGTCAAAAATCGCTAGGAAAACAAAAGCCCCCCCCCCCGATAATGCTAAAGAACCGAAAACTACAAACTACGATTTCCTGAATTACCTTGCATAACGCATTCTTCTTGGCCGCCTCCATGGAGCAATCACAGAAATCAGTGTCGCACTCGCCCTTATTCCCACCAGACCAATAACACGTCCCATGGATCTGGCAGCACTCTCGCATTTGGCCTGCAATCGGGAGGGGGGTAGCAGAGAGAATTTGGGAATCGGGAGCTACTGGGCAAGCTAGCAGAGTTGATTTGTGAGCCAGCAGGGGTACCTGCGGCTAGCTGGCAGTGATTCTTTGGATTTGCTATTATCGAAACTCAGAATTTCTTATTTTTTTTGCATAGAATTCGGGGGTTTTCGGGGAAAATTAGCTAAATTTCGACATTACGAAATTTCGGCATTGTGAATTCAGTAGGGCAAGGCAAGCTAGCAAATACAATTTGGGCAACAAAAATCAGCTTTTCGGTACTGGAATTTTTGCAAGGGGGGAATAATTTTTTGTCAGTACGGCCGTCTAAAAAATATAGACTATTTTTATAGTGCGTTACACAGTTTTTAGGTAAAAAAGTCTTAAAAACTTAGACAAAATAGCAATATTTTTTCGATTTTTTTGGGCAAAAATGACCAAGAAAGGGCAGATTTTCGGTTTTTCAAAAATGTTTAAAATGTTTGTGGAAGCTTTTTAGTGAGCAAAAACTACGCAAAAACTATAAAAATACATTTTTGATTTTTTACAGGTAAACGGAAAAACAAGGAGTGCTCCCCCCCGCTAACGGTCCAGTACCGATCTTTGATCGACCGTAACTTCGTAACCCTACGTAGTTGAGGTCGACAGTCCAACTGTGCGAATAGGTCCATCCACATTGCAGTCATGTTGTCCACACCACACGGCAGCTTTGCTTGAATTTGATGGGGAAAGGACAGAAGCAGGACAATAACTAGTGGGAATAAGTATGGAATTGTCATTTTTAGGCTGGATACTGTAGCGTACTGTAGCGTACTGTAGCGTACTGTAAGCTACAGTGGGGTACTGTAGTATACTGGCGCTTGGTTGCCAGCTATAACTATAGCACATAGCACCTCCTGGGCGTTAATGAACTCTATTTATACATCTACCAGCTTGCCGGCGCTAAAAAGCAGGCTGAAGATTGGATTAGGAGAAGCGAGGTAGTGGGGACGGCCTCGGGAATTGAACCTGTTGATGTTGAGGGTTGGGGGCTTGTTTGATAACTGTATCTCCCCCCCCACTCTCTCTCTCTCTCTCTCTCTCTCTCTCTCTAGCTTGCCAAATCGGTTTTTAGACTTTTACCTAGATTTTCAAAAATTCGGCAAAAAATCGGAAGACCCGGCCGTAGCGAACTGTGCCATTCGAAAGAGCATCAAAAATAGTCCCTAATAACGTTTGGTCCGAACCCCTAAAGGCCCTGGTGTGGTTGCTAGGATTTTTTTGAAGTTGCAACTCGGCAGCGGGAAGCCCCCCCCAGCGGTCATACTTTCCGAGGCTAATTTCACGAGAAATCAACCGTGCGAAATCGTTTTGACATTTACATTTGAAAGAGCACCAAAAATAGTGCAGAAAACAGTTTCGACTGGAACTAGAGAGACCCTGGTGTAGTTGCTAGGAGTTTTGAAGGTTTGACTTTTCGTCGTTTTGGAGCAACGGGGGGGGGGGATTACGACACGATACGAAACGATTACGATACGAAATATGTCTCCATTTATTCACACCGTCAACCGCATTCGATTCTCCGTCTTCGACCCCCATGTTCTTCTACTGCCCGGTGTATTCTGATCCCTCTCCGGCCCACTGCACGCCGTCAACACCAGCACGATTCGGGTACGGAGGGCCTAGGCAAAATCTTGTAGTTTGTAGTTTGTAGTTTATGGTACCTTTGCCAAAAGTGGAGTATGCCAGGCGGCGGCAAACATTGGCCAGAGGGCTAGCCCGTAGATGCGCACCAGGTCGTAAGAGATGCGGTTCCATGCTGGAAACCGAGGGAGAAGCTGCGCTATAGACTATAGGCTACAAGGTACGGCTAGACTGGTATTTTGTAGTCTACGATTTGTAGCCGCTACTTACTCGATTCCCCGAAACTCGGCACCAACACGATGGTCACGTATACGGCATCTGTCAGTAGGTGTAGCAGGAGTCGGTACAACCTGCAACAATTTAAAGTGCGCTAAAAACAGGACTTACCGATCTTTGGCGGTTTGTTGATGGCTGCCTTCGGGCATCTCGGCCTCTACCTCATAATCTGTCATGTATAACATTCTAAAAAGGATTACGCTATGAAATTAGGCGTGAATCAATCGATTAAGCAGTGAAACTAGATTTTTGCCAATAGATTGCGCTATAAAATTTACGTGTTTAGCAATAGATTACGCTATGAAATTGGCTGTAAAATCGATTACGCTAGGAAAATCGCCGTTTTTTTTAGAACCAGTTACGCTATGATTTTCGGATAGGTTACGCAACTAAATTCGTCATGTAATTTACGCACTTGTAGAGTAAATCGCAAACTGAGAGAGCATAGAAAAGGAGAGAGACGAGAGACGCCCAGGCAACGGCCGATGCCCAATAGGATTGTTCGAAGGGGGAACGGCGCCATGCACACCAACTGATCATGAACTCCATCGTGTTGCTGAAATTGACGGGGGTTGGCAAAGGGGTTCTGTGAGCTTGCCAAGAGCTGTTTTAGATTTTCCTCAAGTGTTCCTGCTAGCCTGCCTCACGGTTTTCTCAAAGAATCTTTGCTAGATGGCCCGGATAGCCGAAGCAAATGACCTTTGCTAGCCCGCCCCCTCATCTTCAATTCCTCAAGAATATCTGCTAGCCTATGTCATAGTTTCCTCAAAGAATCGCTGCTAGATCGCCTAGATTTAGCGAGCAGAACATCACTTTTAGTTTGCCCTTCGTTTTTGCGCGTCGCGCCATTGTTCAAGAATCTCTGCTAGCTTGCCCCGCTTCCCAATCCCTTTAACCTCCAAATTCCATGAACGTACTGTTCACGATCGATCTCAATGGCTGCCAGAACGGCAAATACAAATGACGAGGCGATGATCACCCCGATCAGCGCGTTCGAAAAGACGAAGATTCTAAAAAATGATCTTTACAGTAATCGTGCGTTTCTTACGAATGGGCCGGGAATACGGTAGTCAGATTCCGATGCAAACCGCTCCAGAATTGGATGCAGCCTGGAAATCGCGAGAAATTAGGCTTGGCTTAGGCCTAGGCTTGGCTTAAGCTTGGCTTAGACTTGGTTAGGTTAGGCTTAGGCTTCGGCTTCGGCTTTGGCTTTGGCTTAGGCTTCGCTTACCTGCTGTAGCAGCGGCAGTGACGTAGAGAACGGCCGGCGCTTTTGACAGGATCTCATTCATGAAGTAGGGCTTGTTTAAAGCTAAATTCGGGGAATTGTGTTCAGCTGGGGTACAAACTACAATGCAGGCTATAGGCCACAAACTCCAAGTTCTTACTTTCAAAACGAGCTAGAAAACTCTAAACTACACGTTTCAATTCGTTTTTCACTACAGTTTTTAGGGTTCTTTTTAGGGCATAGGGCTAGGCTACAAGTTAGACTACAAACTACAAACTCTAACCTCTCCTTACCTAGCATATACGGCACCGGAATACCCAGCGCGAACGCCAACGCAATATGGGCGAATAGCTGGGCGGCGAGGAATGATAGAGATGGGTGTGGGGAGGAGGGTGATGGATCTGAGGTATCTGGACGACTCTCCGGAAGGCATGACGCTATGCACAGGGCGATCCCGCAGGTTAGGGAGCCTGAAAAAGAAGGAGGAAAATCTATATTTTTTTGGTACTTCCCGGTCCCTTTAATCTTGTGTAGTTTGTGGTTTGTGAAAGGTGATTGTTTTTTCTCTGCGTCTAGCACACTCTCTCGCGCTATCTCTCCCTGTCTCTCTAGCGATTTCTCTCTCTCACTCACACTATCTCTCCCTATCTCTCTCTCTCTCTCTCACACGTCCCTCTCGCTCACTCTCTCACTCTCCACCTACTCAAGCCAAAATACGTGACCCCGACAAGTATTCGGCGAGTCGTATGCGAAAATATTAGCTCCTCCTCGAAATACATTAGTTGGAGCTCAAACTCAGATAGAATCGATTACGATAGGGAGTTCGGCGTAGATTGTTGCGATCTGGCGATAGAATTGGTCGATTTGGGCCCCGCGGGGTGACCCTCAAAAAATGGGTGCAACCCTAGGGGGAGATGCGAAACAGATGGGTGTTTTCAGGAGCCTAGCGGAAAAGAGAGAAGCCAACCTTTTGCGGGACGAATTTTTCGATTAAAGGGACCGGGAAGTGAAGATTTGGAGGATTAAAATAGCGTAATCATTTAATACCAAAAATTTATTAGATTTTCGCTGTAAGGCAAGCTACTGCCAATTTTTAAAGGATCCCCGGAAGTCTTATTTTGGGGTAAAAATTGCGTAATTGATTCCGAAACGGGATTTTCGGTCCGGTTCGTAAATTGTAACAGTACCGGCAACTTTTAAAGAAGTATTTAAGGCGCTTTTGCCGATTAATATCGCGTAATCAATTCCAAAAATGCATAAATTGATGAATTTTTGTTTTTTTAAAGAGACCGGCAACCATTTCTTAGCTGTTCGTTCGTTGAAGCTTATCTTTTCAGATCATCTGCCTGTCCCTCAAATTTTGCCAAATTTCTCGCCATTTTATGAGGGGTAGATCGGGTTTTGAGATTGAGCATGAGGTGGTACCACCAGGCATAGGCGCAACACTTTCATTTTAGGATTTCCCAAAGTTTCTCTGGTCTTTTGAGCGCATTTTTTTGATGGCTTTCGTAGTTTAAAGGTATTTTCAAGGCGTAATTCTCCAGAGGGAGCCATTCTAGTCACCATATTCGAAAACGGCGCTAAAAAAAGCTAAAACCTTCTGAATTTACCTTTTTTTCCTAAGTCTTGGTGACCTCCCCAAAGTGTCGCTGCTCGTTTGCCTAGCTAACAAGATTTCTCAGGTAGATTGACACCTACTTACCGACCTACCTACTTCCTATCCCTTCCTTTCCGTGTCGGATGGATATGTTGTTGACCCAGAAACCATGTTTGCTTTTGCCCCCCTCGCATGTTGATGTTATATGGTTCGGTCAGCGGGGGTCAACACCTACTCTACATCCTTTCGCTCGTTTTATCGATTTTTTTGCCGTCTCTGCAATTTAAAAAACTCTAGCATTAAGCTGGTTTGACAAAGAATGCTAAACTTGCTTTAGAAAATAAGTTTTGACACTTCCCAGTCCCTTTAAAATTGGACGTAAAAAATTTGGGGTCGTTTTCGCGCCTTTTCCGACTTTATAGGCATTTTTAGGTTAATTTGTCCAGAGCGAGCGCTTCTCACTATGATTTTCTGCATCTACGCAAAAAACTATGTCGAAAAACGCTTCAGAATAATTTTTATAGCTTTAGAATATTTTTATAAACCGATCACAAGACCTTACTGACCTCTGAGCAATTTTGGCGCTTCCAGGCCACTTTTCGTGTTAATTTGTCCAGAGCCGGCGCTTCTCACTATGATTTTCTGTATCTACGAATAAAACTACGTCGAAAAAAGCTTTAGGATAATTTTTGTAAAATTAGAATATTTTTTTAAATCGATCACAAGTTGTTGCAGCGATTTTTAACGCGAAATTTCAATTTAGCCCGGTATATAAATCAAAGAATCTCTGCCTTTTCGTGGAAACATCTGATTTGTGTTTGTGCGTAATCAGCCGGCCTCCACTCCCTTTTTTGGGCGTATTATGGATTGATTAACCCCCTCACTGCCTCCTCTTTCCCCCCGCTTTGATAGATCCTGTTTTGCCCTCTGAACTTATTGGCTCGGTCTCTCTCTCTCTCTCTCTCTCTCTCTCTCTCTCTCTCTCTGTCTCTCTGTCTCTCTCTCTGTCTCTCTCTCTCTCGCTGCCAGGGGGCTAAACCGCCTTGCCAGCTTCTGGATGGCAGATTTCCTCGTTTCGCCCATTCGCCCATCTCTGCGCCGTTTTGATCGTTTTCCAAGTTGGGTTTAACCTTTGGGATACTCTGGCTCGAATACTGTAGCTATTCTTGTCATTTTTTAGTTCGTAAAGGATCTAAGGTAATTAAAAAAAATTTTCAACATCACCACTCACTCGCCACCCACCTGGCCCACTAGTATGAAGGGGGTCCAGGAGATTTTCTCATGAGCTGGCCAAGTATTGCCCCGAAGCTTGGCTTAGGCTTAGGCTTAGGCTTAGGCTTAGGCTTAGGCTTAGGCTTAGGCTTAGGCTTAGGCTTAGGCTTAGGCTTAGGCTTAGGCTTAGAGAGGTCACCCATGGGAAACGGCCAGATCGATAGACTTACGAGAATTCTGAATTTTTTTGGATCTTTTGATTTATTCCGGAATTCAAATTTAAAATTTTGGAGCTTTTTTCAAGTTTTTTTCGGATGATCCCTAAGTCGTTACGGTAGCCAATTCCGACGCAAAGTTATGGCCACTTAAAGTCTGAGATTAGGCTTGAACGTTGGCAAACTTGCAGTGATTCTTTGCGTTTTTGGCTCAATTTTTTTCACTGTTTTCTTGCTGTCACGCTGCCTTTAAATCGTGTTTTTTTTGTAGTCTGTAGCCTCCAGAAATGCTGTAATGGTGAACCGTCGGCTATTCTCGAAGGATTTCCACGCCGAAATCAGACGTATACAACATTTGAATTTTCGAGTACTCTCTGCCGTGTCTTTAGTTATGGTCTATTATGTGTGAGTTTATTTGTATAATGTAGTATAATTTTTATTGAATTTTAGAAGATTTTTCTGGCTTTAAATCGAAAAACTTAATTTGAAAACCTTTAGATCGTGGTGCCTGCATGACAAACCCCGATTCTACCCGGCGCCGATACGGGAAATTTTCTAATTTCTTCTAGATTTTTCTAGAGCATGTATTTAAAATATAAAATGTATAAAATTTTATTAAAATGACATGGCAGGAAATGGAGACCATAAACTACAAACTACAAAATAACGGCCGAAGGCGATAGAGAGGGCAAAGAATCTCTGCTAGCCTGCCTCGGGATGATCGTTAGGTTTGGAAATACTAATTTTTGAGCACCACTTCCCTCAAATAATCTCTGCTAGCCTGCCTCTAGATTCAGCTAGATTCTATAAGCACGAATTTTTGAACTCCAGCTTCCTCAATAATCGCTGCTAGCTTGTCGATCTCGAGGATAAGATGATTTTTCAGTTTTGAGCTTCGGTTTCCTCAAGGATCTCGGCTAGACTGCCTCGTGCTCAACTCCAACTTCCGCAAAAATCTCTGCTAGCTTGCCTCGAGATCCAGCTAGATTCTGTAAGCACTAATTTTTGAGCACGAGCTTCCTCAAAAATCTCTGCTAGCCCGCTCTGTCCAACCCAGTTCAAAGCCTATCCTCTCCCCTTCCCTCTAACTAAAGGGAGTGGGAGTGGCCAGGCGGTGTGTAAGCGCTCTGTCTCAGCTGTTCTTTCTCACCCCTTCCCTCCAATTGTTTGTCTGCCTGGCGAGAGACAGAGAGAAAGAGAGAGAGAGAGAGACAGATAGAGAGAGACAGCAAGAGAGAGATACTTTGCCAGCTTTTCCCCGCTTTTCCCTCCTTCCGATCAGCGCCTAGCCAGGTTCAGGGTTCGATCGGTTTCAGTTTGACCAATTTTTTTTGGGAGATAGAATGTCTTCCCGGTTCCTTTAGAGTTATTTTATGTCATTTTTAGGCTACAGTCATTTCAGTCATGTCATTTTTAGGCTTTTAGGCTTAAGAATCCTCGAATTGGGTTCTCGACAATCAGGAAACGCAGGAAATTATTTTTAACATTGATTTCCGAGTTCCTAGAGCGATTTTTCTAGTTGTCTCCGTCCCTTCAAAGTAATTTTGAGAGAGATTTTAGGTTACAGTAGGCGCTTTAAATTTTCTGCGCCTTAGAAAACCCACAAATCAGGTTTTAAAAATAATTCCGGGTACCTAAGGGCATTTTGCTAGCTGTGATCGTCCCTTGAAAATACCAGTTCGGGAATTTTTAATAGCGCAATCGATTACGCTATGCTATACCTTGTTCTACGCGATTTTTAGCTAATTTTTGGGCTTAGAAGCGCGTTGAAGCCCTCAAAAAAGGCCAGACGATCGGGGGAAACCCCTGCAAAATTGAGATAACCCCAATTGGGACTGTCATTTTTGGGCTTTTTTGAGTTGGGCGATCTTTAGCTGTGCAATAGGTCGCGCGTACCGTGTTCCGGTACCGCCCACCTCCTTAAAAATTAGCCTCTTTTTTCTCGTTCTCTTCCTATCGCTCGCTCTCTCTCGCTCTTTCTCTCTGGCTCTCTCTCTCTCTCTCTCTCTCTCTCTTTCTCTCTCCCTCGCCCGACTAGCCACAGCTGCGGGGTATTTAAGAACATTTCAACTGCAGGTTTGTACAACGATTTTCCTAGCGTAATTGATTCCGTGCTACCGATTTTACCGACCACAGCGGCCCGGTCCCTAATAAAACCTCCGGCTGGGCTGGTACCCAGATCAAAATTACACGTGTAAAAACAGCCAAAAATTTACACGCGTGGTAAAAAAATTACACGTCAAATTTACACGTCACTTTTGGGATTTACACGCGTGTAATTGAGTTTTATTAGGGGTTTCAAGGAAACATGGCCGAAAATTTACACACGTGTAAATTTTTTACACGCGTGTAAATCGGATTCGAAGGCGGGAATTTCAAAAGTTCAAAATTCAGCAATTATTTTACACGTGAATTTCAAAAATTTTACACGCGTGTAAATTTTTAGGTAAGAAAATTACATTTGGAAAACGTGTGTAAATCGCTCAAAAAAAGGGCCTTCACAAAACGGCATATAAAAAAATTTCCAGGGCACTTAGCGATCTAACTTTTTTTTGACTCACTGTTGGTACCCGTCTGCAGCTTGTCACATTTTAACTTTTCAAAAAAAATATTTTTCCGATTTGCTGGAGGCTTCCAAAGTTGGCGTGTAAATTTCTGGCGCTCGCGTGTAATTTTTTCGGTTTTTTCCTCCGTCTCCGAGCACGTCACTTTTTTTTACCACGCGTGTAAATAAAATTTACACGTGTGTAAAAAATTGTCGAATTTTACACGCGTGTTTTTTCATTTGTTAACAAATTTGTTAAGGAAAATTTCGGAATTTACACGCGCGTAAAAAAAAATTTTTACACGCGTGTGTAAAAAATTTACACGTGTGGTAAAATTTCAGGCGTGTAATTTTGATCTGGGTACCAGCCCAGCTTTGGAAATGAGGGAAGACCGCAACGCGTGCGATAGACGCGTCGCGCAATTGCGAAAGCAGGCCTGCGCGGCTAAAAACTGGTTGCTATTCCGCGCACCCGCACGCAACGCGCGAAAAACACGTACAGTACGCCCTTTCCCTTGAACCATCTGGACCGAACCCATGGGCGGTTGTGTGACACAATCCGTTGCTTTTAACTGTCTTCATGCGAATTTTGATTAGGATCGTTTTGGATAAATTGAATAAGTTTCAAGGCGTTGAGTTAAGGTGGCTTCTCTGAAGTGCACTGGATTTACCTCGCCTAATCGGTTCATTACAATGTATTTTAGTTGCGTAATGGATTTGCCCTTGTGGAATTTACAGCGAAATCGATCGTGGCATAGCTTTTCATAGCGTAGCATAGCGTGAGGACCATTTCGAGCGCGTATTGGATTCTTATAAAGAACGATTTTCCTGCTTTGTGTAATGGGTTTTTCTAAGCGAATTTTTATTGCGTAATCGATTTGTTTGGGTCGATTTTCATAGCCTGATCGATTCGTCTACGCCTATTTTCCTCCCGTAATCGATCCCCAGTCTATTTTGCTTGTTTGCCGGGGGCTCGAAAAGTCCACCTGACCCCTCCTCAGCAATTGGCGGTCATTTTTTGCCCTTTAAAAGCCTCTCCCCCTCTCCATCTCAATCTGTTGTTATCAAATGAGCGCAGCCAATCTCTCAGCTGTCCCCTTCAAATTTCCCTTTTTTTCGTACAGTCCCGAGGCGTACCGGTCCGTTGTTTGTCACCGAAATTTCTATTTATTAGGTTTTCGCTCCATTTTCGGTGATGTACGAAAGTTCGGCGTGTTTTGGTGCCTTCAATGGCCCTTTAAAACGCGAATCCATGGCTTTTCTGACTTTAGTCGACTTTATAGGCTGTTGAAATCATTTTTAGAAATTTTTTTTGACTTGACGGCTTCTTCAAAACGCAAAGCTTTACCTTTACCTAGTCTAATACATTCTTCTAGCTCGATTTTAATAGCGTAACTGATTTTTTAAGCCCAGTTACCTAGCGTAGTCGATTGTTTAAATGCCGTAATCGATTATCTACCCCGGTTTTTCTAGTGCAATTCTTCCAAGCTGTTTTTCATAGCTAACCGATACCTGGGGCATATCTTTTGGGCTTCAACGGGCTTTGAAAACAACGTTTCTCAGTTTTTGACATGATTTTGACTTCAGCGGACCTTTAAAAGGTTCTGTCTATCGTGTTCCTTGATGCTTGGCTTCAATGGCCCTTTAAAACGCGATATTTGAAGGAAAAATGGAATGCCTGCCGAATTGTGTGGCGGCGAGGATATGCGGGTATTTGGAAGGTAAATTTCTCTTGCTCTCTCCCTCTCGCTCTGTCTCTCTCGCTTTCTCGATTTCTCGATTTCTCGATTCGATTTCTCGCTTGTCGAAATGACTACAACCTACTGTAGTTGCCGTAGCTTACGCGCGTTGTTTACTGTACTTTGTAGTCCAAATTCAAGTCGAAGGCTACAGACTACAATTTCTGGTACCTAAACCACTGTGTAACAGCTTAAGTTGGGCTTAGGCTTAGGCATAGGCTTAGGCTTGGGCTTAGGCAGAAAATATCTCCTATAGGGATTTTTGACCCTTCAGGTGTACGTTGTAGTCTAATAGGACGTCAGACTACAGACTACAGCTTCTTACTTATCGACCCTGGGCTACAAACTCTATTTTAAAGGCACCGACGTCCTCAGATTATCCCGTGCCAACAGAAGATGGTGGAATTTTGTGGATGCGAATCGAAAGAAATTGCCAAAAAGGGCCTTACAGTTGAATATTGTGAGGAGGAATAGAACAAGGGAAATGGTGAGGGCAGATAGCGATTATAAGCATTTAATGGCTTTAGCAATTCGAGTACTTCTCCGAATTTCACCCGCATACCTGTAATACGAGGGCGCATGATAGACAGGTTGGTAGTTGGTAGCTAATGGTCTCTGCTAGCCTGCCCGAAATGCCGAATTTCGAAAAAACCTTGAAATTGAAGGGAAATTCCGAATTTCGAGAATAATGCCGATTTCCTATATTTTCTGATAGATTTTAAAATCAGCAATGAAAAAACGGATTTTTTGGAAATTTTATAATACGTTATTTGGGGATCTGTATTTTGTCTGTTTTTTCGGTATTTTGTAGGTATTGACTAGTCGGTATTTTCGGTATTTTCAGGTGAAAAATTTACATTCGATTTTCGAAGTGGGCATTTTCGGCCATTCATACACCTCCCAAAGAATTCCCGCTAGCCTACCTACCAATTCCAGGAAGCCCATCTCCATTTCCTGGTCGAACAGCAGGGCGCCCTCCGGCATTATGGCGTCATTTTAAGGTGTCTCGGTCCCTTTAAAATCAAATAATCCCCCCCCCCGTTAAGAGAATGGAAACCCCTCCCTCATCAGCCACTAAAGGGACCCGATCACTTTGACGTCACAGATATCAATCAATTGGCCATGGATGAGGATTATCACGTCGTAATCGAATAGCAAAATTCATTTTTTATGCTATTTGCAGCAAGTAAAAGCTGTCGAGGATATTGATGCTAATCTGGAGGCAATTCTATTGGAATTGGCGGGAAAAGTGGACTTTAGTCATTTGTTGATGGTGAGGAATTAATTTTAAAGGGACATTGAAGGCAAGAAAGGCTATGGATTGCTCGGTTTTTCTATTAGAAATTCGAGAAATCGAGCTTTTGGTAAATGGCCGCTTAAAGGCAAGAAATCCAATGGCTTATCGCATATTGAACTAGAATTTTGATAATACGACAGAAATTCGCTTAACGGCCAATTGAAGGCAAATTCGGGTTTAAAGGCCGCTTGAAGGCAAGAAATTCTATCCATTGATTGATTTTCTCTATAAATTCGTCAAAATCGAGTTTTAAAGGGCCGTTGAAGGAACAGGCTAGAGATCACTCGCTTATTCATCGATATTCGTTGCTAAGTCAAAGTATCGCACAAAACCCTTTTCAAAGGCCCATTGAAGGCAAGAAAACGCTGGAGGTCGATAACGAATTTATCAATTTTTCTGAAAAGAATTCGATAAAATGGAAAACACGCTTTTAAAGGGCCTATGGCGATTGAAGGCTAGAAAATTCCAACTTCAGATCGACCCAACCCCTAAAAATCTGCAACAATGGTCGGATTGCCTGGTAGCCCTGAAAACTACAACCCACAGACTACAGGCTACATTCACCCAGGGCGAAATGCCCACAGAAATGAATCAATTTTTGTGGAAACTCAAGGGATCGAGCAGTATTAAGGTGAGCTATCCCCCTTTGCCTTCAATGGCCCTTTAAAAGCTCTTGTAATTTATTTTTAGTTGATAGCCGATGCTGGGAATTATCTCCCTGCTGGAATCCTAAAAATACCTACCGTAATTGGTGCGGAGACGCTGCAGATCGAGTTGGGACATTTCTCGGCGGTTAGTTGATTTTTTTGGAGAAACTAGGGCAAGCCAGCAGAGATTCTTTGGCCGGAAACCCCCAAAAACGCTGAAAATCGGCTTTTTGGGGTTTAAAGCTACTTTTAAGTCTGAAAAATTGAGGAGGCAAGCTAGCAGAGATTCTTTGACCTCGAAATTGGTCAAAAAAACCCAAAAACTTTTCAATTTCAGCGTTCCCAATCTCACAAGGTAATATTGTTTGTTTTCTGGAGTCCCACCTCTTCGAATTTTCCTAATTTCCTCCTCGTAATCCATTGAAGTCGTACTTTCCAAGAATGGAGTGTCTCCCTCACTAATCAAGTGATTTTTATCATATTTTGTAAGTTTTCTAAACATTACCTTTTCAGGAAGAATCCAATCAACAATTGGAGGCAGAAGAAGATGTGATGGGATTGAGGGGGAAGACGATACACATCAGAGGGGCTAGAATTACGCCGAAGGAGTGTAATCGGATTATCAAGGTATTGAAGAGGATCGAGGGGCTGGGCAAGCTAGCAGAGATCATTTTAGAGCTTGGTGTGCTAGCAGATGCCTTTGAAGATGTTTTTGGCAAAGGGCAGGCTAGCAGAGACCATGTGAGAGCTTTGCAGCTCGACCTGCAGCGCTTTTTTTGGTTAGGGCAAGCTAGCAGTGATCATTTGCGCCGAAGGCAAACTAGCAAAGACCATTTGAGAGCATTGCATGTCGTCTGAAGCATACTAGCAAAGCCCATTCCATTCCAGCGCTGGCTCTCCTCGCCCCAGCCCACAAAAATCGACATCAAAATCGCGATCGACTCGGCGAGATTCTCGAAGGAGGAAGTGTTTGACGGGATACAATATGAGGTTTGTATTAAATTTAGATACATTTTGACTACAAAAGCCAATTTGATACTCTAGCACTAAGCTACAGATTACGATACAAACTCCATGCACAAATTCCAGCCCCGCAACGCACAATATCGGGGCCAATATTTGATCGAGAGGCCGAACGGCAATGGTATCCTTGCGGAACAGGCCGTTGTCTCGTATCTATGCGGAAAGTAAGCATTTTTAAAGGCAGCGTGACAGCTGAGGAAATTGTAGCCTGGATGTTAGGCTACAGAAATATACCTTTAAAACTCGGATTAAGTCATTATAAAATTATTATTTGATTCTTCGGACGTTTTTCTGGCTGTAAAAATGGTAGCCTGCTTCCAAGTTTACGGAACTATACCTTTAAATACCACTGAATGCCCTATTTTTTCAAGCTTCACCCTCAGCACCCAGATCGACACGGAGAAACAGCTGCAGCGGTGGTTCTTCTGAATTTTTTGAAGGAGAAATACCTCGCGTAATGTATTAAATCACTGCCAATCTAACTATCGGTCCATTTTTGGCTCAATTTGCATGCTGGTGACTACAATGGAGTTTGTAGTTTGTAGCCTGTAGTTTCTTTGGATGTACATAAATGTATAAATTCGATTTTTATTGATAAAAACGCACCGGATACATTTTTTTGGGGACAAGAAAAGCCAAGTGAAGTGACAAGAATATACGCGTATGACGACGAGAGAGGGTGAGCATCGAAGGGAGCCAGACGACAGAGTACAAACCACGCGAAAATACGGACCGACGGACATACTACAAACTCCACAGCACGATTTTTTTGAAGAAGAAAGTAGCCAAGAATACAGACTACAAAATCTGAAGCATTCGCTACAGACTACAAACTACAAAAAGCAAATGACCAAATGGCAAGACGACATGCTGCAGACTACAAACAAGACGAGATAAAACAAACTACAAAACCATACGCACTGACGTGGAGACACGGCACCGGGATACAAACTACAAATTGACGGCAGGCCTCAGAATACAAAGCTCAAAAACAGCAAATCGACGACGAAAATGAGCAGAATGCCGGCGATGAGGTCGAGCTTCGAGAAACGCTTCAATCCGCCGGGCGGTTGAGGAGCTTGGGGGATCGAGGAGCTGGAACGGGAAGATGAGACTACAGACTATAATCCTAAAAATATTCAAGGCTAGACTACAAAGTGCAAATCAAAGTCAGAAAGCCGATAAGCTAGGCTAGACTACGTCCGGCTACTGGCCATGATTTCTAACAAGCTTTTTGTAGCTTGTATTGTGTAGGCTACAGACTATAAACTACACTTTGAACCCCCAAAACTTGGCTAGGCTACAAAGTACAGACCCGGACTACAGACTACAGTGTTTTGTTGGACCTTTAGAGCGGAAAAGGCGGGTTTTTCAAGCGCTTTTTTAGCTTGATGCTCATAGACTATAGGCTACAGCCTACAATTTGACCCCGAAATCTGATAGTGGAAGCAAGGCTACAAAGTTAATGGCGCCAGTTACAAACTACAAAGTTTGGTGTCAAAATGGGTTCGTTTTCGAGCCTTTTGTAGCTCGTATTTTGTAGGCTACAAGCTACAAACTATAACCGCGACCCACCAATAACACTCTGCCTCCCTGGTATTGATATATCCGCCGGGTTGCGTCAAATTGCACGCCGCCCGCTTCTTGCCGGCCGTCCTGCACCGGAAGTGGCAGCAGCTGTGGAACACCTCACAACTGCTTTGCGCTGCCTGAAATTGTAGATGGGATTCGATTACGCTATGAAATTCAGGCTTTCCGAGTGTCTTGGAATTGTTTTTGAAAGATTTGGCGTTTGGAATCGATTACGCTATGAAAATGGTACTGTCCTCTCCATTTACATCAAGTTTTTGGGCTGTTTCTAACCCTATAAAAATTATTTTCAAGCGAATTCTGGCGTAGTTTTGGGCGTAGATTCAGAATTTCACTTACCCTGGCCAGACAGTCATTAGTGTGATTCTCGGCCCTTGTCGTGTGGTGAGAGATTAGAGAAATGAAGAGAACACAGCCAACAAATGGCCTCAACTCCATTTCATTCCTCTGGACACTAGCCTGAAAATGTGTGCATTCAATGGTGTAATCGATTAGAGCGTTTTAAGAGCAATTGGATAGCATTATCGCTTAAACTGATTAATTATTAAACTTGATTTTTTGGGTGATATTAATATCGTAATCGGTTCCAGCGGCGCAATATTTGCTAGCGTAATTGATTAGAAACTGGTTTCGTTGCGTAATCGATTAACGAGCTTTGAATTTTCATGAAAATAAAATTAATTTCTAGCGTAATCGATTAAAATAAATTAATTTTTAGAGTATTTTCATCGTGTACTCGAATGAATAAGGAAAAATTGATTTTTAGAGTATTTTATTAGCGTAATCCGATGAAATCAATTTATTCGAGTGTTATTTAATAGCGTAATAGAATAAATAAAAAAATTATTTTTTAGAGTGTTTAGGGTATTTCAATAGCGTAATTGACTAGCCAGTAGCCCCAGAATGCCCGCTAAAGATAATGGGACGAGCAGACGGTTTGTGTGTATTGAGTTGGGGAGGTCGGGAGACAGACAGCTCTGGTCCTGCCAAGATCTACACCGGCGCAAATAGACAAATAATTCGACCCAATAATCCTTCTAGAAACCATCCACAATGGTCTCTGCTAGATTGCCCGATTTTTAAAATACTTAAAAGTCGGTTCAAGCACGAAATCTGGTGAAAACTTTCCTTTAAAGTTTAAAATACCCAATTTTTAGCCTAAAATTACCGTAGCAAATTCGTCGTTTTTATGTTTCTGTGAGAGTTACAACTCAAAAGCACAAATTACGGCAAAAAAAACTGATTTAAATACCTTATTTTTGCATGCACACTACCTGCTCCCCACACGCCCCCCACCTGGTCCACTAGTGTGGAGGGGGTCCCATAGATTTTCCTTTGAGTTGGCCAGCAATTGCCCCAAGGCTTAGGCTTAGGCTTAGGCTTAGAGGTCTCTCTCTCTCTCTCTCTCTCTCTCTCTCTCGCTGCCAGGCGGCTAAACCGCCTTGCCAGCTTCTGGATGGCAGATTTCCGCCTTTCGCCCATTCGGCTAGCTCTGCGCCGTTTTGATCGTTTTCCAAGTTGGGTTTAGCCTTTAGGATACTCTGGCTCGAATACTGTAGCTGTTCTTGTCATTTTTTAGTTCGTAAAGGATTAAAAATTGTTAAAGAATTAAAAAATTTTTTGAACATCACCACCCACTCGCCACCCACCTGGCCCACTAGTGTGAAGGGGGTCCAGGAGATTTTCTCCTGTGCTGGCCAAGTATTGCCCCGAAGCTTAGGCTTAGGCTTAGGCTTATGCTTAGGCTTAGGCTTAGGCTTAGGCTTAGGCTTAGGCTTAGGCTTAGGCTTAGGCTTAGGCTTAGGCTTAGGCTTAGGCTTAGGCTTAGGCTTAGGCTTAGGCTTAGGCTTCGAGTTCGACCATGGAAATCGGCCAGATCGATAGGCAAACGAAAATGTTAGGTTTTTGTTTTTTTTTCTTCAGATTTTTCGCTGGTATTTTTCCGTTGGTTCTCAAAAGCGTATAAAAAATTTGTGAAAGCTTCTAAAAAAATGAAAAAAGAGGAGCAGAAAAATAGAAAACCGGTGGAGCATGTATTTGTGTGTTTGCTGGGGACTCCTCTCTCCCATGAGAGAGAGAGAGAGAGAGAGAGAGTGAGAGAGAGTGAGAGCACGAGCAAAATGACATTGAAATGGGAGAGGGGGCAAGGCGAGAGTGAGAGACGCAGAAAGTTAGAGATACACAAAAAATGAGGGCACAGATGGCCGGGAGGTTCTCCTCTCTTTTGCTATCTCTCTTCTTTTCAGCCGACTGGCACCGCACACGGCCCAGCGGAAATTGCCCTCAAATGGTAGAGAGAGGAGGGAGGGAAAACGGTATTATCTTCTTCTATAATTTTCTCTCTCTTTCTTTCTCCCTCTCTCTCTCTCGTTAGAGGCCTTGAAATTTTGAACACCGCCCCTTGGAAAAAGATGAAAAATGTCAGTTCCCATCCCGAAAAAATGAAAAATAAGTGCAAAAAAATGTGGAAACCTGTAGAATCAATAGCTTTAGATTTGTAGCCTTCAATGAACTTTTAAAATAACGCAATAGATATAAAACTGCAAAAATAGTTGTGAAAAAATTAAAATCCTCATTTTCCAGCTATTGGATTAACTTTTCCAAGGTATTTAAGTTTTTGTCTAATAGAACTTTAGCTTCTCGACGTTTTCCAAAACTAAATAAACCTTTTTAAAACCAGTTTTCACTTAATTTTCCAGGGTGCCAGATCAAATACTTCAACAGCCAAATTTAACGCGTGGTAAAATTACACGTCAAATTTATCACTTTTGGGATTTACACGGTGTAATTGAGTTTTATAAGGGTTTTCAAGGAAACTTGGCCGAAAATTTACACGCGTAAATTACACGCGAAAATTGCAGCCATATGGCAGGGATGGGCCAGAAGGGACACTCAGTTTCGCCAGGAAGGACCTAAAGCTACGGTAACGGGTTTCATGAGCAAGTGCAGAAAAGTGGGGAAGGGTGTTGGGCTGGGAGGTGATTGGCAACATAAATTTTAAACTCCATCCCATTTCGGTTCCGTATGGAAAAGAAAAGATCCATTAGTTTCGACCAAATATGGGCGCTGTTTTACAATTGCAAAATACGAATGTTACCACAACGGAAAACTTTAATTTTTAAAGAAAATTACATTCGGAAATGGCAAAGGAGATTAGAACGTTTATCATTTACCACCAGTTTAATGCCTTCACGCAGCTCAAACACCCTTCCCACTTCAACACACGTAACTGAAATCGAAATAATATATTGTTTATTTTTTTAAATTTTTTCTTGTTTTTTATGCCTTGCCTGGTCTATACATTTGATAAAAGATCTAACAACGCGATTTGAGTGAAATTTTAGTGTAATTTTAAGAAAATTACATTTGGAAACGTAATCGCTCAAAAAGGCTTCACAAATGCATATAAAAAATTTGGACTTAGCGACCACTTTTTGGCCGCTTTGTACCTCGCTTTCTCTTTTACCTCCAAAAAATTTTCCATGAGGCTCCGTTGGTAATTTGCCTCCTGTAATTTTTCTTTCCCTCCCAACGTCCTTTTTACCACGTATCATTTCACGTAAAATAGAATTTAACTTTCATTTTTAACTTTTTAAGGAACTTCGAATTTACACGCGAAAAAATACACTGTAATTTTTACACCGTTAAAAATTTCACGTGTGGAAATTTCGGGCTGGTCCCAGATCATAAGTAAAAACAGCCAAAATTTACACGTGAAAATTACACTCAAATTTAATGTCACTTTTGGGATTTACAGTGTAATTGAGTTTTAGGGGTTTCAGGAACATGGCCGAAATTTACACTATTTTTACACAAATCGGATTCGAGGGATCGTTCATTCAGATTATTTTACTGATTCAAAATTTTACGCGTGTATTTAGGTAAATTCTTGAAACTGTGTAATCGCTCAAAAAAGGGCCTACAAAACGGCATAAAAAATTTCCAGGCATAGCGATCCACTTTTTTGATCACTTTTACCGTCTGCGTTTCTCATTTTACTTTTCCAAAATATCCGATTTGCTGAGGTCCATTGGGTGTAATTTTGGCGCTCCGTGTAATTTTTTCGGTTTTTTCCTCCTCTCCGACACGTCACTTTTACCACGCGTAATAATTTAACGTGTAAAATTTCGATTTTACACGCTGTATTTTCATTTGTTCATTTGTTAAGGAAATTTCGATTTACCGCGTAAGACACGCGTGTATTTTTTCCGCGTAAATTTACACGTGGTAAAATTTCGGCGTGTATTTGTTGGGTCCACCCAGGGGTATTTTGTCTGGGTACCAGCCCGGATTTAAACTTTCTGCGCGCTATCTAGGGGTTGAGTACGGCGCATTCCACCCTACACCCTCTCTTTGCGCCCTCTACGACATGCCTTACATTTCGGAATTCGCCTCAATCAAAAAAATAACTGGTACGTTTTCGAGTTTAAGGTTATAATTAGTTTAATTATGCCTTTTTCATGCTTAGAAACCTTTAATAAGATGTATCTTATAGTTAGAGGAGTTTCTAGCGTTTCCATGACCTTTTTATGACTAAAAAATGGCAGTAAACTTTCGAAACCTAGCTAAAAAATTCCTAACTCAATTAGAAACTATTTCATGTGTAGTTTTATTATGTTTTCCATGTTTGAAGCTTTTCCGGGCTTTCTTTCCTTTTTGTCTTTCTGTAGAATCTTATTAATTACAGTTTTTCAGGTTCAAACGATGCCCCGCGAGGACAAGAAGCGCAGAAAGCACGACAGCTCTTCGGAAGGTAAATTTGTTTCAGACTTTTTTTTGATAGCGTTTTCGTTATAGATGAAGGCCACGGCCGCCGCTCCAAATCTCCAGTCGAGCCGAGGGATAAGCGGTAAAAAAATTGGGCTGAAAAATGTCATTTTCTTGATTTTTAGGCGCAAGTCAAAATCGCCCGAAAAAGTGGAGCGAGTGGAGAAGGAAGGCGGCGGAGGAGCGTAAGTTTATTAATTCATATCTTGCCTTGTAATTAATTAGTTTATATGTATACAAGCTATTTTATTGACGTATTTGAATCAAAAACAAAAAAGTAGCTATCCTTTCAAAACTTGTTGAATTTTGTAGTACATTTTCTGTAGTTTTTAGAGCTTATTAATTTAAATACAGTTGATTTTTCTAGTGACTTCTCGCTGTCGATCCAGGAGACGAACAAGCTGCGCGCCCAGCTCGGCCTCGCCCCGCTTGAAGAGGACACAGGTCCGAAAGTGAGAGACGCAGAAGATGGCGAGCTCACCGACAAGATTATCAACGAAGAGGGATTCGAGTTCAGGCATCGAAAGGTGAGCGGGGGAGAGCTGGCAGAGATTCTTGAGGAACTTCAGACCAAGGAGACCTAGTCGAGAAAATTAAGACATTCTTAGGCAAACTAGCAGAGATGGCGCAGGAAATTGCGAAGTTTTGAGGAAAACTAGCAGGGATCCTGGAGGAAATTCAAGAGGACAACCTGCAGATATTTCCAGGAATTCTTAGGCAAGCTAGCAGAGCTCCCTGCGGAAATTCCGGAGGACAGGAAAAGGAAATCACAAGGAATCTAGCGGAGGCTTTGGAGGATGTTAGGATAACTAGCAGAAAAAAATCTTTGAAAAAAGCTGGCGGGGAGCATTCAAGAATTTCTTTTTCAGGCAGACAACTGGGGAGACAAGAAGCGCGACGACGCCATCAAGGAGAAAATCGAGGTGGCGAAGAAGAAGCGAGAGGTCTACTCAAAAGTGCTCAAATCAAGAGGGCTCGCTGATGATAGCTCGGATGACGAGGCTTCGGGATGGGTAAGGCATTTCAAGCTTATTAAAGAAGTTAATAAATGAATTTAAATTTGTTTTATATGGCCACAATCATTTCAATGAATCGATTCAGGTGACAAAACAGCGACAGCTTGATGAAGAGAAAAAGAAGGCGGAAGAGAGGGCGAAGGCGCTCGACGCGCTGGACGAGGAGCTCGCCGATTCCGGCGCTATTGAGGGCCAGAGCAAGAAAAAGAAGACGGGCAAGAAGGTGAGAAATTGCGCTTGAAAAGCTAAGAACTCTTTATTCTGAAAATCCCAAATTTATGATGAAAAATCTGAGATTTTTTGGCTTTTTTAAAAGTCAATTTTTCATTCTCAAAGCTTTTCAATCCTTTTTCCATAATTTTGTAACCTTTCCGACACGGTTTAGGCACATAAAAATGCCGAATCGATAAAAATGCTTGTTTTACAACATATCCGAGCTTGAATTTCGAGTTTTAAATTAGATTTTTAGCTTTTTAAAGTTTTAAATTATCTATTTCTCTAAATTTAGCGTATTTTTATTGCCTCCTTTTTTCCAGAAGCCAGCGGGCAACGCGATGACGGGCGGCCTGACCATCGGCCACAGCAAAGACGAATTCCTCTCCGGCCAGGAGCAGATTCTCGTCCTCGAGGACAAGGGTACGTTTATCAATTTAAAAAATAGATGAAATGATAATTAAAACTAGATTTTCATGCTTTTTTTATCTCTTTTTTTCTATCGATTTTATCTACTGTTTTAGGCGTTCTCGACGACGGCGAGGAGGTGCTCGTCAACCCGAACATTGTCGACAAGGAGCGCACGACGCGAAATGTCGACCTGAAGAAGAAGAGAGGCGCCAGAGAGTATGGAGACGACTTGGACGAGTTCGGAAATGTAGGCAAATATTTGGAAATTAAGAATTTTATTTGTTTTTAGCCAAAAGAGGGCATGCTGTCGAAATATGATGAGATGGACGGGCCGGAGAGGACGACGTTTCGATTGGATGATAGGGGAGAGGTGGGTAAGGGGAAAGAGTGATCTAGCGGAGGTTATTGAGGAATTTGGAGGCAGGCCAGCAGCGGAAATTGCGGAAATTGAAGAAGGCGGTCTAGCAGGGAAAATTGGCAAATTCTAGGGCCTGTTTGCAAAGCTTTTGTGGAATTTTTGGAAATGCGAGCTTGCAGGGAAAATTAGGGAATTGGGAGACAGCTAGCAGAGAAATTTTGGGAATTTGTGGGGCAGCTAGCAGAGAAAATTTAGGAAGTTGGAAAGCATACAAGCAACTAACAGCTATTTTTTTAGGAAATTAGGGCAAGCTAGCAGTGCTTTCTTGCTAAATTAAACCCACAATTTCAGGTGGACATCGAGAAAGAGAAGGAAGAACGCGAAATGCGCCAACGTCTCCTGATGGCCGGCAAGATTCTCGTCAACCTCGACGACAGCAACAAGTTCACCCGCGCCTCCGAATTCTACACCCAAGAGGAGATGATCTCTTTCCGGAAAGTGAAGAAGGAGAAGAAGGAAAAGAAGCTGCGAAAGAGGGGAGGCAAAGAGAAGGGCGGCATGCTGAAGGCTGATGATCTCGTCCCTGTTGAACCTGCTGGAGGCGCTGATCGCGGCAGCAGGTATGCATTAATTTAGATATTTTATAAATGACTATTTTGAAATGTAGTGAATTTTATAATTTTTTTAATCTATTTTAATGCCTAGATTTTTTAATTCTCATTCTCAGGTCCCGCCGCCGTCATGGCAGCGACGACGAGGAGCAGATGGACACTTCTGTCGTCAAGAAGGAGCCAAAGCGAGAGGCGAGAGATGGAGAGGATGGAGAGATCGAGACAGAGATGCCAGACGGAGCAACGGGGAAATGGAAGAGGACACAGCAACAACAAGTCGATATTGATGCCCTGAAGAGGATTGTCGAGAGGGAAATGGCTGAGGAGGATGATGAGAGTGATGGTACGTTTTTGGAGGAGATTCCGAAAAGATTCTCTGCTCGTTGCCTGGAATTCTCGGGGAAAGCTGCGCGTTGGTCATTTTTCCCAAAAAAAATCTCTGCTCGTTGCCTGGAATTTAGGAATCTATGCTCGTTACCCAGCATCATTTTTCTCAAAGAGTTGTTGCTCGTTGTCGCGAATTCTCTAGGGAACTCTGCTCGTTACCTCAATGCACATTTTTCTTCAAAGCCCTGCATTCCCCGCAGAATCTGCTCGTTTGCCTGGCGTTCTCTAGGGGTCTCGGCCTTGATCGTTCCGAAAAGCGTCTCTGCTAGCAATCCAGCATTTCCCTAATTTAATTAATTCTATTTTTTCAGTCTTGCTGCTTGCTTGCTGATTTAAATTGCCCTAACAATCTCTGCTCGTTGCTGTTACTTAAATTCCCTAAGAATCTCGGCTTGTTACTTCGGCCTTTCCTTAAAGCATCTCGGCTCGCTAATCTTTGCCGAAAAACGCTGCTCCTCCTCCTCCTCCTCCTCTTCCTCAAAATCCCCCAAAAATCTGTGCTCGGTTCCCCCAGAATCTCTCTTTTTTCAGACGACATAATTCCCGGGATCAACCTGGACGACGTGCTGATCGACGATGATGCGGAGGATGAGCTTCAGTCGATGCTCGAGAAGGCCAGACGATTGAAACAACAGCCAACAAGGACGGCTGGTGCTCGGGATATCAAGGTCGAAGTCAAGGAGGAACCGATGGAGGAGGGAGAGCAGCAGATGCAGGTGTGTTCAGTCTGGGGCCCCATTGGTCGAAACCGGGTGGGCGCTGGTCCCAAAAAGGGGTCCGGGCGCTGGTCTAAGGGCTAGTATTAGCAAAAATTTTTTCGGCGCTTCTGCGCCGTTGATTATCTAAAAGCTTTTTTGCAGAAGTCCGCAGTTTCGTCTCAGTGTCCTACGTAGGTTAAAAATTTTTTGACGCCGGCTGACTCGGAGCGAACCGATAAAAATAAATCATCAAAGAAAAATTGCAGGCGACAATTAACGCGAAGGAAACTGAAAGAAGCCGAAGAAGAAGCTGATGAAGTCTCTAAAATGCATTCCTTTCCTATCCTCTCAAGATCATCCGTATGCTCTTACCTATCTCTGACCTTTAAAGCTCCTGATGTGTAAGTACGTAAAGTTGTAAAAACCCCGAATTTGTTATCCAAAGAGACCCAAAGAGAACTGAAACATTGCCGGAGATCATTTGAAACCAGAATTGAGCCTTAACGAAAACATTTTTATCATATCACCTAAAAATTGTTCCATCAAAAATTCAAATTTGACCAATGACCGATTTACTCAAACTGGCCAATGGTAGATCTGGGTCTACTAATCACTAGGAAAAATACAGATTTGTACCCGGTTAAGACCGGTTTCGGGACCAGCGCCAAATCGACCAATCAGCCGACCAATCAAGGTTTCCCGTTTTGGTCCCCTGAAATATCAGCTAGATTGGTTTAATTGGAATGGAGGAGCCTAAGGGAGGGTTACCGTATGCCAAAAAGAATATTAGATTGCTGCGTCTGCTTCAGCCTGGGACAGCGACGTCACTTTTTGGATTTGAAAATCGGCCAAATGCGGAGTTTTCCCTAACAGGGGAGTAATTTTAAAAATTTTCCTGAGGCCGATGATAGAGTACGATGTGCCCGAATGATGATCGTACGTCCGGACCGGCCCTCTACGCGGAACATGGGACCAGCGACCCATTGGCGAGCCGATTTGTCCATGCAACATCGGTCGCTGGTCCCAAAGTCGTCTTCAAATGCACCGAATCGAGTCGCCAGATTTATTCCAGCTGCTGATGACGTTCCTCACCACAGTCAACATTTGAAGTCAACGCTTCCGATTCGGCAGAGATAGCCTACTAATGGCCCCAAATCCCATATAAAAGGAGCAAAATCGGCTCGACCAATGGAGTCGCTGGTCCCATGCTCCGCGTAGAGGAGCCGGATCCGGACGTACGATACATCATTCGAAAGAGCACATCGTACTCTATCATCGGCCTCAAGGAAAAATTTTTAAAAAATTACTCCCCCCTGTTAAGAGGAAAACTCCGCATTGGCCGATTTTCAAAATCCAAAAAGTGACAGTCGCTGGTCCCAGGCCGAAGCAGACGCAAGCAATCTAAATATTCTTTTGGCATACGGTAACCCATCCCTAGGCTACCCCATTCCAATTAAAACCAACAGCTGAATTTCAGGGGACCAAAAACGGGAAAAACCTTGATTGGTCGGCTGATTGGTCGATTTGGCGCTGGTCCCGAAAACCGGTCTTAACCGGGTACAAAAAATCTGATATTTTTTCCTAGTGATTAGTAGACCCAGATCTACCATTAGGCCAAGTTTGAAGTAAATCGGTCATTGGAATCAAAATTTGAATTTTGATGGAACAATTTTAGGTGAATGATAAAAAATAAGTTTTTCGTTAAAGGCTCAATTCTGGTTTCAAAATGATCTCCGGCAATGTTTTCAGTTCTCTTTGAGGTCTCTTTGGATAACAAATTCGGGGTTTTTACAACTTTACAGTACTATACACATCAAGGAAGCTTTAAAGGTCAGAGATAGGTAAGAGCATACGGATGATCTTGAGAGGATAAGAAAGGAATGCATTTTAGAGACTTCATCAGCTTCTTCTTCGGCTTCTTTCAGTTTCCTTCGCGTTAATTGTCGCCTGCAATTTTTCTTTGATGATTTATTTTTATCGGTTCGCTCCGAGTCAGCTGACGTCAAAAAAATTTTTAACCTGCGTAGGACATCTGAGACGGAAATCACAGCATACACAGATACCATCGATAATTTTCGACAACAGAAAAATCCTGCAAAATTATCCCAAAACTAATTTTCTGCAAAAATCGCGCGCTCCGCGGCGCTGGTCTAAACCCAGTCTTATCCCTCCGGGCGCTGGTCCCAATGGTCGCTATCCCCTATCTTTCCCAGACTGGGTGTGTTAGGATCGATTACGCTATTAAGATGAAGCTGGTTTTTGATGAAGCCTAAACGATTAAGATTGTTAGCCCTAAAGGATTACGGTAGAAAATTCAGCGTTTTCCGCAAACTATTTTGATAGGAGAATGAGCAGGAGATTTTGGTTGGCTGAATCAGTTACGCGACGAAAATTTGCACAAGCTGGAAACGATTCCGCGAGCAAATTGGATATTTTTTTACGTTGAATTTAAACGATGACGCTATGAAATCCTGAGCCTCTCAAAACGGATTACGCTATGAAAATTAGCTTTCTAACCCCTTCAACTCGTTTTTTTTCAGGCAGACGACGATGACGGCCTCGTGCTCATCGATTCGACCATGGAATATTGCCGCAATATCGGAGAGATCAGAACCCATGGCATTGCCGGGAATAGAGATGACGCCATCGACTATGAGGAAGATGAGAGGGAGGCGGAAGAGCCGCAGAGAGAGGAGGACGAGGCCGAGAAGAAACCCGACCCACTGATGGCACAGAAGGCTGAGGACGAGGAGATCAAGAGGATTCGGTAACGAGAAATTTAATTGATTTTTAATCGCATTCTTTTTAGAGCCCTGAAGGAGAAGAAGCGTCGCCAGGCGGCTGCTGCCAAGGAATCGCGTGGAGGGTGAGGATTTTAGGGTTTTAAAAGGAGCGTGAGAACTAGTAGAGTGAGAGGTACAGAAAAGCGAGAGAAAGAGAGAGACGAGAAAGCTAGAGAAATAGAGACGCGATCTAGCGAGAGAAAGAGCGGGATACAGAAAGGCGAGAGAAAGAGAGAGACGCGATGAAGCGAGAGAAATAGAGACATAGCGAAAATGAGACAAAAGATATTAAATTCCTTTTTTAGTTGGATGGAGCCGACGAGCACCTCGGCCCTCGACGCCGAGGATGAAGCCGCCCTGCGCGACGTCAAGGGGGAGTGGCACGGGGTGAGGATTTTTATGAGATTGTAGCAATTTAAATAGATTTAATTATTCAAATCAGTTTTATTTATAATTCTAAGTGCGGTTAAGTCTGTTTTAGTAAGGGTTTGTACTTTTTTTGCTGATCTACTAAATTGAAGTAAAGGTTTCGCCTATTGTATTACTTATTTAAATACGTTTTTTAGTCAGAATCTGAGGGCGAGGCTGATGATGAGGATCGGGAAGAGGAGGACGTGCTCGGAGGGGAAATTGACGCCACGAAGGGAGTCGGCGCCATGCTGAAGCTCGCTTCCAAGAAAGGTAACGCGTTAAGACGTGTAATTAGGGGCTTTTGGAAAATTGAAAAAATGAAAAAATTGAAAAATTGAGACCTTTGAATAATTTAGGATCATTACTCGTATTTTTAGACCAGTTACAACTTCAAAATATGCGTTTAAACGATTACGACAGTTTAACAGCCTCCCTTTTCCAGGCTACCTGACCGACATGGGCCGCTCGAAGACGTCCGGCGAGAATCTCGACCATCTCAAGAGTCGCAACTTCTCCAAGGTCGACAGCGGCAGATTGTACGTTTTTCTGGGCTTTTCTTTACGTTTTTAGGAATTTCTGAGCGTTTAGAAGTCTTAAAAATTAGCTATTTTCACTCAAAAATTTTCAGATTTTTAATCTAAAACTTTTTATCTGCATTTTTCGGCGGTTTCTTGCGAGTTTTATATCTTTTTTTTGCAGCGACATAGACGAGAAGTACACGAAGAAGCTGGAAAAGATGGGCACCACCGGAAGGGGACCGACGATGGAATTCTGCGAAAAGAAAGGATACAAGCCAGAAGTCGACATCAGCTATGTCGATAATAAGGGCCGAGAGCTCGAGTCGAAGGACGCCTTCCGGCAGCTCTCGTGGAAGTGAGTGTTTGAAGGTTATATTTGTAGCTTATGATAGCTTAATTGATTAGACAAAAAATTTTTGGGTTGATTTTCATGTCGTAATCGATTAAACTAAATTTATTGAGGCGGATTTTCATTTCGTAAATAGTTTAGGGCGTTTTAATCGTTAAATTTATATCGTAACCGTTTTGGAATTTTTTTTAATGGGTTTTAAATGCCGTAACTAATCTAGAAAACGTTTTTCTAGCTGATTTTTATTCCGTGATCGGTTATATTAAATTTCTATGGCTTTCTTTTAATGACACAATTGTTTGCAAGAATTTTCGAGTTTTGTAAAAAATCATAATAATTTTTTAGCTCGTTCTTGAGGATGTAATTAACTAGAACGGTTTTTTTACTTATTTTCACGTCGTAATTATGCAAAGGTTTTTTATACTTAGCTTTATGCCGCTGTTATCAATTTAGGAAAAGTTTCACTAGCTTTTTCATGCCGTAGTCCATTTAGAAAGTTTTATATAGCCATTTTTCATGACTTAATCGATTCGGATACTTTTGTAGCTATTTAATTTAATTTTAGCGACGCAATTGATTAGGATTATCGTTATTAACGTTTGCTATATCGTAATCGATTATTTGTACTGATTCCTTTCCAGATTCCACGGCAAAATGCCGGGCAAGAAGCAGCAGGAGAAGCGTGCTCGACAAATCGATCAGAAGGAGCTGCTCAAGAACTATCAAAGGTACCGTATATTAATGCATGTATTCAATTACGCAATGTATTTGCAGCAGTTCGGATACTCCCCTCGGAACATTGGCCCGCCAGAGGAAGAAGCAGGAACAACTCCAGACGCCCTATCTCGTCCTTTCCGGCAATGTCAATCAGTGGGTTTTTAGTTTTGATCGGATTTCCTAAAGAATCTCGGCTAGACTGCCTTTTTGGTACTTTCCTAAAGGGTCTCTGCTAGCTTGCCCTGGGCCTAATTTCGTTCGTTCTGCGCGTTTTTGGCCTATTTTTGCTCGCCGGATTTATTTCCGTAAATTGTCTCTGCTAGCTGACCTCGTTCCCCAAGGATCTCTGCTAGATTGCCCTGCTTTTCCTTCCTAAATGGTCTTTGCTAGCCTTCCTAGGTTTTCTTAAATTTTCCTAAGCGCTAATGATCTCTGCTAGCCTGCCTCAAGTGGTTTTTGCTAATTTTCTAGAGTCCTGCATTTTCCTAAAGGGTCTTTGCTAACTTGCCTCGCCTGACTTCTTGATGCTAATGATCTCTGCTAGCCTGCCCTGTATTTTCTAGGTTTTCTAGAGTCGTAAACTTAGGAATTTCAACTCTAAGAATCTCTGCTCGCTTACCCGTCCCTAAATCTCCTTCCTAAAGGGTTTCTGCTAGCCCGCCCAGACCTCAATTGTATCTGCTAGCCTACATTTTCCAACATTTTATGCTAAATTTTGCGAGTTTTCTTGATCTAAAGCGCCCTAAACTCTAAGAACCTGCTAGCTCTTCTACAAACTTCTTCCTAAATTCTCTCTGCTAGCCTGCCCTCGCTAATTTTTCCATTTTCAGTGCCCACTTCAAGAAGGAATGATCGTCTACAGCTGCTGCAACGAGTCCAGTCTACGGGCCATCTTCGAAGAATAAAAAATAACAGCCATTTTTATCCTTTCTTTTTTTGGTTGTTTTATTTATTCGTCTTGTTATCCCAAATGATTTGTCCATTTATCGATTTGGAGATCGTTGTCGTCCCGATTTTACAATGTTTTTGAGAGGATAAATTATAACTTAAGGCTACGAGACATGCTGGAATGCACAACACTGAATTTTCCGCTTGAAAAATGACTGTAAATTCCGGATTTTCTTCGGGGTTGTAGTTTGTACCTTGAGTGTTCTCTGCTCGCTACCGACTAGCCACGGTCTGGCCCACTACAAAAGTATAAGCCTGGAAAAACCTAGGGATGGTGGGGGGGAGGAAGGTGGACTTACTAAACTTCAATTTCACGTACCTTGAAATGAATTTTTATAGAAATTCTCTATCAATCAATCTATTAAAAAGATCGCATTCATAAAATTAAGTAAGCCAAAAACAAAGCTTACTGTACAAGCCTCGTCTTTTAATTTCAAAGTTATTAACTTTGAAATATAAAAACTATGGAATTGAAAGCCGAAGCTGACTTCAAATTCCATAGCGTCATGGCTTCAATTAGCACGGGCTTCGGCTCTAAGAATATTAGAGCTTAGCCCGGCAAGGGTACACCCAGGGACACGCCCCAAGCCACCCAAAAACCTAGCCGAGTGGCCGACCCTTATGGCCTGACAGTGGGCCAGACGGGGGGCTAGTCGCACCAGCCCCACTAGCCCACCGTCTGGCCCACTGTCAGGGCATAAGGGTCGGCGGTTTGGTGAATTTTTGGGTGGCTCGGAGCCGTGTCTCTGAGCGGACCCTTGCCCGGCTAAGCTCTAAAATGTTAGAGCCGAATCTATGAAGCCTTGAAGCTTAACTTTAAGTCAGCTTATTAGCTCTTCATTTCCAGTGTTTCTTAGATTTAAAAGTTGAGAACTCAAAAATTAAAAGACGAGGCTTACTAATTTTGTTACTATCCATATCAATAGATCGTAGTTTTTGTAGAGAATACAATCTCATTTTTTATAGTAAATATCATAATGAATTCCAAGGTACGTGATGGATAGTAAGTCCACCGTCCTCCCCGACCACCATCCCTAGTTTTTGCCGAGCTTATACTTTTGTAGTGGTTCAGACGGGTGGCGAGCCGGTGGTGATCAGCGAGCGTACAAAGGAGACTGAACTCAAATAGCCAATAAAACTGATTCCTAGATTCTAATAATAGAGTTTCTAATGAACCTCCGAAGTTATAGTCAAAAATTGGCTGCCGAAAAGCAAAGCTGCCTAACTTATGCTAAAGCGATATAAGAATGAGAGCTTCCACTCGGGAAAGCGGAAGCTAGGCCAGCCGGGCAGAGCTTCGCCTAGCTTAGGCAGACCAAGCCTGCTTTCAAGCCAAGCAAGGGTAGACAGACCGAAGTCCACTTGCCCAAACTTGCATGGAATAATGAGATGGAGCTTCAAAGATGAAGCTCTAACCTCTTTATTTGCCCTCATTGATCACAACCGAATCATCGATTGGTTCACTAGAGTGTGCCCTGAGGGCAAAGGGGCGGCAAGAAAGCCACCCGACTTGCCGAGAAAATGGCCGGTCTATCTGTCCAGACAGTGGGCCAGATGGGGGGCGAGTGAGGTGGCGAGCAGGGAACCCTCAAAGAACACTGTTCTGGCTGGTTTAGTTACCCAAGTTTGCGGTTAGGTACGTGTTCATAGGAGCGGCGTCGGCTTGGATTAGAAAAAAGAGTTGTGCCTCGAAGTTCGAACTTGGTTCAGGCTGGAAGTTGGCTTAGCTTCGGTTTAAGTCCAGGCTTAGCTTCGTTACAGCATTAGCCGACTGTGTTTCAGCCTAACTAGCTTCTGCTTCGCCGACAAAGAGGTTTTTTTTTGGGGGGGGGTTTTTTTCGGGGCCCGAGCCTTTTCGAGGGGGGGAAAAGGGGGGGGGGGTTCGGTTTTTTTTTTTTTCTTTTTGGGAGAAATAATATTTTTTTTTTTTTAAAATTAAATTAAAATTTTTTTTTGGTTTTGGGGTGTCTTCCTCTCGGGTTTTTTTTTTTTCGGGTCCCCCCTCCCCCCCCCGGTCCCCCTTCCCCCTCTCCCCGGGGGGGGTTTTTGTCGGGGGGGGGTTGTTTTTTTTTTTTTTTTTTTTTTTTTTTTTTTTTGTTTTTTTTTTTTGTTGTTTTTTTTTTTTTTTTTTTTTATATTTTTTATATATTTTTTATTTTTTTTATATTTTTATTTTTTTTTTTTTTAAACGGGATGGGGGGTTTTGGCCAGGGGTTTGGAATTATAAGGAAACTTTTGGCCCCCCCCCGCAAAAAATAATAAAAAAAAAAAAAAAAAAAAAAAAAAAAAAAAAAAAAAAAAAAAAAAAAAAAAAAAAAAAAAAAAAAAAAAAAAAAAGAAAAAAAAAAAAAAAAGGGAAAAAGAGAGAAAGAAACCAAAAAAATTCGGGGAAAAAAGAGGGGGGGGGGGGGGCGTGGCCCCGGGGGGGGGGGGGGGGGGGGGGGGGGGGGGGCGGGGGGGGGGGGGTGAGTGAGGGAATTCTCTAAAAAAAAAAAAAAAAAAAAAAATAAAAAAAATTTAATAAAAAAAAAAAAAAGGGATTTTGTTATTTTAAAAAGGGGAAGGGGGAAGGGCCCCCGCCCCGGGGGCGAGCGAACCCCCCCCGCCTTAGCTTCAGCCTCCTAACTAGCATGAGCTCCGCCGACTTGGCTTCAGCGCCGCTAGCTTCTGAAGCATAGCTTCCCAGCTAGTTGTGTGCTTATCCCTCCCCGGCCTCTCGGCGCTGGAGAAGAACCTACCGGTATATTGGGGTGCGTCGTCCCCAATTATATCCGAGCAGTCCAAAATTGGACCCCATACTTCACCGTAGCCTGGGGTCACGACAAAATCCGGCAATGGTTCGATGACCCCGGAAGTTGTTATTTGTAGCTGATCTAGTAGAACACTAATCAGTACTCAATACACACTCTCCCCCTAGGGGGAAGTGGCAATGGGAGGGGAACGGACGTCTCCGACCCCACAAATTGGCCATGGATGGGGGGAGGGATATGCCCTGACAGTGGGCCAGGTGGGGGGCGAGTCGCGGAGGCGGAAAAGTCGGTTTAATTACCCAAGTTTGAGGTTAGGTTAGGGATTCGTGAGCTTTTCTTAGGCATAGGCATAGACATGGGCTTAGGCTCGGCTCAGGCTTACGCTTGGCTTAGGCTTAGGCTTGGCTCAACACTCAACTGACCAAAATTGACCGTATTTCAGCTATTTTAATGATATTTAGCGTTTTTTACACGCTCGCACTCGATTTGCAATCAATCTGACTTTTCTAACTCTAACTGATCCTCATTTCCATCCTGAAATCTCGTTTTGCCTCCCAAATATCTCAAAATAGAGCTGCACCTCCTCAATTCAGCAAACTCACTCTCTCACTCCCCCCGCAATCCCATTTGCTGTCCCAATTCTCCCAGGGAGGTTGACCGCCAAAAATCGGGGCTTCTCCCTGGGCTCAGCTCTTTTTTACGAACCTAGTCCTGAACCCACCGGAGATGTGTTCGTTTCAGTTTTTCCGGGGCTCCAGGAAGCCGGCTAATCGAATTAGTTTAAACCGCCGGGAACGAACCGTTCAGTTTGAGGTCGTTTTTCCGGGAAATTGGGAAATTTTTCAGTTTTCAGCGTTGAATTCTTCTAGAAATGTTTCAGTGGATGTAAAATTGTTTTATTTAGTTTAAAAAAGTTTACAAGTGAAAGTTAAAAACTTGGTTTGAGCCCGTTTTTCCGGGAAATTGGAAAATTTTGTCTGGGTGCGCGGTTTTAAACCGCTTTTACAACCAATTTTCGGCATTAAATTTTTCTAAAAATGTTTTAGTTGTAAAGAATATGCTTTATTTAGTTAATCCACAAAGAAAACGCCAATTTCGCTCGCCATTAAACGCGATTAAAATTGTTTGTGTTCCCCGACCATGCCGTTGCCATCACTTTTCTTGAAAAACCTGAAAATATTTTGAACGTCTCGCCGAGAGGGGCGTTCTTTTTCTTTTATTTTTGGGTGTCTGGCTGCCAATTATCGTGTAAGTAGTAAATATTAGTGTTTATAAGCTTAGGCTTAGGCTCAGGCTTAACTTACACTTAGTCTTAGGCTTAGGATTGGGCTTGGCTTAGGCTTAGGCTTAGGTTCTCTAACTTTCCACAATCTTGTTTTCCCAACAGAAATATGATATTTCCAGGATTTCCTCTCATATTTCCGGCCTCGCAAAAAAAATGCTGGCGATGATCTGGGCGCGTCAAGGTCATCTTATAGGCTTCACCAACCTTTTCCCCCTTTTTTCGGTGGGCTGATAGCCAGTGAAAATGAGATCTCGGTGCACTTTACCCGGGATTGAGCACGGATTTTCGAGTAAGGGCAGGCTAGCAGAGGTTTTTGAGGATCCGCATTGTGAAAAATGGGTAGTTTTGGACTTTGAAAACACTTTTGAAAGCCTGGCGAGCTAGCAGAGATTTTTTAAGAATCCCCATCCCGTAAATGGCTAGTTTTTCACTTGCTAAACGCTTTTTCTAATGTATCATTTTTCACCTTATTTTTGTCCCTTCTACAGTATTCTTCCCCCGCTTAAAGGCCATTGCCCTCAATTTCGCGCGCTCGTATTTCCAGGGTCCTGTCAGCACAGCGTGTCAGCGCGCCGGGCCACAAATTGAGACGGATATTGCTGTGGTGGTGGCGAACAGACTGGCCAAGGTCGCGTCAATCCACCATTTTCTTTTTATTTCTTGGCTTTCCGCGACAGGCTTTTTGCCTGGCATACTAGCAGAGATCCTTTTGGAAAGGCCTAGAGCTCAAAAACAAGTTTAACTTCCCCTAAAGGGCCGCTAAAGCCCAGGATTTCCAGCCAAAACACCGTCGCGAGATTTTTGACCAGTCTGGTGGCGCTGGGCGGGGGCCATAAATTTCCGCATCTTTCCGCTTGTCGGTTTTTGTACCTTTCCGAGGGGGGTCATTCATTGCTTTTCGGTCAGTTATAGGCAATAGGGGTGGGGCCAAAATATTTGGGTGGTCAAATGGCCTAGAAAAATCGGTTCCAGATGTTGGGTATACTTTTAAGGGCTGTACTTTTCTTGGTGGGATCGTACACTTTATTTTTTTGTATAGTTTAGAATTGAAATCTCTAGAAAATGCCTTTAGGCCTAGGCTTGGGCTTAGGCTTAGTTTAGGCTTAGGTTTAGGTTTAGCATAGGCTTAGGCTTAGCTTAGGCATCCCTAAAGCTTAAAATGCCCTTTTTATAGCTAAGAAGACGATAGATTTAAAGAAATACAAAGCGCGTTACCTGTTTTTGCATTCCGGGCCCCTGAATCGTGAATCGGCATGAATAGGGTGACCTTGGGGTTTCCCGCAGATCCCCTCCTTCAGCCCTCACCAACAATTTAAATATGTTTTCGTGTTTTCGGGCCGGGATTTATCGGAAAATGAATTTTTAAGGATTTTATTTTGTTTCTGGAATTTTTGACGCTTGAAAATCCCCTAAATCCCTGACGTCACCTCCAAAAAATGCCTAAAGTCTATTTTTTTCTCAAAAATCTCCTCGATCAATTTGTAGTCTGTAGCCCTGAGCGATCAACCACAAAAATTGGGCCAATTTTTTCACTCCCCTGGCGGTCATTTTGACCAATGATCGGTCAACGCGCCCCGGGCAGGCCAGCCAGCCACATGGAGCTCTGTTTTTGAGCCTGACCGGACGAGATAGAGAGAGAGAGAGAGAGAGCGAGCGAGAGAGAGACAGAGACTCAACTAAAGGACCCAGGAAGTTGTTTTTCGGCCTTTTCGCCCTTCTTTTCCGCTACGCTACTAAATAAACGATGTGGCCGCTGAGGGGGGCGGCTGATTTTTGATACGACCAGGCTTTGGGGGTTATTTTCCGACACGCGATTCCTGGAATTTGACTCAAGCTTTCCGGAATTCCGCAACGTTCCAGATTACGCATCGTTTTTCAGGGGTGTCAGCTGTACTTTCCCGGAATTTTGGCAGAATCCAATATTTTAACACCCGGGGGCACGCGTGTCATTTGGAACAATGCGGAATTGATAAGGGCTAAAAGGGGGAATTAGCATCTGCTCGATAAGACGTGCTTTGTCTGATTCGTTTTCTTTGTTTTGGCGGGGAACTTTGAAGTCATTTTTCGTTTTTAAAGGACAAGAACCCCTTCGTTTTCTCAAAGAATCTTTGCTAGACTTAGGCTTAGTCTTATTCTCGCCCTGCTTTTTGCTCTTTGCCATTCTATTGTGAATTGCAGACAGTCCCGTTCCCATATTTTCCTTCTATTCATTTGCTGCGATGAAGCGCCTCTTTTCGCCCGTCACATTTCATGATGTTTGTCGCGCGTTCTTTTCTGCAAAAAGACGTGCGAAAAAAAAACTTGAAAAGCCACCCTTTGACACGGCCCTTTTGCCAATAGGTATAAAAGGAATCACAAAAATATCTGGCAGCTTGCCTAGGTCTAAACCTAAGCTTAAGCCAATTTTTCAACTTCACTGATCCTTTAAAATCATTATAATAATTTTTTGTGTCATTTTTTCAGGTTTCTAGGATGCGGTGGCTCGGGTTGATATGCATATTTTTCAGCGGAATGGCTTTTGGACAGGTTTGAACATTTTCATTGATTTTTGAGCTCTTAACAATGTATTTTTAGCTTTAGAAACCATTAAAACGCTTGAAAACGTCAGTTTTCGATTTATTTTGCCGTAGAAATTATTGAAAAACAATTTAAAAGTCATGCTCCGACTTTTAGAGTTGTAAAAATTTAATTGGGGCTTTAAAACGCTTTTTTTAAACAATGAAAACACGAATTTGCAGCCATTCGCCAACCTCGAACAAACCCTCGTCCATATTGACATGAAAGGTATCAAAATTCGCGAGACTACAAACTACAAATGGCATTTTTAGGCTCCGCACCCCGGCCAGGCTACCTGAAGCAACTATTGACGATTTTCGAGCAGCTAGGAGCTACGGGGATCGTTTTGGAGTGGGAGGACATGTTTCCGTATACGGTGGGTGTTTCCTAAAGGGTTTCTGCTCGCTCGCCTCAGATTTGCCCTTTTCCTAATGAGTTTTCGCTAGCTTGCCTAGATTTTCCTTCTTTCCTCAAGAATCTCTGCTAGCTTGCCTTGTTATTCTGGCTCGCGAACGCTCCTTCCTCGTCTTTATAGCCTGTCACTGGTTCCTAAAAGATCTCTGCTAGCCTGCCTTGATTTCTTCCCCAAGGGACTCTGCTAGCTTGCTCGGTCTTTAAATTCCCCAAAACGTCTCTGCTAGCCTACCCTCCTCTCTTGCAGGGTTCCCTCTCCAACTACATCAATGGATACGCTTATTCTCTCGCCGAGGTCGATGATGTCTTATCACAGTACGTTCAATTACACGTCGTGATCGATTACACGATCTATTTTCAGTGCTCAACAGCTCGGCCTCCAAGTTGTCCCCCTCGTTCAGACCCTAGGCCACGCTGAATGGATACTAAAAGCCGAGGAGAATGTCCAGATTCGAGAGGATCCGCAATTTCCGATGGTATGTTGATTTTAAAGGGCCGTCGAAGGCAAAAACCTATGGGTTTTCCGCCTCGTCAGTGTGGGCGTTGCGTAGCGTGTCAAGTCGCGGAAAATAGGTATTTTTAGGTGTTCTGCATCGGAGATTCTCGGGCGAGGCAACTCATCAAGGACAGCGTGCAGCAGGTCGCGAAGATACACGCCAAGTACGGGATGAGGTTCTTCCATATCGGGGCTGATGAGGCTTATCAGGTACTTTTTGCAGTTTTTGAAGTTTTCTAAGCTAGCTAATTTGATTTGGAAGCTAGGCGAAGCTCTAAAACTGAAGACAGGCTGCATAGAAAACCAAGTAGAAAACTTTTAATGCGACCGTAACACTCAGAGAACACCCGTAAACTCCAAATTTTCAGATGGGCGAATGCCCGCAGGACGTGGCGCTCCTAAATACGTCTCGATACCGTAACGACACGAAACGGCTGGTGTTTGATCATATGAAGACTGTGGCAGAAATTGTTACTACAGTACACCCCAGTGTAAAGGTATGGAAGCGTACTTTAAAAGGGTAGCCACACCCCTAATCAGCTGGGTAGCTAGCAGAGAGTCTTGGTGGAAAATACCGTATTCCTGTAAGGTGCTCGCCTGGTTCGACGAGTTCAAAACGGCCGACCCGTCGATGCTCAAGGAGTTCGGCCTGGACGGGCTGATCGAACCGGTCGTCTGGAAGTACACTGATAATTTGGACTACGTAGGTTACTCCTTACATACGTACTTACGTAGGTTACTGTAATTACAGTACCTACCCGCCGGAATGTGGCGGAATTTGTCGACGGTATTCCCGAATGTATGGGGGGCGAGTGCGTACAAAGGAGCGAACGGAGCCGATAAGATGGATAATGCGATGAAGCCGTATTTGAAGAATAATCAGGAATGGTGGGTTGGCTTGGCTGGCTTAGGCTTGGCTTAGGCTTAGCTTACTTAGCTTCGTTTTAAAGCCAATTTTCTGCAGGTTCGTCCAAACAATGAAGCACAGCGAGCAGTTCTCCACTTTTCGAGGCATGATTTTGACTGGGTGGTCGAGGTACGGTATTCCGCAAGCGTTTCTGCTAGCCTGTCCGCAAATGTAGTCTACCGTAACCTCGAAGAATTTAGATACGATCACTTCGCTGTTCTCTGCGAGACGATGCCGACCTCTATGATGTCGTTGGCTGTGAATTTGCAGATTATCACAAATTATGTCGTAACCGGTTAGTGCTAAAATTGTCGAGTTATTTAAATGAGGTAATTGGTCATAAATAGACTTTTAAACTATTTAAATAGCGTAATCGGTTAGAAATGAAGCTTTTTAGAGGATTTAAATACCGTAACTCTTTAGAACGAGCGGCAATGCACATCATGAAAACGTTAAAATGCCCGCAGGGGACGACGCTAGATGACGTGACGAAGAATCAGGATAAATGCCACTATCCCGGTAAGTTTATGCTTAATTTAAAGGGACAACGACAGCTAGAACTTTAAAGGGACAGTGACATCTAAGACTTCTAAATTTCAGGCTACCGTGTCCGCGAAGAGATTCGAGCGTTCGAGCGTCTCGTCGTGTACTATGAGAACGCAACGTGGATCCAGAACCGAGAGAGAGGATGGCTGAGGATGGCACAACAAGTCACCGGGCATTCTAATCCCTATTATGTAAGTTTTCTTAGCTTTTAAAGGAATTCTCGCCAAAATTTTCAAATTCTGGAAGGCGGGCTAGCAGAAATCTTTGCGGAAATCTTCTAAATTAATTTTTTCAGGTTGACGTCCTCGCAACTACATACTCCAAAATTCTGGCCTCACTGGATACCTTATTAGCAAATCTAAAGTACGCTACGAAACCCCTGACACCCGCCATATTTTAGAAAAGCAATGGACGAGATCTACTACGAGGAGACGGCCCTGGAATTCAGGATTACGTATATTGACAAGTTCTATGAGGATATATCAAGGAAATTGGATGCTATTAAAAAGGTATAGTCCCTATCTCTCTCGCTCTCTCTCTCTCTCTCTCTCTCTCTCTCCCTCCTACTTTCTAGCTCAGCAATTAACCCATCGAGTTACAAACTCCACATCAGAGCTATCTAGCAGAGCTACTTAAGGAATTAAAGCTTACGAAACCAGTTCAGCTTCAGGCTTCGCTTTCTTAGCTTGCCGCACTGAAGTCAGTAACCATCGTCGTCGTAGATTTAGCGTCCTTTGCTTAAGTCGGCAAGCCTAGCTTCGTCATAGACTTGGCCTTAGCTTACCTTCGGAAGCATAGCTTCCCAGCTATGTGTGCTTATCCCTCTCCGGCCATTGGGCGCTGGAGAAGAACCTACCGGTATATTGGGGTGCGTCGTCCCCAATTATATCCGAGCAGTCCAAAATTGGACCCCATACTTCACCGTAGCCTGGGGTCACGACAAAATCCGGCAATGGTTCGATGACCCCGGAAGTTGTTATTTGTAGCTGATCTAGTAGAACACTAATCAGTACTCAATACACACTCTCCCCCTAGGGGGAAGTGGCAATGGGAGGGGAACGGACGTCTCCGACCCCACAAATTGGCCATGGATGGGGGGAGGGATATGCCCTGACAGTGGGCCAGGTGGGGGGCGAGTCGCAGAGGGGCAGGTCGGTTTAATTACCCAAGTTTGAGGTTGGAGACGTGGTAGTGGGCCAGAGGGTGGGCGAATCGTTGGCGGTCGGAGTGGAATACTGAAAAAACGCCATAGCTTTGTCTAGCAATATCCTAACGTAAATATTTATACACCATTCGAACGCCCAGTAAAAGGCACGCAAAATGTTAAGTGAAAAAGTAGCATTAAAACGTTATAAGCCCCCTATTTCCAGGTGGACAGCCAAAAAGGGTGGCCGGTGAGGCCAATCCTCGGCCGGATCATCGTTGAAGCCCCTCCGGTGCCGAGGAGGACCACGATGAAGGTACCCTCCATCCCGTCGACTACTATTACACCACGCCCAACTACAGCAAGGCGGAGGTATGTGAAAAGAAGTGCTGCGGAAAATGGGCAAGTCAGGAGAGAGCGATTAAGTTTTGAAAATAGCTGCAACGGCAATTTTCAAGCTTAAAACGCTTTCCTCAAAAAGCTCTGCTAGCCTGCCTGGTCTAATTTACTTGCCAGTGGCTTTAAAACCTCTAAAATGTCATTTTTCTGCAGGGTCTAGCCTACAGCAACGCCTCAGGTTTGTACAATCCTGTTGTAGTCTGTACCCAGGCACTCGATTTTTCCTCCCACTGTTAATGCACCAGTCCTACGGTACTCCCGGGTTGTTTGTCGTACTGTAGTTTATAGTGCTATGGAATACTGTAGTACTACTGTAGTATTTTTAAGTTGTTTTTTTAATAATAGTACTTCCAGAGACACCCCTCGCCCTTCTACCACCCAACGACCACGACCAAAAGCAACGCGCAAGCCGACGACTCCAAGGCCTAAGCCCAAGCCAACTACCGTACACCCTAAATCACTTACGAAGCCCACCAAGCCAGTGGATTTTCCGACCCCTGGCCCTCTGGATGAGCTGAGCGAAGAGGAGAAGAAGATTCTCCGCGCCATCCAGCCACAAGAGCTTAGAAAAGTCTGAAAATTATTGGGTATCTGATTTTCAAAGTATCCCAAGCTGACCAATACCTTTAAAACGTGGAATTCTCGTATTCTAGCATGCTGGCAACCTGCCGATGCCCTTAAAAAGTTTCTAATAAACCCCCTCCCCCTCCGATAAGGCATAAGTCAAGCTAAGCCTAAGCTATGCCTAAGTCTAAGCCTAAGCCCAAGCTCAAGCTCCTTATATCCCCCGTTCTGCCACCCAATTCCTACTGTATTCAACCCGTCTCAGGGCCAAGCTTCTCTCTATGTCTCCATTTCTCTGCGTCTCTCTCGTTCGCCCGCTCTATCGTCTCCAATGATCTCATTTCGGCTCTCCCATTCCGCTGCCACTTTCTAGTCTTCAGTTTGCGTTGTATTTAGTCGTGAAAGCAATAAATCATTCTTTTGTGGTTTGTAGTCTGTAGTTTCAACGTCAAAAGGTGTACTTTGTAGCCTTCATTAATTTGTGACGCTTGCCGTCATTTGTAGTCTGAAGTTCGACGTCCAGAAGTGTATTTTGTAGTCTGCAGGCTGTAATTTCGACGTCAACAGCTGTCTTTCGTATTATGTAGTCCAGATACCATATTTATGTTTGTAAATACATTAAAGCATTCGTATTAAGGGTATTCAGAAGCGGAACTGCCCCTGGGATTGCTGCTGCTGTTGTCCCCACATTCTGCCCTTTCCCATCATGCCCCATCTGCCCTGCATCGGAAGCTGGGCTTTTACGGAATCGGGCATCGTCGCGATCAGGTTCTAAAACGAGGTTATAGCTATATTTTGTAGCCTGTAGTCTGTAGCCTGTAGATAGAACTCCAAGACCTACCCTGATTTTCTGGAAGTGTCCCGGTCCAGGCTGGTTGTGGATGGCCATCCATTGGCTCTGAAAAGTACGAATGTACGTTGTACGTTAAAGTACGTTAGGCTACAAATTCCGTTACGCTACGGTACGGTACCTTATACGGCTCCGGCAGCTGATTGACGAACGGCGGAAGCGGAAAGTGGGGCCGCATCGATTCTGGGAGGCTTTGGAAGAGCTGATGCATCTGTTGGCGACGTTGTTGCCAGGTTAGGGCCTGAATCCGGGTTACGGTAAGCCCGAAAACAAGACCTTGTTCGACCACAGCTCCCTCATCTGTTGCTGTACGCTGGGCGGCAAATTACGCATGAATGGGGGCATGGGACGCTGGAAAAAGTACAATACTTCAGAAAAATTCAAAAAATGGCCCCAGGAGTACGGTAGAGTACGGTACCTGGTCCGCGGGCAGCGTCTCGATCAGCGCGTGCATTTGTTCGTGCTTTTGTTCGAAGGAGAGCGCCTGGAAATTTTGAAAAATGATAATTACAGTTTGCTGCGTCGTCGTCTGCGCAGGCTTCAATTTTTAGGGTTACTTCAACTGCTCGGATATAATTGGGGACGACGCACCCCAATATACCGGTAGGTTCTTCTCCAGCGCCCAGAGGCCGGAGAGGGATAAGCACGCATAGCTGAAGCTATGCTACGTAAGCTAATGCAAAGCCTACGCGGACGCTAAGCTTACCAAGCGTAAGCAAGCGGAAAGGGCTTGGGTCGAAGTCGAAGCTAAGCTTATTGACTTAAGCCATGAGCTAAACCGGCTAAGCCTGAACTTACGTCATAATTACGTCATTGTCCTAATTAAAAGAAGTTAGAGAAGTAGCTTAACTGGCTGAAGAGCTTCTTGTCCCCAAGAACCTCTGCTCGTTCGCATTGTTGTGTAATTTATCAGCGCATGGATTACTTGGCGATTCATTGCCTGAGCGATAAAGTACTGGAAAGCGAGAGCGAGAGAAAGTGAGAGAGAGTGAGAGAGAGAGAAACGCTCGACTCGACTCGCTGATCTCGCCGTTTTGGCTTTTGGACTTATGCTTAAGCGTAGGCTTAGGCTTAGGCTTACCTGATTTGAGTGGATGGCCTGAGCCTGAGCTTGGAGCTGCGGGGGAAGCTGGCTGAGCATGCGCTCGAACTAAAAATAGGTGATTTTCATTGCATAATCGAATAGGGTCTAATTTAAGCTCGAAAACTTACAAATCTGCCTCCACCTCGGCCTCCTTGGTGGAATCCACCCTGCCAGGGGCCCATTTGGCAGGTTGCCAAGCCGATGAGGGCTACGGTAGCAAGCAGAAGTTTTTGCATTACCTGAAACGGTATATGGTATGATAATTAACAGGAAAAAGCATTATATGCAAAAATTTAGGTGAATTTCGAGGTTTGAAACATTTATTGTGTTGTAAATCGTTCAGCTATCCAAAAAATATGCTAAAATTCCAAAATTTAACGAATCTCTGGGCATGAAAGTTAATTTCCGTTCTATACGACACAGCTAGCCGTTCCTTTTTATATAGCGCCCCCCAGTTGCTCGTCTTTGATGCGGGTTCGCCGAAATACCACGTCAAGCCCCTCAAGGTCAGGCCAAAAAGAGCGAAATGCATGGTCTACGGCCAATTCGCTACTCAAACCCCTTGGAGAACCTCGAAAAATTAAAGAAACCGGTGCTGCTGGGCCCGGGAAGGACGGTGCTGAACTTTGGCGAGGGTTTTCGAGGGGTTTATGACTTGTGGTTACGTTGTTTTCTTGCAAACGATCAAAAATTGCGTGTTTTGTAGTTTGTATTCTTCGTCAAGCTAGGGACGCTGATTTTTTTTGTAGTTTGTATGCTAGTTTAACCAATAATCAATTATTTATATGAATTAAAACTATTTGAGATCAATTAAATCGAGAAGAATCACAATTCGAAAATACAAACTACAAAATTTGATAGCTGAGGTCTTATTTTTATGGCGTAATGGGATAGAATCTGTCTTTTTTTGGTGCATAGGGATCCGTGTTTTATGAGGTACTGTATAAATGCAACAAAAATAAAAAAGGGGAAACAGGGCCTAAGCCCACGCCCAAGCCAAAGACCAAGCCTAAGCCTAGCTTACACCTTAGCCCAAGCCTAGCCTAAGTCGACTTATTCACCCATAATCTCCACGACAAAGGTATCAGTATAAGCTGGTAGTAGAGATATCGGAGGGGGAGAAGCCAGGGCTCGAAGCCGTCCCATCAGATATAATTCCTTATGCTGACCGGTCAGCTTGACGAAATTGTTGACGACATGGAGGAGGAGTTGATATCTGAAAATCGGCAATCGATCACGACCTCTATTTCCCTTCTTAAAGGCGCTCGGACACCAAAAACAGACCTATTGGCCCCGCGCTGCATCCCATGCCTTGTCGTCTCGTAGGCGAATAGCGTTCGTGCCAGTTTCTCCCGCGTCTCATCCAACCCTTTCAGTGCTTCCGGCGGCAGTGGGGCTACTGTAAAGATCATCCAGTTGCTGTCACTGTCGCTTTAAAACAAAACATATAGCTTAAACTACCTGTTGAGCATAGCAGAATTCCCCGAAGCATCAAAAACTCATCGTCATCTACATCCTGATCGGTCAAATATTCGACTGGCTTGAAGAAAATTAGGCGATGCAATTCCCAGGGGCTAAAAAGGGGGATACCGTAACTTGTAATGTACTTTTTCGCTTCAATGGCCTTTTAAAAGCGAAGCTGACTTACTTGTGGGCTAGTATTGGAGCAAGGCTTCCATCTCTTAACGTCACAGCCGGTAGCCCTCGGCTTTTCGACCGAAATGCCGAGGTGAAGAGAAATGAGGCCATGGCAGCGAACCGAAACCACAGGACCTGGAGCAAGCCTTATAACTACGTTTTGAATGCGGTGTTTAAAGCCCGCTTCACGCGCTTTCGAATGTTGTATAAACCGTTACGATAGCTAATTCCTACGTAAAGTTATAGTCGTTTAAAGACTTTGCTGAGGCTTAGGCTTAGGCTAGCTTTTTAAAGCCTAAACCAAGCAAAAACGAAGTCGACTTACCTTGTCCATCGTTCCAAGCCTATCGTAGAAGGGTAATTGCCTAGCAATCTCATGCGCTCGTTCATATTCTATCAAAAAGTGAGCACACCCGAATCTTCTCTCTACGTAGTGATACTTTGCGTCAATAGCTGTTGCCTGGAATGTGTAGTCTGTAGTCTAGGGCCTCGAAATTACAAACTAACTGGTATTCGTTGTGAATGGAGTCCATGGGCCATATAGGTGGCCACATTCTGCATCGGCCATGGTAGTAGGCCTTCAGGGCTTTCGAGACGAAGCCTCAAACTTAAAGTGAATGGGAATAGGCATTAATTGGGATGGATAGGAAAGGGTTAGAGGGGTTAGAGAGAGAGAGAGAAAGAGAGAGAGAGGGAGAGAGCGAGAGAGAGAGAGAGAGAGAGAGAGAGAGGGAGAGAGCAAGAAAGGAAACATTAGGTTGAAAACTCACTTCATATCCATTTCCATCGACTTCAAGAAGATCAATGTCCGGAAGTGGTCACTTTCATTGGGGAGTGGCTGAAAAGGTATCGGAATTATTACGAAGCTAAGCCTAAGTCTAAGCCTAACCAGAAGCTCTCTTTTCGTTGCGTAATCGATTGCACTGCGCTGAACTGCTTGAAGATGTCGTAATCGATTACGCCATGTAAGGATGGGCGTGTGCCTTGCGTGCCTTGCACGTCCCTTTAAACCCACCGGCTTAATGTCGACGTTAACTGGAACCAAGGCTTGTGATGTTGACGGCTTTTGGTCATCTACTGTATCCGCTTGGCCTCTCGCTTTAAATTGCATCCGGAGTACGATGGAGATGAATTCATTGTCAACCGGGGCACCAGGACGGTATTCGATACCTTTAAAAGCGAATTATATACCGTAACCGGAAAGAGTGTAGTAGCTCCAGATCGCAGGCAACAAACTATAACTTACCTCTACAATCCATTCCCGCCTCCAAACACTTGACAAATCTGCATCCCCTGCATACAGCCCTTCCATTCTTTTGTTTATCTGGACATCGTCTATCCCCTCCGCCATTCATCTTTTTGCATTGTGGGAGACGAGCACGGAGCATCACCCTAATATGAGCACAATCAGCGTAAGCCTAAGCCCAAGCCTGCGCCTAGGCTTAAGCGCAAGCAAACCCAGAGCCAAAGCCTATTACCAAGCCTAAGCCTAATCCTAAGCCCAAGCCTAAGCCAAGCCCGAGCCAAGCCTAAGCCTAAGCATCAGCCTAAGCCTAAGGCTGAGCCTAAGCCTAAACCAAGCTAAGCCCGCGCCCAAACCTATGCCTCAGCAACCCAAGCCTACCTTCGAAAGAATGTCTTGCAGCTATTACAAGACGGTGCTTCATAGTGATATCCATTCGCTTGTCCTCCACAAATAGCACAAAGGGCCGGAGCTTCGCTTCTCGGCTTCTTCGGCTTCTCCTCGTGGTTGAGGGTACGGTAGGATGAGGAGGTCGAGGGAAGCAGGGTGAGCCTGAATCGAGAAATAGATCCATTGAGTGTCAGTAAGTACAATAAACTACAAACTAACTAAAATCAACGACTACAAACTACAAACTACCCACTTTTTAACGTCCTCCTCCATCTCGTCGCTCTCCTCGTCATCTTCCCGACCGTCCGGGCTATTCAACGAGGGCAGACTGCTATCCGAAAACTCGGACATACCCTGAAAGCATCGCATACAAAACTGGAATGAGCAATCAGCTACCCAAACCAGTTACGACATGAAATTCCCGGAAAGCTGGGTTCAGAAAGTATTATTTGCAGGGTGGCATTCCACTAATAGGCCCTAGCGTGATCAGGTAACAAACCAGAGCGAGAGAGAGAGCGAGAAACAGAAAGTACGTCCCCTTCCCTGTGCCACCAGCCTCCAAAAATCAAAATCCAACGAGCGAACCAGTCATTTTGCTGGCGATACCGTAAGTCCAGTACAGAAAACACTATATTTTTAGATTGCACGAATTTGGTACGTGGGGATGGCCTCCCGGCCCAAAAAGCAACCGCAAATTCCCGGAATCGCGGATTTGCGACGGATTAGCCGGACAGAGGCTCTATTTTGGCCTGCAAAATGGCGAAAAACAAGTAGAGTGGATTGGATAGGTGCCGGAATAGAGAATAGTATCGTTAATTAAGTAATCTACCTTCAAAAATATGGAAAAAAGGTGAAACACAAAAAAATGTGCCATAAATTGTGTCCGTTCTGCGTGTCGCACGTGGATCGGGGAGCAACGGGAATGGGTGCAAAGCATACGGAAAAGGGGGAGGGGATGGGGGTCGAGTGGTTGGAAGAGAGAGAGAGAGAGAGAGAGAGACGGGCAAACGGACAGACAGAAAAGTCCAAAAGCCAAAACGGCGAGATAAGCGTGCCCAGCGTTCTGTCTCTGCCTCTCTCTCTCTCCATCACTCTCTCTCTCTCGCCTTGCGGTACTTTATCGCTCTGGCAATCGGTCGCCAAAATCCACAGGCTTACAAACTACACAACAAAGCCATATAGCAGAATTCTGGAGGAATCGAAGCTCTTGACGCCAGTTAAGCTACTTCTCTAACTTCTTCGTGACTTCTTCTTTAATTAACGTATATTAGAACTTGACTTGGCTGAGCTTAACTTTGTCGAGTTCGCTTACTTAGCTTAAGGTCAATCCTCCTAGGTTCGACATCTTCGGCTTACCTAGCTTTGCGTAAGTGCCTAAGCCGAAGCACGTGATGCCTGGCTTTGGCTTAGCTTACCTCGCTTAAGTCAGCAAGCTTAGCATCTGCGTAGCCAGGCTTAGCCTACGAAGCAAGGCTTCCGCTAGTTGTGTGCTTATCCCTCCCCGGCCTCTCGGCGCTGGAGAAGAACCTACCGGTATATTGGGGTGCGTCGTCCCCAATTATATCCGAGCAGTCCAAAATTGGACCCCATACTTCACCGTAGCCTGGGGTCACGACAAAATCCGGCAATGGTTCGATGACCCCGGAAGTTGTTATTTGTAGCTGATCTAGTAGAACACTAATCAGTACTCAATACACACTCTCCCCCTAGGGGGAAGTGGCAATGGGAGGGGAACGGACGTCTCCGACCCCACAAATTGGCCACCGATGGGGGGAGGGATATGCCCTGACAGTGAGCCAGGTGGGGGGCGAGTCGCGGAGCGCAGGTCGGTTTAATTACCCAAGTTTGAGGGTGGGAACAACTTTTCTGATCATATCTTTGTCTAAATATCCTATCGTAATGAATAAACCACATTCTCAAGCCCTTGAAAAACGCTGGACACTGAGATACTAAACCTAGTAGCTACAACCCGCAAAAGTTAAAACAAAAGGATCAATAATTTTGTTCGTCATGTTCGCTTAGGGCCAGTAAATAGGCTTCGGCTTCTAATGAAGCATGGGGGGGGGCATTCTGGGGCATTCTGAGAATTCAGAAGGGACTGCCGTGGGAGGGGAAAAGAACGGAAAGACGAATAAAGGCCACGGGAAAGCCCGATTTTGATCTCTGAGCTACACGAGACGTATTGAAAATGACATGAAACTCTGAAATGGACATTAAAAGGGGTTAAGGTACCTTAAGAAGCTTTAAAATCAGGTATCTCTTCAAAAACGCGTTTCTAATCAACCGGAAAGATAAAATTTGCGCTAAAATGTAGGCAGTATAGACTACAAACTACAGGAAATTATACGTCTACAGTCTATGTAAAGTATCCTCAGATGCCTTAACATCAGTTATCCTCATAAACAAAAGCTTACAAAGTATTTTGAAGTCTTCTAGAAGCCGTTTATAGCCTAGTTTAACAAATTTAGCTAACTTTAGTATAGGCTACAAATTACAGAAACTAAAAAATCCAAACTAAAGGAACTTAAAGTACCCTAACATACCTTAAAGCCAGCTATCATCCTAAAAACGCTTGATAAGCCATCTGGAAACCTTAAGATCTCACTAAACTCTACTTCGCCTGCCATTACAGACTCCAAACTACAGATCAAAGCTTCAAAGAGCCGGTAGGAGTCAGAGTATGGCGACCTTGCCGCTGCAACCTGAAATGTTTGCGCAACGAGGCTATTTAGGGCTGCAAAAATTGGTGGGTGCAAAAATCAACACGTGGGTGAAGGAAAGGGCTGCAAAATGAGGACGAGTGGAGGGGAGGGAGGGGAGGAGGAGGAGGGCACGAGAAGGCTTTTCCTATTTATAGCCGGCCTTCCGGGAATGGGGGGAGCGAGAAAAAGCGGAAAAGCTGAACTTGCCGGGGCCAAACCACAAAAAACGGCGGGTTGAGAAAATTGCCGGGATTTGGGGGGATGGAATTAGTCAGATGTGGACAAGCTGGCAAAGGAAATTTGGGGAAACTTGCTAAAAATATTTCTGCTTGGGCTTTAGGCTTAGCTTAGGGTTAGGGTTAGGCTTGGGCTTGGTTTAGGCTTGGCGTCGGCTCTCTCGCCTCACACCTACCCGCTCCCCACCCGGCCCACTACCACCCTAACCTCAAACTTGGGTAATTAAACCGACTTTTCACCCCCACTCGCCCCCCACCTGGCCCAATGTCAGGGCATATCCCTCCCCCCATCCGTGGCCAATTTGTGGGGTCGGAGACGTCCGTTCCCCTCCCATTGCCACTTCCCCCTAGGGGGAGAGTGTGTATTGAGTACTGATTAGTGTTCTACTAGATCAGCTACAAATAACAACTTCCGGGGTCATCGAACCATTGCCGGATTTTGTCGTGACCCCAGGCTACGGTGAAGTATGGGGTCCAATTTTGGACTGCTCGGATATAATTGGGGACGACGCACCCCAATATACCGGTAGGTTCTTCTCCAGCGCCGAGAGGCCGGAGAGGGATAAGCACACAACTAGCTGAGGGGCTATGCTTTGGAAGCTAATGCAAAGCCTACGCGGATGCTAAATATAGTCGGCGAAGCTGTGCAAACGAAGCCCAAGCCAAAGCTAAGTCGGTGAAGCTAAGCAAGCGAAGCCGAAGCCACCTGCTTCATAAGCCCGGTTCGCTTCCTCAAGAATCTCTGCTACATATCTTTTTTGTCTTCCAAATCTTTGTTCTCCAACTTCCAGTACCCCTCTCTCAGAAATGCACACCCGATAGGCCCCAAAATCAGGTACCCCTCCAGGCTGTTGCTAGGCCCCATGCATTTCCCAGGTGCTTTTTAGGACCCAGGGCCCGTTTTTAGTTCCCAGATGTAACTACCGTAGTTTATAGCTGAACTGTTCCCCAATAATTTCTCCTCGCATGCCTCTAGTTTTCAGTCTACGTGCCTGACCTCCTCCCAAAGTCCATCACGCACCCAGGCTTCCGGAAAACGCGGGAATTCCATTTTTTGGGTCTCTCTGGGCTCTTGCTTGGGACACACATCTCCCGCATGTCAAAAATATGCAAATCAGGACCCCGGGCCTCAAGGAGTTGGGGCCAAAGGGCCCAGGCGGTCGAGTTGGACTCAGAAACTTCTTTGGACCCGAATTTTTCAGATTTTAGTCATTTCTAAATGGTTTCTGCTAGTCAACCAGTTGCAACTAAGCCTAAGCCTAAGCAGGAAGCCAGAATCCATCGGAATGGGCCAATTATCGCGCCCCTCTAATCCATTCCGCCGGACACCTGTGTACACCCCGGGGGGCGCGAATGGCTAATTTGACGCCCTGCTGGGCGGATGAAGCCTGGAGCTTGGAAAGGGCATAGCTTTTACGAACTGGCGTTCAGGTACTCTATTCGTATGTCTGTCTCTCTCTCTCTCTATCTCTCTCTCGCCACCCCAATTCCCTCATTTTTCATGCAAATCCACTCATCCACCCCCTTGGCGGCTGCCCCACCCGTCAGCCATGGCCGGAGGGCCGTTTAATGGATCACCGCGGAATTGGCGAGCGGCCAATCCTTTCATTTCGCGCCGGTGTGGCCTTTAATCGGCTTATATAAATTTAGATACCTTGAAAGTGCTTATTTTCTTCTTTTTGGCATGTCATTTAGCCTCTAGTATGATTTGGCTATGCTTAAATTACGTTTGGTACCTCTAAATTGTCTCCTTTCTGTAAGCTGACTATAACTCAGCTTTGCCAAGACACTACTTCCAAAAACCCTGCAAAAAACAGTTAGAGAAATGGCCGTTGTCTAGGCGAGAGAGAGTGAGAGAGAGAACCGAAAACCCGCCGACCGACAACAAAAAGAAGGAGGTGATCGAGTTCCATTGGCCACACGAGCCAAAGGACCCGGCCAGGCCTGCCCGAGAAGATTCCATTTGTCCCACCCTCCACAAGCACTTTGCTTTCTTTCTCTGCGTCTCTCTCTCTCTCTCTCTCTCTCTCTCTTCTTTTCTATCGTTTTCTTTGTTCTCCTCCTCCTCCTCCCCAGACAAGGGCCTCCAATCCACCTGACAACCTTTTCATGAATTCACGCAGGCGTTTTCGCAATCAATTACGCAATGAAATTCGTTCTCAAAACCCTACCTAATCGATTACGCAATGTAATGGACGTCTTAATACCCAACCTAATTGATTACGATATGTAATTCACGTTTTAACGTCTAGCCTAATAGATTACGCAATGAAATTCAGACTTAAATACCTTGCCTGATCGATTACGCGATGAAATTCACGCCTGTAAAGGTCTTGCAAACGTTTTTCGGCCTCCACCATTTTTTCACTTTTTTTCAGGCATTTCCCAGGCTTCTAACGCCCCGAAGGGATCCACTTACCGGATGTAGGGGTGTGGGGAGGGGAGTGATAATGCCCTAGGGGGTACGAGGCAATCCACAAAACAGAGAAGAAGAAGAAGGACGATGAAAGGAGTCCCAAAAGGCCCTCACAGCACATAACGGATAAGAAGAAGCCGAATGGGGGCAGTGGGAGCGAGAGAGAGACAGAAGAGAGAGAGAGAGAGTGGAAGAGTGAGAGAGGGAGTGGGGCCAACCAATTTCTCACCTCGACTAACGACTTCTTTTTCTTCTTGCCAACCCCGTCCATCCACTCGAACAGCGTGGAAACATTCAACATATTCCGCTCCAATACTTTTGACGGGGCTCTTGGGTTTGGTTTTTGTCTTTTTCTTGTGTTTTACGGTTTTTCCTACGGTTTCTCGATTCCAACGGACGCCTAATTACGCTAATTTCGTGCAGTAATCGATTAGACAGAGTTTTTATCGTTTTTCTAAGTTTTTTTTTGCCTTTCATAAAGCTTTTTCTATTCCGACCGGCTCCTAATTACCTAATTCTATAGCGTAATCCATTAAAAATAGGTTTTTACTATTTCTATGCTTTTTCGTGTTTTCAAAGATGCTCTCGATTTCCTAATTTTATCACCTAATCGATTACGCCATAGTTTTCAGAAGGCTGGACACCCTGACGAGAGATGCGACGCTACGGAGAGTGCAATTTGCCAGGAAGGAGTTGAGGTACGAGTTTTCTAGTTGTTTAAAGGGTTTATTAACTAGCCTCAGCGTTCCCCAATGACCTCTGCTATCCACCCACTTAATACCACTTAATAACAAAGAATATTGAATATCCGCCTCCCTACAGGCTAGAAAATTGCCTGGAGGCACGTTCTCTATAAATCATCCTATCCTTTTTGCGCTACGCAAAAAGAGAAACAGATCGGAGCCAATTCCGGCGGCCCGGGGATGGGCCTAGGGCTCAATCCTGAGGGCCAAACGGCTCATTCTGGGACCCATAGACTCTATATTCTGGCTTATATTGCATTTTTTCATGTGGAAATTAATTTTGAGATCCGATACCTGAAAAGTATGCAGTTTAGGGTTTATTCCTTGTTAATTTGTAGCCTGTAGTGCAGCCAAAATTTAGAAAACAGACAGAGAGACAAACAAATGGGCATAAACCTGCAGACAGACACAACTTTCAAGACAAACGGCTCAAAATCCCTATTTATGAGTTCCGAATGGAACATATGGGGTAGATATCCATCTTTCTTGCCACACTCAAGCTCTTCTCGATGGCAGACAGACGACAAGCCCCCGATTTATGGACATTTTAGGGGGGTGACAGAAAGACAAACGAGAGAGAGAGAGAGAGAGAGAGAGAGAGAGAGAGAAGAGACACACGTTCCTCATAACTCCCTACGGCCCGATACTCAACCCGTCAAGAGTTGTCAAGGGTACTACGCCACTTGATATCTGGGTTTTTAGCTTTTTTGGTGTAAGCTATCCTAAATTTAGTGTCATAAGGCATTAAATGGAAGCGGAATTCCAATTTTGAGACTTTTTTGCTTCCCCTAGACTGAATTTCATATCGTAATGCATTCAATGAAAGCAATATTAGCTTTAATTGCAAATTTTGAGCCTCTTTGATGCCAGCTAGCCCGAATTTCGTATCGTCATGTTTTTCCTTTGATTTTACCCTTTCTGACCTTCACCTAACCCTTGAATTTCGTATCGTGATGCATTCGGGGGGGTAAAAGGGGGTTATCCTGTTACCTCATCTTCCATTACCCCCTCTCAGGCCACAAAACAAAAGACCTCTTCTTCTCTTCCTCCTTCCTTTTCGTTCCGTTTTTCCCATCCCTCGGCTTTTCGACGCCGTGAGGCTTTAGAGGGTAATTTGATTGGTCCCTGGTAAAGCCCTGCCTCGAAGAATGCCCCATTTTTGAAGGCCCTGACACGTTAGAGAGCGTGATTTTTGAATTTTGCATGTCAGAATACGGTCGGAAACGGAAATCTTTCGTTTTTTCTGCCTTATCGGGTCCTTTAAAACACATCTTTCATGAAAGGAAGCATTACGATATGAAAAGTCATAGATTAATTGTTTTCCGGAGCCCTTTAAAGGCCAGTTCCCCTACCAGAAATTTGTTGGAAATGAGAATCCATAGATTTCCCAACTTCTCTGTCCCTTTAAAAGCCGTTCACCCGTCTTGGGCTTCAAGCTGCCCGTTGACAAATTAAACGGCGAGCTGTTTTCCGCCCCCCTTCCATCCTAGGGGCGCATTTCCGGGTGAATGTGTCACTTGCAAAGGGCGTGAGGCGTCTAGTTGCATTCCAATTTTTTCATTTTCTGTTTCGGAATAACGTCGAGGCTTAGGCTTAGGCTTGGGCTTAAGCTTAGACTTAGATTTAGGCTTGGGCTTAGGCTTAGGGTTAGTCAGGCATTTCGTTGCTCTCTCTCTCCCTCTCTCTTTCTCTCCTTCGTTTCTAATTCCTCTATCTCTCCCCAGAAATGAGCACCACCGAGTACCATCATCTCCTCCTAAAGCATGGCCCGGATGGCAGTCAGCATTTTGTCGAGCCGGGGGCTAACAGGTAACGTTTCTATATTTCTCTCTCACTCTCTCTCTCTCTCTCTATCTTTCTCTCATCACTAGCTAAAGACACGTGTATTCGGGCCTCAATTCCCGACATTCCGCCACAATCCCATCAACGGGTTGCCAGGGGCTAGCTGGGGAAGCAGTTTTGTCTGAAAATGCTACACCACACGCCAATACCCTAAACGCTCACCAATTCCGCAAAGCCTCACTGCTAGCTGTCGTCTCGTCACAAAATGCAGAGCCTGCGACTCACAGAAGCCGAATTTTTATACGGGTTGAGCCCGAGAGAGCAAGTTTTTAGGGAGCTGGGAGTTCGAGTCTATTTTTTGAGCTCTATCGATCTGAATTTTTTAGGAGGATGAGCCACGCGGCCTCGTACAAGCTGGTGCTCGCCGTGTCGTTGTTTCTGTTGTTTGCCGGGCTGATTCTGACCGCGCTCAGCTTGTTCAGTTCACAGTGGCAGGTGAGAGCATGAGTTTAGAGGGTATCTGGATTAAGGAGCACGAGTTTTCGAAACCATGTGTATCTAGAGGTATTAAAATACGCGAGTTTACGTTCCGAGCACGACCTTAAACTCCTACACTACGCTTCAGATAGCGGAAGTCCCATGGGGCCACGTCACCCATCAGCATGGTGTTGTGAAGGACTGTATCGAGCCCTCACCCGGCCTAATACCTTTACACCAAACAGCTCACACCGCCCATCGATGCGTCTACAAATTTGACCCGGCTGCCGAGGTATGTAAAGTGGAGCGTAACGGAAATACCGTACCTTTTTCAGAAAAGTCTAATGCAAGCGTTGAGCGTAGGTGATGAAGAATCGCAGGAGGTGCTGCTACATCGGTTTTTACGTGAGTTTTGTAGTCTGTAGCCTACAGTATACCCAATTTCAGCCCAGCACAAGAGTGTCGTCTTCTTCTCCGTGTTCGTCTTCGTCTTCGGCCTCTTGTCGGCGATAATTGGAGTCTGTAGCCCGTGTTTCCCTCCAAACTCCATTCTCTTCGTGGGGACACTATTTTTGACAGGTACGCGACGCAACGGCAGCAGAAAGTAGCAAAAAATCGTCAAATTTAGCTGGCTGTTCGATTTTGGCCGACGTCATCTTCATCGCGGCCAGTATCAAACCCCCAAGGGTTGTATGGAATAAATATTCCAATTTTGACCCAGCTAAATATCAGGTACGGTATTTTACGCCGTCTTAAGTCAGTTTTTACAGCGTTTAAAACTTAGAAACACCTTTTAAACCGGAAATTTCCAGAGTAAACTCGGCATCGCGGCATTTGTTCATCTACTGGCGTCTGGGCTTATAGCTACGGCTTTTGTATCGTCGTTAGGTAATATAAATAAAGTTATTTTCCATAGCTCTATCGACTTTAGGCGCCACCTACCTGTTGTTGATGACGAGAAACCGGAAGGGGGCCGGTTGTTGCTCGCAGATAAGGACGAAGGCCAGGTTCCAGGAGGAGGACAGGTTGGACGCTTGCTTAGGCCTAGGCTTAGGTTTTAGGCTTAGGCTTAAACTTAGCCTTAGCTTACCTATCAACTCTCTATCTTTCCTTACCAAACAGCATTCCAATCGAACGAGTGGGCAGCAGTCGGAGTCGACAATTTTACAATTTTTACCTAGGTATTTTTGGAGTTCTCTTTTTCTTAGTCCCATTTCCTATCTCCCGTTTTAAAATTAAGCTTAAAAGGTATTAAAACCTTTTTTTTGTAGATGGCCCGGCCCTGGGATGATGATTCGGGCTTGTGACGATGCGAGCTGCCGTCCATTCGTCATTATGCCCGACCCACAATCTGATGATAGCTGATGTTTTTGTTTTTCTAGCTGTCTGCGTCTCTCTATCTCTCTCCCTCCCTCCCTCTCTCTATCTCTCCCCACCCTCTGATCTCTCATCCATCAAGTGTCTCTCCTCACAAAGCTTCTGCCTCGCTTTTCCAAATATTTTCCTACTTGAAAACTTACGCGGGTTTAATAAAGAAATATATTTTCAAGCCATTGTTGGGATACTGTAAAAAAATCCAGTGTACAGCAAATAAGCTTAAAAAGAAATTTATGTACAATATGTAAATAGCTTTCAAAAGCGCTTGAAATCGTCGTAGTAATTCTTTAGTTTAGAGGAGCGTCGCGTAGTCTTCGGCTTATTTTCCCCATCCACCTCCGTAGGGTCCGTACATTCCATAGGGGCGTCCCCACATCGGGCGAGCCCACGGCGGGCGGGCCCATGGAGGGCGGTAGTACGGGCCGTACACTGGAAAGTCGCGTAGTTTGTATATTTATTTGTCTATTTTTGTTTCCATTCAAAATGCTAAAATGTTTAACATAAAAATACATAATTTCAAGTTTTTAAACGAGATTTAGGCTTTTTTTCCGTTACAATACGTAATTTCCGAGGCCCATACACTGGAAAGTCGCGTAGTTTATCGGGTTTTTCATTATTAAAATAAAATTAAAATTTTACATTGAAAATACATTAATGCAGTCAACTCACTTGGTCCACCACCCCAGAATTGAGCCTCGGTGACGAAGACGAGGCCGATGATGACCAAAAGGCTGGCGAGGAGTATCCGCTGCATCAACTGGAAGGTATCTGATTTTGATTTCGTTAAAAATGAGTTTTTGAGTGAATTTATTGAATTTCTGGGGTGTATACAAGCTAAAAAAGCTATTTTATTGCATTAATCCATAGTTTTAAAGTATTTTTATGGAAATTTTTTGCATAGTTTGCTTGCCAAAAGATCGATTTTTACAAAGTATCTGATTTTTCTAACTTTAAAAGGTTTAAATTGTTATAATGGCAAAATATAAAGCCTGGTATCTAACTAGTAAGATCAAAACATAACCCGATCAAGAGACCGGTTGAGTGCGTCTATCTAGAGCGAGCAAGAGAGAAGTGGTGAGAGCACGTTGTACCCCGGGTTTCCGCTCTTCCCTTATATGCCATCCCTCCCTCCCGTCACTCCCTCCATATCCCCAAAACGGAAACCACGAAAAGTTTGGCAAATCCCTGATCCTCAGATCGAGATCCTTGTCTGTCTAATTGTCTCTCTCCGTCTCTCTCTCTCTCTCTCTCTCTCTCTCTCTCTCTCTCTCGCACCCTCGCTCTCTATCCTCTATCCATTCAGCTATAGGATAAGCTTTCACGGTCAAATCCCCAGCTTGGGCAAGCCTTTTGAGAAGCTGATCGCTAAACTCGAATCGAGATCCTTCTCTGTCAGTTTGTTTGTCTAACCGTCTGTCTCTCTGCGTCTCTAGCTGTCTAAAATCTGGCTAAATGGCATCTCTCTGCTCCCTCTACCAATCTCGTGTTCTCTCGCTTCAAAAAGTAAAATCCTCGAGTGCGAGTTTGGCGAATCTTCGGTTTCTCCTCGCGGGATTTGGCAAGGAGGTCCAGGAATGAGTCAGCCAACCTCAATTTTGGGCCCCAAAAATGGGACTAGACTAGATTCAAGGAACAAGGAAGTGTAAACTAGCCTAAAATGTGTATTTTAATCCCGAAAAATTAATATTGGGTTGATTACCTGCCATTTCCAAGGTCTAAACGGCTAAAAAAGCGGAGAAATCGATAACTCAACTCTATTTTCCCCTCAAAGCATCTCTAAAAAGTGAATAGAATCAGTTAAGCTGTTTTTAAAATGTAAACTATCGTAAAATAAATATTTTGGTATACAAAAATCTGTATTATAGTTAGTTCCTGCCATTTTAAGGTATACCTGACCTCCATTATGCGCTAAAAATGCACAAAAACTCGATTAACGGCAAAAAAATGGTGCAAACTTCCATAAAGTGTGTAGTTTTTGAAGCTTTAATGTGCAAAATGGCCTACAGTATACAATATTGTGCATTTTGGCATCCAAAAATTAATATTATTATATTTATTCCCTGCCATTTGTCAAATATGAGCAAGTGAAATGAGGATCAGCTCTTCAGATCAATTGATAGTTGAGTGGGAAGTCTATTTCTTGCCCCATCCTCCCATCATTCCCATTCCAGGATATCCGCCCATCATTCCCATTCCTCTTCCGTATCCCATTCCGTATCCACGCATTCCGTATCCTCCCATACCGTATCCCCGTCCGTATCCGCCCATACCGCCGTATCCGCGCATACCGTATCCTCCTGGAAAAATGTGGTTTTTGAGATTTTGGGAGTTTTTGGGTTTTAGAACGTGATTTTTATGCATTCTGAGTCATTCTAGGTAAAATACCATATCTGCTAAAAATTGCGCTGTGGAGATTTTCGAAGCCTCAAAATCCTAAATTTAGAAAATTTGATTTTTTCGTTTTTAATAGATTGTTAAAAGCGAATTAAACTAGCCAAAATAACATATCCTACAACAAAAAGATTATTGAAATTGTTAAAACGCCATTTTAACGTCGTTTAATTGATTTAAATCTATTTAATAAACTAGTTAAAATAATAATATGGATCCGTATCAATTTACACAAAATTATGAAGATCTTTTAAACCCGTAAAACTACGGGTTTACATAGCATCTAACTCACCCCATTGGCACTCAACGGTGGCGAAGGCGATGATGGCGACAATAGCAAGGATAAGCCACGACTGCATGATGATTTGATTACTGTAGAAGGAGTGTTATACACTTTCTGGCTTCCCCCACTCCATGATACACCTATATACGGGGGTATCTGGGGGTCAGATCAGACGCAAACATCCCCCACGGGTCGCTTGTTCGCCCAGTTGAAATGTTTTTCATTAGGAAAAAGAGAGAGAGAAGGCGAGAGAGAGAGAGAGAGAGAGAGAGAGAAAGCAAGAAAACGTGTTATTGGGTTGACTTGAGGGCAATTTGGGGCGGATTTCTCATGAGATCTCCCTCTAGACATCATCAGTGCATGTCGCTGACGCGCCGGGGTTGGCCGAATCCAACAGGAAATGCGGTTCGTGCCTGGCCTTTTCTGGTCTCCAGTCATGGTCTATCAGAGATTTCGAAGCGGATATCGCCAATCTATCATCGGCACCTGAATCGACAGGCGCACCTGAAAACCTAAACTTTCCTCTAGCTATTTTGACGTTTTTCTAACGATTTTCGAGTGGAGGGTGCCTTAATCTGGCTTTCTGGTTGCCATTTTAGGCTATCCGCTTAAAGTGACGAAAATTACAGGTCTGCGATTGGTAAGTGGTCGAGGTTACCTGATTTTGCGAGGGATTTTGCGATTTATAGCTCGTTTTGTAGGGATTTAAGAAAATCGTCTCGACTTTTCTAGTATCCGCTGATTATCCTTGAGCAATTTTCGGGGCCTGGAAGTGGTAATTTGACGAGGAAACCTGAAATCCTCGCCGTGTCGGTTGCCTTTTGGGCCTGGGCACCTGAAATTCGGCTTCATGGATGCAGTTTCTCGTAACTGTCCATTGACAATGACAAATTTTGAGGCTGGGAGTAGTAAATTGACAAGTTTGTAAAAACTTTTTTGTAAAACAGTTGCATTATATTTGTTCGCAGTAATCGTTTGTACTTTGTAGTTTTTGTCCGGCCAAAACGATTACGCGAGGAAATCATCCAGTTTTTTGTTTTGGCACTTTTCCAATTGTCTAATCTAGTCAAATTCTTTGAAAAATACTATTTTATATTTATAATCTTTATTAGCAGTTATTCTTTGTAGTTTGTAGTTACTTATCCGGCCAGGGGTCCCGAATTTCCTCCCGATCCTCGGGCGGCCAGCTGACCTGGGTTTGAGGCGGGCAGGATTCCTGGAAATTGTTGAATTATGCTTTCAAATCCTCCATTAAATTTTGTAGATATGTACTCTACTTCATTTTTCAGGCTTCTACACGCGCACGACAAGTCGGAAGCCTCAAACTAGGAGCTACGACGTCCAAATAGGAAAAGTACAGGTTCGTTAGCTATGTTTGTTTAGGTGCTTTTGGAGTTTTGCGATGTGCCGTAGCTCGTTCGATAGAGTTTGAAATTCTAAACCAATCCCAGCGTTCAAAAATTGATGTACGATAACGGTTTAGTAGAAAATTTGCTGTTAAAGGGCCGGTTATGCCCGTTTTTGCACACATTAACAAAAAAGAGCGTTTTCTGAAAGACTGTCATCGTTTAACAATTTTGGAAGATAGGATTTGTTCAGAATTGCAAGCTCTATCGAATGAGCTATGTTACGTTCAAAAACACCGAAAGAAGGCGAAAAGAAGCTAAAAAAGGCTAACCTGCATGTTTTCATTTTTTGATTGACTTATTAAATTGTTAAATTTGCCTTATATTCCATTTTTCAGGCTTCGACACGCGTACTACCAGCGAAGTGTGAAGCTACAGGCTACAGGCTACAAACTACAACTTCAAAAAGTATAGGTTTGTTAAATTTTTTTGAAGTCTGGGCTGAAAAGTCGCGTTCAATTCTTAAAATTGGCTTTATAAATTCTTTTTTCAGGGTTTCTACACGCGCATGATGGTGAGACGAGCCAGACGAGCCCGGCTACAGACTACAAACTACAACGTCGACAACTCACCGAACTGGGCCTGGACGAAGCAGACGAAGGCGACGATCAGGAGACAGGTCTGCAGGAATTTTGACATATTTGGGGTTTTTTGAATCAAGATAGATAGGTCTTGGGTATAATGGGGATACAGAGATATTTATAAGGTTCTCAGACTGTTTACCATCCTCCTAAACGTGTTGTTATCGAGTTCAGGCTTTGTTCCAGATCCCCGGCTGTTTTTCTCTGCGCAAAAATAGCTGTTTGATCTTAGGTGGGGGACTATTTTTATCTGCGCGGCTCAATTTTCGGGTTTTCGTCGCGTAAAGGGCATTTTCTAAAAAGTTCAAATTAAGAATTAAGAGTAGCTTTTATGTTGACGTGAAAACGAGAAAAACTAGGTAATTAAAGTTATTTTGGCTCAATTTCCGATTTTAATTTTGTTAAAAGTTTTGTTTCACGCCGATTAAACTTAGATTTAACTTTAAAAGTTGCAATTATGCGAGAAAACCCTAAAAACGAGCTGATTAAAGTTATTAGTTCTTGTGTTCTGGCCAGTTTAAAGTAAAAATTAAGTTTATAGTTTGAAATATGGTCGGAAACTATTAAATTGCGGTTTCAAACTCTTTTTTTTTATTATCCTTGCGTTTTCAGTTTATTGCCGTTTTTTGCCGTAACAACTTTTTCTAGCCAATTTAGCGCAAATTTTAAGTTATGTAGCTTGTATTTGCGTCAAAATTATCAAGAACCGGTTTTTCTAGCGATTTTTCTTTTTTGAAGGTCTAGTACTTGAATAGAAAACGATTTTTGCCTTTTTCCTTCCAATAGCTCGTTTTGTAGTGTAAAATTCTTTGTAAAACAGTTTATAAAGCATAGATCTTTATTATTTGTAGATATTAGCGTTTTATTAAAGTACGATTCCTCCGCCATTCCCTCCAGTACCTCGGGCGGCCAGTTGGCCAGGGCTGCCGGCGGCGATAATTCCTAAAAATCACGATAAGGTTAGGATTTTAACCTTTCAAAGTAGGTACGTTTAGCCAAATTATACAATAAATACAACTGCTAAAGTTATAAAAAAAAATCGAATTATTTATAACTTTTATATAAACACTCACCAAATTGTGCTTGAACGAAGCAGATGAAGGCGACTAGGACGAGACAAGTTTGCAGGAGTTGAGACATATTTTGGGGGTGTTTGATCAAAATAGATAGATCTAATGTTCAAGGGGGATAGAGTGATATTTATACACCTTTTCTCAGATTGTTTACTATCCCTCTAAACGTGTTGTTATCGAGTTCATGCATTGTTTGAGGACTGTTTTTCTCTAGAACCCACGATAATACCTGTTTGATCTTTTTGGGGAAAAAAATTTCGATTTCTAATTCAAAACAATTTCGTTTTTGGCCAGTGTATATTTAGATTGAGGTTCATAGCTTGTATTTTGATCAGTAGTCTAGAAAAACCAGCTTTAACGTTATTTGGGCGATTTTTACGCGCTTAATTTTAGAATTTAATCGCGTAAAAAGTTTCATTTCTAACCCATTTACAGTAGAATTAACTTTATAGTTTATATTTTTATCGCAAAACTATAGAAAACGTATTTTAAATGTAATTTCGACTCAATTTTCGATTTTCATGGCGTAAACTTCTTCGTTTTTAGTTATATGAAGTTAGATTCGACTTTAAAGTTTGTATTTTGTTCAAAAAATCAATAAAAACTATATAATTAGTCTTATTGTCGCCTCATCTGCGCGTCAAGACGTTCAACATCGGATTGACGCTAAAAATTTGGGATTGGACAACTAGACAAATCGATGCCTTTCCAAACCTGCTTCACTTCATCGACAATTTTCTTGTCCAACACATTCTTGACAGTCGTCACCGACTCGGCCAATTTTTTAATCGCAATCTTGCATTCGTCGACGTCACGACGCACTTGGCCCTAGACGAATTGGTTACGATAAGTAAATCGCTTCTTTAGTGTTTAGGAAGCATTTTTTTATTATTTTTACTAAAATTCGCTATATTTCATGTTCAAAAACTATCGAAAAATCGGCCATTTATCGCGGCAAAATCGATGTTTTTAGAATTTTTAATAAGATTTGTAATGTTTTTCGCTTAGGGATAGTGATAACGGTTTAGAAAGCATTACACCATTTATATTATTAAATAACCAATAACGCTATATAATTAAGCCAAAGACTAAAGAATCACGATAGCTAAACCCTAAATTACGCTTGGGGAATTACGATAGCTAACTTCTAACCAATCACGCTGTAGAACAGTTCCCTCACCTCAACCGCCTGCTGGGCATCACCTCTAGCCACGTTTTGAGCGACTCCCGGGGATTGTTGAAGCCGAGTATAGGCTTCTTGTAGCTCTTTGATAGCGAGGTATCTCAAATTTTTGAAGGTTTTGGACGAAATTTTGGATTCTCTAACCTCTCCTCTTCTTCTTTATCTATCCTCGCGTTTAGTTGATGCTTGATGTTATCCGCTTTTGCTGATAGTTCGTTTAGCTAAAGTTTGCATTAGTAGGCTTGGGCTTCGCTTGGGTTTTAGGCTTAGGCTTAGGCCTAACTCACGTCTTGCGGTATCTGCTTCTCCACTTTGTCCCTTATCCTCTCCTGCGTCTCTTCCATTTCCTAAAAACCGGCAAAATAGTAGCTTTAACTAAGTTTAACTTTTTGTATCAATTTTGATAAATTAAACCTGGTTTATATCGTCCAATTTGTCGACTTGTTTCTTGACTTTATGAAGCTCCGAGCTGTCCGTCATATTTCCCAGCCTATCGCTGATTTCTCGCTTATCTTTGTGCAGATCTAAAGGTATTAAAAAGTATGTAATTTAAGTTATCCCTTACTTTGCTGTACTTTTGACATTTTCTCCTCCAGCTTCAGTAGCCCTTCCATCGATAGTTTGTTTTTATCCGCTGCTATGGCCTCCATTTCACGTCGTAACTGCAAAAACGTAGATTTTAGACCTATTTTAATGCAAAAAAAACGTCCTAAATCGAGGTCCAGTTTAACCGCTTACGTCACTAAACCGGGCTTTTTACGTCATAACTAGAAAAACCTAGATTTTTGGCTTATTTTAAGGCGAAAATCGACCTGGCCAGCCCGTTTATCCACTTACGGCATCAAAATCGAGCTGTGGCATCTTGACATTCTCCTTGCCCCTCTCGACGTCAGTTATCGCCTTTTGCAGTCCTCCCATATGCCCATTCAGCTTCTCCTCTATTTCCTGGACCTTTGAGAGCAGCCCTTTCTCGTGCAGTTTCCTAAAACATGCCTCATTTTTAGAATGGTTGGTAAATTAAGCTTTTAATATTGATCCTAGATTTTGAAACTCCACAATTCCGTATTCAAACTAAAAAACCACGATTTTTCGACCGAAAAACCGGTTTCTGCTCAAATTTCGACTTTTTAAATAGTTTCAACTTTTCTATGTAGATTTCAGGTTTAGATGAAAAAGAGCCACGTTTTACTAATTTACCTATTCTGCATCTCGGCGGTGACCATTTTGTCGAGCTTTTTATTCCCCAACTCGAGGTGATGTTCCAGTGCTGCGAGGGCTTCGTTCACTTTTTGGAAACGCTCCTTGTTCTTGTTTCGATCATTCTAAAGTGCGGGTTTAGGCTTGGGTTAGGATAGGCTTAGACTTGGATTTAGGCTTAGGCTTTGGATTAGGCTTAGGCTTGGGCTTGGGCTTTGGCATAGCTATACTGACCTGCACAGCTTTCCCGAGACTCTCAATCTGTTCAGCATGTCCATTCATCCCAGCCTCAATCCTCCTCCTCATATCCTCATCCCGGGCAGCGTACGTGTCGGCTTGATGCTTTAGCGCCTAAAAAGGTCCAATTTGACAGTTTTTGTCCGTTAGATAGCCCATACAGCTTCTAGGCCTGCTAATCGTTGATTCATATCATCGCGTAGCTTCTGTTGCGCGTCGTTCATCGATTTGGTTACCTAAAGATTATTCTTTGTGTTTTTTTATCATTAAAAGCCAGCTTTGGCGACTCAATGGTTACGAATTTGATGTTTTAGCTAGTGGCGACGCGCCCCCCCCCCCCGGCGGCGGAAAAAAAAAAAAGCCCCCTCGCCCCAAAAGACCCCCCCCCCCGGCACAAAGAGGGGCCCGAAACAAAACAAAAAGAAATAATAAACTGATAAGCCAGCACAGCCACACACCCCACACCCGGAAAGGACACACACACACAGCATTTTTATATATAGTAGGATTTAGGGTGTGCAAAAACATAGGGCATTTTTGGCCATAGCTTTTGTAAACTAAATGTCATTTTTGCTTGTTTTCTATCATTAAAAACATAAAAATCCGCTTTTTCCGTCTATTGAATGCAATTTGGATGTTTCAGCTAGTTTTTAGAGCTTTTAAAAAATCTGGAGCTCTTTTTTTGCTCAATTTTGCTATTTATCAATGGAATTTTACTATTTTAGAGAATTTACCGTTTTATTTTTTTTGGTTCTCGATTCGTCCCCCAGTTAGAATTCTGAGACGTTTGGAGTTCGAATCCGGTCCAAAAAGATAAGCCAATCGCCAATCCGCGAAAAAGTACAGATAAGAAAATGCCTGTTCGTCTGTTTTTTGTCTCTCTGTTCGCCTAGACTAAAAACAGGGTTTTTTTACGTAGCGCTTACCAACTTCATTTTTTCTTAATGTTTTTAGCTTTTAAAAACCTCCTTAGGTTGATTTTTTTGCTAATTGTCTGTTTGTAGTTATTCTACCTTTCCCGCGTCCCGCCTACCGTACCTCAGTCGTAATTAGGTGTATCTTGTCGTTGAGCCTCTTCGTTTCTTCATTCATCCGTTCTCGATCCTTATCCCCCTTCCTCGCCAACCCTCCAACCAGCTCCTGTTTCTGCTTGTCCTGATCCCGGAGTAGATCTTGTAGTCGTTGGATCCTAAAATATAATCTGGACTTTAAACTACAAGTTTTGCAGTTTTTGGATCTGGAAAATCCATTACGTTAGGTTAATAGGACTCTATTTTTAGTACGATGCTAAATCGGAATCGGTTACGTTAGCTAAGTCCTAAACGATTACGCAGTCGAATTCTCACGTCTCCTGTGCTGATCTGTCGGCTCTCTCTCGATCGACGAGCTCTTTCTCGAGCTGCTTTTGCAATTGTCCGACATTGGTGCTCAAATCCCGTAGTTTGTTGTCCAGTCGTTGATTTGTTTCGGCTATTTTCTAAAATTGGGGCGAATTAGCCAATTATCATGTTGTAATCGGTTCGTACATTCGGGTCGACCACTGGGCGTTGTTTCATCTCACTGGCCAGCTGCTGGAGATCTCGGCTCTGGCGATCAAGCATGCTTTTGATTCCCGAGAGATCCGTGTTCAGGCCGCCGACCTAAATTGAGTGGGTTTTGGGTCGGTCGGCGTTGTAGTTTGTAGTTTTTCCCCAGAATAATTTATGGGTCAATTTATTTTATAGTTCATAGCATTTCAAGCTGCTCTTCACAAATTGAGCTTTTGTAGGCCGGTGGGAGCTGTAGTTTCTGGGTTTTTGTTCCGGAACGCTACTTGATTTTGTGGTTTGTAGCCTGTAGGCCAGTTTATGCGGTAGTTTGTAGTCTATACGTAAAAGTGGTCTGTTTTTTAGCTTGGTTTTGTTGTTGTTTGTAGCCTCCTTCCCATTTCAACCCACCCTTCCATCAACCGTCGATACTTGTCTCCTCAAATCATCCAAATCCCTTCCACTGGCCCCGTTGTCTTGTGCTGTCCGAAGTCGTCGATTCAGCTCCTCCTGCTCCCGTTCCAGACGTCGTCGCGCTTCCTAGAATCCAGAAAATCGATCACTAGCGCGTTAAATAGTTAAATTCTCTTCAATCCTACCTAATGAATACTCTAGTTTAAGTTTAATTTATCCTTAATTTCCTAACTATTTTAATTTTTCTGATTCCTATGGAATCCCTGCTGGTTGACCCGATTTTGCAGCAAGCTAGCAGAGGTCTTAGAGGATTTGACTCAAATGATCTCTGCCAGCTTGCCGATTATTAGGTTTCGAGTGCGCAACCAAAGAAATTGGGTCAAAAAACTAAAGAATTGCAGTGAAAAAATAGTTTTCGCGCGTTCTAGCCAATTACGCTATATAATTGTAGGCGCTTAATCATTTGGCTTACATGGCCCTTTAAAAACTGCTTAAAAAATTTCTATTACAAAAAAGAAAAAATGGCAGGAAAAACTCGAATTTTCGCGCAGAGTCTAACCAATTACGCTATATAATTGTCGGCGCTTGATAATTTGGCTTACACGGTCCTTTAAAATCTATTATCCGACGTTTTTATAACATCACTAACCTGTTCATTGGACAACAATCCCTTATTCTGCCTCTGCAGATCGGCAATTTGTTGATTGAGCCGATCGATGGCCTTATTATCGGGTCGTCGATCAATAATAGTCTTTGTTGGCTGCTGAATGACGATCGGAGCCGATGAGGAAGCTGATCGCCGTGATCTCTGCACTCTCTTTGTCTCTTTTTCTCTCTCGATCTCTCGCTTTTGCATCGCGTAATCGGATAGACCGAGGTGCAGAGGTAAACACGGCAATCGGGGGATCGGGGAGAGGTTTTGGGTTCGTTGGCATTATCGGGGGTGGGGGTGTTTTAATGGTGTTCTTAATAAAATTTCACTAGTTTTAAAATGAAGAAAAACTATTCGCAAAATTTTTGTAATTTTAAAAATTCTACATTTTAGTCGAAAAACGCTCGTTTTTCGGCGAAAAATCCAATTTTTGTTTTTGTTAATGAAACTTTGTATTTTTTTACTTTTGGAAATAGTGAAAAACACCGAAGAAGCATCTTAGAAAAATTGGATCCTAAAATCTCGCTTTTGATCACTAAATCGGATAAACTGATATTTAGAAAACACGGCAATCGGGGATAGGGTAGTTTTTTGTAGGTTGTAGTGTGGAAAATCTTTAAAAATTAAAGCTAAAGCTAAGTCTTATTTAAAACGAGTAAGTGCTGCTAATAAGCCACCTGGCTGGCCTGCCGTTGATCGCCCGTCGTTTTCGAGCGCTGCACAAATTTGAACAGTTTTAAACCTATGAAAATCAATAGTAATCCAAGATTTAGTATAATAGCTTTAGTTTTGTAGTTTTTAAACCCTAATTTAAATCCCTATTTTCTAATTTGTCCAAAATCAAACCCTTGGCGGTGTGTAGGCGGTGCCGGTCTTTGGCTTTCGGGGTCCCTGTCCGGAGGGTCTAAATTTGATAATTTGACAAATTCAAAACAATTAAAAGAATTCAAATCGGGCTCGAGTTTCTAAATTTGTATTACTTACGCTAATCCAAGGATAATATCCTTTGCGGTGTCTCTGTTTTTGCTGCTATCCCGATCGCGGCTCCTCGACCTCGTTCGGGTAGACATCGTGGCGGTAGCTGAACTAAAACAAAGAAGAAATGAGAGTTTTAGAGTGTGAAAAGTTCAATTGAATGTTTGGAACGACGGAAAAATGGGCTTAAAGGGTCAAAAATTGAAATAAAAGTCAATTTAGTGAGGATATCTGAAAATCAACTACAAACTTCATGAAAACAAAAACTTCTAGATAGATTCTAAAGCTAAATTGAAGGTTATAAGATTAGAAAATCCACTTTCAAGGACGAGTGAAGCCTTATTGTGAAGAATTAGGTGCGCTAATGAATTCTGGAGGGCATCCAACACGCCCAAAGAAACAATATTGCCCCTCCGTTTGTACGTTTCCCGGCACGAAAAAGCTAGCTGCCCGCCGCGCCCGGGGGCATCCATAGTTACGCGCCAAGAAAAACGCGCTGCCTCGCTGAATATTTCAAAAGAGAAAAAGCAAAAAAAGGAAAGAATTCTGAAAGGAAGGTACTAAAATTCTAGCGTAAAAGGGTGATTTTTGCTTTGAAAAAATGTAATAAATGAAACTAATTAAACCTTTAAAAATCGTCTAAAATGCAATAATTTAAAGGGTCTAGAAGCCAATAAAACTATCACATATTTATCCCATCTTATCAACACAATTCAACGCGCAAAGCAAAACGTATTAATATCAACCAATCAAAAAGAATTGATGAAAACCAATCACAATTCGTGTCTTTTTTGCTTTTTTTCTAGAAGATACTAAAAACGGGAGTAGGAGCTGTTTTTTAATAGATACTAAAAGACGAAAAAGAAAGCTTAAAATTAGGGGAAGAGGGACCTGTAAATCACGTGGAAATCACCCAATTCGGAAGGCATTCTAGCCATTTTTTGGTAAAAAGGGGAAGATTAGAAGGATTGTTAGATTGGGGGATGAATTTTGGGGGGTAATGCATAAAGTATGGAGAGGGTAGATTAAAAGAGTGCAAAAACGGGCGGAAATCATTCGGGTCGTCGAGAGTTGTCGTGCTTATAGAGTGCCGAGCAGTTCCTTCTGATTCGCGACGGCCATCCCGTTGACCGCGGTGGAGATCTCCGCAACGAGGCCACTGAAAAAAACGAGATGAATAGGATAAGCTAGCGTAACCGTTTAGGAGATAGAATAGCTATCGTAACCGATTTGCCAAGATCTCTAGAACTTGCAAATTTTGACTGAAAAATACGAAAGTTTCATTTTTCCGAGGTGAAATGACTTTTTTGCGACAAATTCGAATTTTTGCACACTTTCCAAGTTTCCGAAATAGCTGTTTTACTTAAAATACAGCTAAATTTTACTAAAAACTCCAAAAATTGCTAAAAAGTCCTCGCCTGTACTCCTCGTATTTGTCGTAGGCCAACTCGGTCTTCTGGTACCGGTCGTTGATCTTGGCGCCCGAGTCGTCGAGAATGTAGCGATGCTTGATCGGCATTCCTGGAAAAGAGGGTGTTGCAGAGAGAATTTGGGAAAAACAAGGATCTGGCCATCTAGCAGAGATCCTTGCGGAAAATCCAAAAAAGGGAATTTTACAGCAGTCTGGGAAAAACTAGGTAGCTAGCAGAGTTCTTTGCGGAAAATCGAAAAAGAAAGACGGAATTGCAGCGTTAATTCAGGAAAAAGCAGGGATCTGGCCATCTAGCGGAGATCCTTGCGGAAACCTAAGCCCAATCAGCAAAAAAAACTGACCAGTCCATCCAGATTCGAGCGAGAAGGCCTCGGCCGGAGCGGCGGTCGTCGCCTAAAAAAGATAATTATATCCACAAAGTATAAGAAACGAAGTACGACGTACGAGGCACGTAAATCCGTATAAAACGTACCACATCATGCTTGTTGATGGCGTCCGAATATGCGTTGTAGCGGCTCATATACTCGTTGGTTGGCAGCGTGATACCGTCGTTTTGCGTCACGTCGATTATGCCCTGAAAAACTGATATAGTTCTCGTAGTTTGAAGAATTTAACGCGAAAAACTACAAACTACAAGATCTAGGGTAATCCGGAACGAAAAACTAAGAAATTTGGTTACAAAAAAAACAGACGAAAAAGCCCGATTTTCCGACTAATAGCGACGATTTTTCTTGCCAATTCAAATTTTTAAACTTTTTCTGGTTTTTGGGTCTGCCTGGGGGGTTAGGGAAGCTAAAGCTGCAGGATTAACGTGAAAAGCGACAAACTACAAAATCTAAAAATGAATACCTCCTGGGTCTCATTGACAATCCCGTTGAGCATGGCCTCCTCGTTCGGCTTTCCGGGCGTTCCGTAGTAGCCATTCGCGTCGGCACGATCGATCGGATAGGGGGTGGCACTAGCAAAACGATATATAAAAGAAAAATATCGAAACTGACTATTGATCGTTGCCGCGCACTCGAACGACATCGCCGTTCTCGTCCTCGGACAAGCGATCGTAGGCGCCTGAAAAAGCGTAAAACTCATTTATACATGCCAGTTTTTAATCTTAAACCGAAAAACGCGAAAAAACGCCCTAGAAATCGCAAAAAAAAGTAATTTACCGTTCATGTCATCCTCGGGGTCGCCGCAGCCACACAGCGAGCACAGCTTGCGGAAGAAGGAGGGCATCTGGAAAACGACAACTATATGAGGATTTTGGGAAAGCAGTTTATATAGAAAAAAACAAGTAAAAAGAAAGTAAAGCAAAATTTAAAGCGTACAGCGGCGCTAACGGACGATAGAAATGTCGATAGGGAAATACGGAACCTCTTTTGATCGATAAATGTTTTGTTTTATAGTTTTAGCAATATAAATAAGGGCTAAAGCTATATAAAACGAGGTACATTACATTTTACAATTGGAAACATTCATTTAACAAGTTTAAGTATGGCTCGATTACCTAAAATTTGACCTAGGTATCTGAAGCAGCTTTTTATGGCTATAAATTGGTTCGAAACCCTTTTAAGCTAACTTTATAACAATTTCTAACCTCAGATAATGATTTAACAGCTTTAAATCAACATTTTTAAGCCCAAACTTTCCCTAACCATCTTTTCGCGCTAAAGCCTCATCTAAAGAAGCTGTTCCCCATTCCAATATATCGGCTAGCTGTCAGCAAGCCGTGAAAACCGCAGAAAAAACATGCGCCCTGGGGATATGGACACACGACGGGTCGATTCTCTGGCTCGGGCCGGGCTGCCCTTTGAACCAGCCCCACCACGGCTACACCCAAATGCTCTAGACGCTGGTGATTGTGCGCCACCCTCATTCGATTACGCCGTGTATTCCGCCTCGTCGGGCAAATTGAGCCCGACAAAGCCTGGGTGGTGATGCAAAATGAGGAAATTGGGGCGGAAGTGCGGCTTTTCATCGGCTTTTCTTGCCTGCAGCTTCTAGAGGGCCTTGCGTTCTCTTTTTTGAGTGGTTCTGAGGCCTCTAAGGCCTTACTTTTTCGTTTTAGAAAGCTAAGAACTATTTTAAAACTTTTTCTTTTTTCTAGACTTTTTCTGAACTATTTTCTAGTCGTCATTCGTTGTAGAACGTAGAAAAAAAACTAGTTTTTATAGGGTTGCAGCGTTTTTCAAGTCCGTAGCTCAATCCTACTATATATAAAAAAATAGTGTTTGTGTGTGTGTGTATATTTGCATGCACTTCCGTTTGGATGTTCCGCACCTACAGCCTCAGGGAAGCATTTTTTCGGTTGGGAAGAAACGACATAGGGTAAAGAAGGGGCTGGAATCGACTGCACACACATAAAAGTTTTGAAAAATTGCTATTTTCGATATTAAAATTAGGTTTTTGTAAAGTTTTCTGCCAACCTCTTTGTTAGGAATCAATTAGCATACGCCGTAAGTGGAAATGGTTTATAAAAAGGAAGAGAGGGCGCGCTTTTCATTTTTCGGTGAGCGGTTTTGGCAAGGATTATGCAAAGTCAATAACTTCATCGATCCTAGACGGGGCCAGGGTTGAAAAGCCGCGAAGCGGTTTTTCAACCCTGGTTTTTGCTATTTCTTCAAAAATCCCTGGCCTAAATTTTTCCATTTTCGCAGTTTTTCGCGCTCCTTTACCGTTTCTCCTTGTTTTCCATTTTTTTTAAGTTGTTTTCAGCGCTGTTCCTACTAAAATCGACCGTTTCAGGTAGCCTATTTCATGAGGACGGGCCGGGGCGCTGATGGACGTGAATTTTGGCAAATCGGTGAGCGTTAGCTTTTGGAAATATCGAATTATTATCTATTTTTTTGCAGTTTCTGGCGCCTCTGGACTACAAGAGCCGCCCGCTGTATCCGCTCCCCTCTGAGGCCCTCGATTTCAAGGTGTCCAATGTGGTGCAGCCGAGACCGGCGTGTTCAGGTGGCTTTTTATAGGACTTTTAAAGAGTTTAAAGGAAAATTGTTGGAGATTTTTTCCAGGCTTGCGACCTTTTTAACTCTTTTTTTTTGCAGACTGTTTCCCTCAAAAACAACACCTCGGTCGTGCCAGCTACGTCGACCTCTTCGAGATCCCGAATTTTGGAGGGCTACCGTACCCGCTAGCCCCCGGCGCCAGCACTCCCTGGCGATTTGCCGCTGATTTGCGGTACGCCGAAAAATCGTTTTTTGATTGAGGAATTTTTGCTGTTACGGTATTTTTAAAAATCTATTTTATCCTTTTCAGGTACACGTGGAAAACGCCGCTCCCTCACAAATATCCATCCGTTAAAAAGGAGCTGCTAGATGGAGATAGGTAAAAATATAAAATTTTGCCATTTTATAATTGTCATTTTTAGAATCAACAACCTTATTGCCGTCCAATTGGCCAAAAACCCGAAAGACGAAGAGAAGTCGATCCGAAAAAAGGCCGTCAGTTGCTTCTACGAAATTCGGGCGACGCTGAATCGAGTCGTCTGCAAATTATGCGGTTATCTGCTCTTCAAGGTATGAGCTTTTAAAGGGAGAGTGACACTTACAAGTTTCTAGATTTTCCGACGTCTGATGACACGACTGCTCGTCAACCCGGCACAGATGAAGGAATTGCAGGATGCGGAAAAGGTAGTGGTAAAAAAAACTACTTGTCTTTAGCTACCGTAATTCGAGAGCGTAATTGCTTCGGATTTAGCTAGTGTAATTATATGGCGTAATCGGATAAATATACTCTTCCGAACTTTTCGAGCCTCTTTTTTCAGACTGGCATTCCCCTCGTCTACTTGCCCCTCCACCGTTCCCACCTCGACTACCTCATGATCACGTGGAATTCGTGGCATTGGGGCTTGCAGCTGCCACATATTGCCTCTGGCGACAATCTGAATCTCAGCGGATTCGGGTGAGTTCAATTCTTATATTTGCTGACAACGTGTCGGAATTCCATGCGTATAAAAAATTTTCCCAATGCCAGAAACTAGAATCTCGAAAATTACGCCCTTTTTGCCTTTTGTCGAAGTTGCAATATACGAAAATTAAAAATCATGAAATTCACTTGTCGAAAATCAAAATGCCGAGAATAGGAATTTCGTAAATCCGACGAAATATAGTTTCTCGAAAATATCGAAACCTCCGTTTGATTTTGAAAAATTATGATTTTGGCAAAATTAATTTCGACATTCGGATTTTCGATAAAATGAAAATCACATTTATGGTTATACTGAGCCATAGCTTGCTCCCTGCCACGACCCCTTTATCCATTTTTTTGCAGTTGGCTTCTCCGCTCGACGGGTGCCTTCTTCATTCGACGACGTCTCGATGATAATGACGCGAGTGGAAAGGATGATATTTACAGGTATTCCTGGATTTTATGTATTCTGTATCTTTATGTTTTTAGATATATCCTTCGTGCTTACATCGAAGACGTGTTGGGCAAGAAACTGGCGATCGAATTCTTCCTCGAGGGGACGAGGAATCGATTCGGAAAGGCGCTGCTCCCGAAGAATGGTCTCATCTCGAATGTCGTGGAGGCCGTCCAGAGGGGTACTGTAAATATGCGATTTTTGAGGAACATTAATTCTGAATTTGCCCGTTTTTAAAGAGATTGGAAGACGACTAGGGGTTTTGACGCGTACGCGACACGAAACGTTTTGATGTGAATTTAGCGACGAAATATTGCGCGCGTTGCGTAGCTAGGCGCATCAGAATCCATGGCCATCTTCACAAGTCCTTTAAAAGGGGCAATCTAGCAGAGATCCTTTAGGATCTAAGGCAGTCTTGCCTTGTCGGTCTCATTAAAATTACTGTATTATCATCATTTCAGGTACGCTGCAAGACGTCTACCTGGTCCCCGTCTCGTACTCCTACGATCAGGTATTCTCTATCTCTCTCTCTCTCTCTCTCTCTCTCTCTCTCTCTCTCTCTCTCTCCCTCGCTCTCTCTTCTATCCCACGAATTCAGGTACCCGAAGGCGTGTTCCTCAACGAGCTGATGGGCAACACCAAGCAGCGCGAGAGCATTTTTGGCGTCTTTAGAGGTACGCGATTTTTAGCAAGAAAGCTGTTTCTGATTTTTATTATTTTAGTTTAATTTTACGTCGATTTTCAGCCATCTGGAAGGGCTTTGGCGTGTCGCAGCGCTGCGGGGCCGTCAGGATGCACTACGGCAAGCCGGTGTTGCTATCGGTGAGTTTTATTTTTTAAGTTTAAACTTTAAAGGCGCAGTGACAGCTCGCTAATTTTGACGATTTTCAGGACTACCTCCGTTCTCTCGCCGATTGTTCAGCCATTCGCTCGGCCCACCCTCCGAAACAGCTCACCCGTCTTCCGCAGAGCTACTCTTATCGGTTCGCAATTTAATGCCGTAATCGATTACGCTATGTATATTTTAGTGAACTGGTCCCCTGGACGTCTTCCCAATCATCAGCCGAATACAACCGGGCCCTCATCCGCTCCATCGGCTTCCACGTGGTGTACGGTAAGCGTCAATAGGCGTATTTGGAACGGTTGATTGTTTAGCGACTTTAAAATATCGAAAATGGTTTTATTTAGTAATGTTTGTATCCTAAATTATATTAAATTCAACTGAATTTAAATGAAAAGAAAATGTTAGGCTTTTTCATTTCAGAGATTTTTTTGCATTAAAATTTTCGATTTTTTCGTATTTTTATGTATAAAAATATATTAAATTTTTTTTTGTATTGAATTTAGCCAGTTTTTCAGAAGCCCAAGACATTTGCTCGACATCGGCTGTCTCGATCGTGGCCTCCCTTCTGCTGTCAAAGTATCGAAACGGAGTGCCGAGAAGCCAACTGGCCGATGATTGTCTCTGGCTGACGCAGCGGATTCTCGCTAACGGAGGAGATGTAAGCTTCTTTCAAATTCGATTTAAAAAGCTATTAAATTGTTTAAATTTATGTTCTTTGTGTTTTGCACTTGAAATATTTTATTGATTTTTAATAAATTGAATTAGGTGATTTTAGGTGATCGGCTGGCGATCTGGTACGTCAACTGGCGAATTGCTGCTCCAGGAAGCGCTCCAATATTTGGAGGCATCGGTCAATGTCGCTGGAAATCAGGTACTGTAGTTTTTTTTTCTCTTTGATCTCTCACCCGGGGCGAAACTTGATGCTTCGAGACCACTTTTCGTGTTGTTCTGCCCACAGCGAGCGCTTCTGACCATGATTTTCTGAATCTACACATAAAACTTCGTCGAAATACGCTTTAGAATAATTTTTGTAAGATTAGAATATTTTCAGAAAGCGAGATCTAGCTTTCGATTCCCTCTAGAGCAATTTTGATGCTTTCAGACCACTTTTCGTGTCATTTGCCTAGGGCGAGCACTTCTAAGTATGATTTTCTGAATCTACGCACAAAGCTGCCTCGGAATACGCTTTAGAACAATTCTTGCAAGATTAGAATATTTTCTTCACCCAACTTGATAGTAGTTTTGATGCTTTGAGGGTACTATGGAAACCCTGGGGCTGACTTGCGCTAAGAAGCACAAAATCTGGCCGTAGCGAATTGTGCCATTAGAAAGAGTGAGAAAAATAGTACAGAAAAATGCTTGGTTGGAATCACAATAAAGCGCGGGTTGAATTCAAATGATTTTTTGAATGTTAGACTTTTATGTGGTTTCTGGCAAATAGGAACCGTATGTGGTCCATTTCTCTCTCTCTCCTTCTCTCTCTCTCTCTCTCTCTCTCTCTCTCTCTCTCTCTCTCTCTCCCTCTCTCTCTTCGCTCTTTCTCATTCTCCGTTCTTTCCAGATCTCGATAATCCGCACGCATCGTCAACTGATCCATCTGGCATACGCGAAGAATGGTCTCCTCTTCCGCTTCTCCCTTCAAGCAGCCCTGGGTCGGTTTTGTTGAAGATTAAATTTAAATAATGAAATTTAATCCAAGTTCTCGTTCTAACTTCATTAAAATGTGATTTTTCAAATTCTCTTTTCCAGCTCTGGTACTAACTTCTCACGACCCCTCACAGCCGATCCCCTATTATGGAGTGATTGAGAAGGCGCTATTGCTGTGTGATTGGATGCAGAATGAAGTCATGTTTGCAAAGGTAACGATTTTTTTAATTTTAGACGATCTAACTATATTTTTGATTGAGTTTAATATACTCTTTATTTTAATTTAATCGACTTTTTTTGCTTTATTTTCAAGTGTAATTTATATAAATTTTTCAGCCCTGTGAGAGCCTACGAAAGCGCCTAATGACAACGCTGGGCCGAGAGGGAATGTCTTGCCCATTCTCTGGAACAATCACTATCGACGAGGATGAAGCCGAAATGGGCGGTGGTGATGTTCCGGCTAAAATTAGAGTACGTTTTATTTTAAAGGGGTTGGCAAGGCTGGATTCTATGCATCTTCGTGCCTCTGGATACGTTAGGGTTTTGAAACGCCCGCCCTTTCATAGGGTAATCTATTACGCCCGCTTCGCGGCGAAAATGCGCAAAAAATCTACACACTACAACTACAATTAGCTAGCTTTTTTCGTCGCGCCGCAACACGCAACGCGTGCGTCAGATTTTGCTGCGAAACGGGCGTATCGATTACGCACTATAAAGACGATCAGGCGCGTTGCGTTTCGCCGCGCGCTAAAATGATAAAACGCTAAATTTATGAGGACCAGACGCATAGCGCACTCCAGGCTTTCTCGTGCCTAATCGATTACGACCTCTCCTGGGTATGCGTTACGTGTTGCGTCGCGGCATAACCCCGAGAGAATCCATAGCCTTGCACGTCCCTTTAAAAAGCCGTTATTCTTTCCAGATCTCGACCCCTCGCCATGCCGACGAGCTGATGTTCTACTCAAATTTCCTGCGCCCTTTCGCCCAGACGTTGTACATCGTACTCCAACGGCTTACGGTAACGAAGGAGCCGATTAGAGGTCGGTTTTAGAGGAATTCAAGCGCGTAGCTGAATTTTTGTCATGTTAGCGGAGCAGGATACCTTAATTTTGAGGGTTTTTTAGCTGGTTTGAGAGGCTTACGTGATTTTTTAGCAATTTTCGAAAGTTTTTGAAGAGTACCTGAAATTTAAATTGCATTTGTTTAGTCTAAAAAATTGTTTTTCTTTTAGAAATCGACTTCACCCGTCAGCTAATCCAGCGCACGCTCGCCCGACCCGCCTACGATTTCCCATTTGAGCTGATGGGTGAGTTTTGAATTTCTAAAAATTACCTAAATTTTTTAGTGGAGGCGATCAACTCGGACTCGATCAAGAATTGTCTCCGAACCATGCGCGTACACGAGCTCATCCCAAAAGGTGAGGATTATAAAATTTAGGGGATTTTTAGTTATAAAATAAATAGGAAATCTTTTTCGATAGGTAAATTGTTAATTCGACTTATTTTTCTATGATTTGCGATATTTCTAATAATATGATAGCAGGTATTTTAAATATATTTTTGGTAAAATTTAGCTAGACGTTCAGCGAGAAACTATTTAAGAAACCAAGCAAGCTATCTAAAATTTTAATTTTTTGCCCAAAATCGTTATTTTTCGTTTTTTTTTAATACAACTCTGTAGCGTTTTACATTTAGGTATATTGAAAATCGATATAGAAACACTTTTTAGTTATGCTAGCAAAATTTGGACTATAAAAACGCTTCTCCTCGAAAAAACCTATCTATTTTCGTATCTGATTTTTCAGATGCCTTTCCGTGGTTTAAAAAAATAAATTTCTTCGCTATATTTGTTAATCTCAAGACTAAATTTAACATATTTATTTTCTCATTTTCAGAAGGCCAACTGATCTCGGTGCTTCAGCCAGAAGCCCTCACCGAAGCCCTCACATTCATCCAATCTCTCCTCAAAGTGCACTTACAAGGAAAATGACGGCCGCAACGTGCTCGGATTTCCATTGCGTAATCGAATAAGCGCAGTCAGTTTTTGCTTGTTTTGTTATTATTATTATTATCGCATGATATTTATTACATAAAACCCCGTTAGTTTATTATGTAGAAATGATAACTAGAATCCTTGGAGTCCCTAGAATTGTTAGAATCTCCCTTGCTTGATCTGTTTGTTGAACTGTTGCATAATTTTCGTCTTTCGTTGCTTGTTTTAATAGAATATAAAAAATGGAATAAAAATTAATGCATATTTTTTAAAAGTGATCACGAAGCTATAGATGAGCAACAGTTTTTGCATGTACATTTAGAGGGATACTGTAGTTTTTTACGGGCTTTAGGGAGTAGACACCTGATTTCAGGTGTAGACACTTGTAGGGTACCTGATTTTTATTTACCTATCGTAATTGGTTCCTGAATTTGATTTAATTATCGTAATGGCCACCTGATTTATATTTACCTAGCGTAATCGCCTCCTGAACTGATTTAGATAGCGTAATGGGTACCAGATTTTGTATTTACCTATCGTAAAGGGTCCCTGGCTTTTAATTACCTATCGTAACTGATATCTGATTTTTATTTATCTATCGTAACGGGTAGCTTGTTCGTATTTACCTATCGTAATTTTGTACCTGTTTTTTCATGTACCCCTGGTGTTCTTGTGTTCTTTGACTTCGGTTTAGGCACAACCTTGAAGTCGCAGGTCTCTTCCCTACTTTTCAAGCCCCAATTTCGCGATTCCGAAAAGGTGTCGAGACAATGGGGGTGTTGAGGACAACCAAGGACATAGCTTTTCTTTAGTTCTCTCTTCTTTCTTTCTCTCTTCTTTCTTTCTCTTTCTCTCGCTTTCTCTCTCTCTCTCTCTCTCTCTCTCTCTCTCTCGATTGGACAATGCGCGATCTGTTCTGGCTTGATTAGCTTCTTCACGGTCACTCCTTTCCCCGCAGATGTGCTTTGATTTGAGGAGGGGAAGCGACGGGAAATGACCATCAGCTGACGGGGTGAAGCGGAAGTGGAGTTTTTAAGGCTTAGGCTTATTAGGCTGACGAAGCTAGCTGAAGCCCACTTACTTACTAGGATTGGTTAGGCTCGGATTGGATTCTGCTTAGGCTTAGACTTAGGCATAGGCATAAGCGCTTGCTTCGTTTAGGCTTAGGCTTAGGCGTAGGGTTAGACACAGGCTTAGGCTCAGGCATAAGCTGTAGCTTATTGACATCGACTTCTTAAGATTCTCGCCTTGAGATCCAAATCGGAACTTGGCAGATATTAGCGAAGGGAGAGGTCGTTTAGATGGCTTTCTGGATTGGCCGAGGGCTGTCAATTGGAGTGTCGCGTAGCGGATGGGAAAATTGAAATGTTTTTGCCTAATGGGCTTAGCTTAGGTGAAGTACGTGCAAAGTGGTGGGAAATTTTTACTTATTAGAGGTCTACTGGATTTTTTTCTTAGGATCGAAGTTTTCATAGATAGATAGTGGAAGTGTTCTAAATGGCTTTTCGAATTCCCAAACGGGAAAACTTTATAAGTTTGTATCAAAAATAGCGATTTTTCGACCGAAAATGTTTTTACAACGACGAGAACGATTTTTTTACAAAATTTAGGCTTTTTAAAAAGTTTTTAGATAGTTTTCTGGGTTTAATATAGTTATATATTACGAAAAACACGGTTGTACACTTTCTATTAGGTTGCTAGGTATTTCTAGACTTATAAAAAAGTGCGCCCCCCGATAAAGCGAAAGCACCCTGTTCTCTGATTAGCTTATGTTAGGTACAAGCTACGTTTCCACCTGCAAGCCTGAAAAAAAAGATAAACAACAACTATTGTCTTCTCTTCTGCGGGGGTAATCAGAGCTACGGGGTACGCCTGACAACAAAGGCAGGCCGTCAATTGGAGTGTAGTGGAGGGATGGAGGAGAGAGACGAGAGAGAGAAAGAGACGCAGAGAAAAAGAGAAGCTCCGCCGACGGATGCAAACGGATATTCGGTTCCAGTTTTTTAGGGGTTTCGAGCCTAGCAGCGGGCGTTGAATGGCAGATGGCAGAGGTGCGAGAATGTACATAGGGTTTTAGAAGTGATTTTTGCGAATTTTAGGATTAAATGGCGTAAATGGCTTTTCTAGAAGGAAGAGAGTATGACATTAACGTAATTTTTCATAGTTATAGGTTTTTGTAATTGTTAGGAATTAATGGCGTAATTAGATGGCGTAAGGGGTTATTCCCGATATCGTTGATTTATCACTGTAAGGAATTAGGTGGCGTAATTGGATGAACCCGTTAGGTATTTTCGAGAATGTAAAGTGAAAACCCTATGGAAATTTTCTTGTTTTACGAGTTTTAGGATTTCACGGCGTAATTGGAAACAGTAGGTTACTAAGGCAATGCGCTTTTAGCACTTTCAGCAATTAGATTGCGTAACTGTATAAGCCCGCCAGGCATTTTCGAGAATGACAACTGAAAAACCAATTTAAATCTCTTGTTTTTACTGATTTTTACGAATTTTCGGAAAATATAGCGTAACTGGCTAGGTATTCTAGAAGCTGGAAAGTGTGAATTAATGCAAATTGTGCCGTTGACTAACGTTTTGACTTTTACGATGCCTACCAATTTACATAGCGTGTTCGATTCCGCGCAACTTGAACTTAAACAGAAGCCTTTTGTTCTCTTGCCAATCAGGAAGTATGATTTCTCCAACTAGAAGACCTTGAATCGCTCGATTGGTGTGGGAGTGCGGCATGACCCCCACGAAGAGGGGAGAAGCCATCAAAAGCCGCCTGTGGCATCGGGGTGCCGATAGTATTTTCGTGTACTGGACTGGCAACAAGGGGAGAGAGAGAGAGAGAGAGAGAGAGAGAGAGAGAGAGAGACAGAGGGTGAGAGATTGACAGATTCGCTTTGCAATTGAGCCAAGCTGAGAAGTGTAGCTTTGGTTACTGTAGCTGCAGAGAGGCAGGAGGTTCTTTAGTAGTATCGGGGGGGGGGGGGAGGGGGCAAAACTTTTTCGAGAAGTTCAGAAGTGCTCAGTAGCGTAATAGTGTTTTAAGTAAAACCTAATTATATTTTAGGGAGAAAACAATCAGAAAAAATTTTATGCGAATTTTGGTCGAAAAACACTGTTTTTGGTCGAAAACCAATTCTTTTTCGCATTTTTTAAAATAAAAATTTGTCATTTTTACGTGATAAATTAACTACGAAATATGTATAGACGCTACAGTACTACGATATGGTACACTGGACACTTTTGAGGTAGAGGTCTCTGGTAAAGTAGTTGCACGTTGGCTTGCGTTTTCTGAGCCTTGATGCCTTTAACCTGGCAGATCTTTGCGTACTGAACTGAGTGAGTGACAATAGAACGAGGGAACACGACAGAACGACAGACAGACAGACTGACAAACAAACAAAACTCCGTTTGTAACAGATCGCCCTCAGGCGGAAGAAGGAAGAGGAGGAGCAGGAGGCAACGCTGACCTTGAAGGGCAGTGTGTGCAGCCCACGCATCTCTCTCCCTCTCTCTCTCTCTCTCTCTCTCTCTCTCTCTCTCTCGCTCTCTCCCGCTTCTCTTTTTTCGCAGTTTTTACCCGATTCGGGTTCGCATTTGCCGTGGGGGGTTGATTGGGGCAGTGGATGTGGAGTATATAAGCCGAGAAGGTGGTACCTTCAAGCAGACCTAGTCTCCTACCAACAATGGATTTCGAGCATCGAGTCAAAGGTACGGTAGTTTACTCTTTACGGCTACAGTACGATTGAAAAGCGTAGATTTTTGGCAATTTCGATAGTTTTTCAAAAGCCTGATTTTTCTAAAGATTTTTGCAAAATATTACCTTTGCAGTAAGAAATAGCGTTAAGAGTACTGAAGCGGAATACAGTATCCTTCATAGCGTTAAGAGTAATGTAATGGAATACAGTATCCCAGAGGGTACCTGATTTTTCTAAATGTTATTTTTTATAACCAAATGGAAAAGGAAACTAAATTTATTTTAGGACTTTCGGAATCCGAATTAAGGCTTTAAACAACTCGTTTGGACTTAATAACATTAAAAGTGCTGTAGCGGAATACAGTAATCCTTTTCCCGTCTAACCGTATCTTTTTCAGCCTACAAGTTCGTGGCCTATTCGGCCGTGGCCTTCTCGGTGGTGGCCGTCTTCTCGGTGTGCGTCACCCTGCCGATGGTGTACAACTACGTCAACCACGTCAAGAAGACGATCAACACTGACGTCAAGTACTGCAAAGACTCGGCTCGCGGAATCTGGACCGGAGTCAACGAGCTGAAGGAGATGCCCGCCGGCAACAGGACTGCCCGTCAGGCCGGATACGGAGATTCCGGAGTTGCCGGAGGATCTGCCTCGGCTGGAGGAGGCTCTTGCGACGGATGCTGCCTTCCTGGACCGGCCGGAGCCGCCGGAGCCCCCGGAAAGCCTGGACGCCCTGGAAAGGTACAATTTTTGGGGTTCTTTGGCATTATCGGGGGGTGGGGAGGGTTTGAAGACTATTTTACGAGTTTTTTCGTTGAAACAAGCTATCTTGAAACTAGAAAGAGCATCTAAAAACTTTGGAAAATTTTGGAAGAAGTCGAAATTCGACTTTTTTGTCGAAAATCTAAGTTTTTATATGTTTGTAATAGAAAGTTTTTACGTTTAGAAATGGTAAAAAACAGTTGTAAAATTGAATCCCAGTCAAAAAAAGTTGGTCTTTTCCGCATCCCGTTACGCCATCTAAATTCCCCCTTTTCAGCCCGGAGCCCCTGGACTCCCCGGAAACCCCGGACGCCCGCCACAGTCTCCTTGCGAGCCGACCACCCCTCCCCCGTGCAAGCCTTGCCCCGCTGGACCCCCCGGCCCTCCCGGACCCCCTGGACCTTCCGGAGACGCTGGAGCCCCTGGACAGCCCGGACAGCCCGGAGGAGATGCTCAGCCCGGACAGCCTGGACCCAAGGGACCCCCTGGTGAGCTTTTCGAGTTTAGTGGGTTCGGGGAATGGGATTGGTACTTTAGCCTTATCGGGGGGACTCGAAATTTGCTCAAAATCAACCATTTTTGTCGAAAAATCGAGATTTTGTCTTTTTTTTGCAAAAAATTTGTAAAGTTTTACGCTTTAGAAATAGTAGAAATATTTGAAGATGCTTTCGCTATTTATATTAGCAAAATCCCCCCCCCCCGATAATGCAAAATAACTCTGATTTTCCTCTGGTCTCTCCAAAATTCCGAAAAATTACTAATTACACCAAAATACGCACTGTTATCCAGTTTTTAACTTCCCAATTTTTCAGGACCCGCCGGAAACCCCGGAGCCCCCGGAGCCCCTGGCCAGCCTGGAGCCCCCGCCCAATCCGAGCCCCTCGTCCCCGGACAGCCCGGTCAGCCCGGACAACCCGGACCTCAGGGACCCCCCGGACCTCCTGGACAGCCCGGATCTCCTGGATCTCCCGGACAGGCCGGACCCAAGGGACCCCCCGGACCCGATGGACAGCCCGGACAAGACGGAAACCCCGGACAGCCCGGACAGGCCGGACAGTCTGGAGCCGCCGGAGAGAAGGGAATCTGCCCCAAGTACTGCGCCATCGATGGCGGAGTCTTCTTCGAGGATGGAACGCGCCGTTAAGCTGGCAATTCACTGCCAACTTTTTAGTTTCTGTACTATATCGACAGATAAACATGTCTTTCACAATTTGCATCGTTTTTTTCGGGGAATTACACTGTGTAATTTGCACCGCATATCTCTTTTCGGTGCTCCGATATACGAACAGTCCGCTGGACAGTCTTACTGTAGTAAAGATTATTTTTTTAGTCAGCATGGAAAAGCTCGCTGAGTAGAGAATTGAAGGAGCATGAGGTTAAAAATAGATTTTTAGGGCCTTTCGAAGCTTTTGAAATCCGGTAGTCGACTAATTTAGCTTTTTAGAACTGCGAAAACTCCTCTGCACAGCCTGGCTGTAGGGAAAATTACGTTTTCCGTGCATGAAAAAGCTTTCCGGATGGAGAATGGATAGAGCATGAGGTTAAAAATCTATTTTTACAGCCTTTAGAAGCTTTTGAAGTCGGAGACCCTAATGCTTTTACGCTTTTCATAAATCCCCACCTATTTCTTATCAAATTTCGCCTCTGGTTTGGCTTTTTAGCTTACAATTTACTTTTCTTTTTCTCGTTTTCACTCACCGCCTTTCCTTTCCTTTGTTGCGGTTCAAATATTCTTATTTCCAGGTAGTGCCATCGACTACGACTCCCTCGACCTCAAGCTCGGCTTCTGCGATGGGCTGAAGTCGAAATTGTGCCTAGCGTTCGCCAGGTGAGCTTTTGGAGTCTAGAAAAACCATTTTTCTTTTAGGCTACAGACTACAAACTACAGCAACCTGGTCGCGAAGCCAACGGTAGTGTTGTGGTCAAGCCGATATTTGATGAAAACGTCCATCAGGTGAGCTTTTGGTGCTTAGAAAAAGCTTTTGGGTTTAGGCTACAGGCTACAAACTACAATGGCCACGTCCCGATGAAAAAACGCGAGCCAGGTAAGCTTTTGGAGCCTGGAAAAACCCTTTTCTTTTAGGCTACAGGCTACAACCTACAACGGCCACTACCTCGAGTCGATTGCCTAGCAGAGATGGTTGTGACGAGAATCTCTAGGTATTTTGTATATCTTTGTGTTATTTTGGGGTTTTCAGAGAGCAGCCGGTCTGCCGCTCAATTAACAGAAGCTCCACCCCTTCCAGATGCCCGTTCGCTTCAACTTCGACAAGTTCAACGGCCGGATGCGGTGCTTTAAAGTTTGGATTAGAATTTTTTTAAACGCAAAAATTAGTATGAGCTATTTTGCTATTAGACTTTTTTGGGCTTAAAAATCCGTGTAGAGCTTTTCTTTATCTTTTCTGTGGGTAATTTGTAATTTGTTTGGCCTAAACTTACTTTCGACTTTTTATTTCAGCTTTTGCTACCCAGTCAGTAGTTGTTATGAGTATTATGACCCATCCTGCCCTGCCATCCGCTTTTCCCATCCCTTCACTTCACTTCTCCCGGGGTTGAGCGATCGCCTTTTCGGCTTTTTGTCGTGTCGAGACCCGGGCCATGTGCCCCCCTTTAGGTCCCTGACATGGCACACACACAAATATATATAACTAGGGTACCAGATTTAACTTTTAACCCTGAAGTTCGTTTTTTTTTACTTTTTAGGATTTAGTAAGCTTCTAAACTGTCCAGAAAAGAAGCCGCTTCGTTTTACCAGCTATTAAAGTCAGTTTTTGAAGCCATTGTCGTCTTGTTTCCAAATTTTTTAGATTTCGTAAGCTGTATGCTATCTAGAACAGAAGCCTCTTTACTTTCTAACAAGCTCTCGAAGCTCTCGAAGTCGGTTTTTGAAGCCATTTTTGTGGTTTTCTGGCTTTCTCGAACTTAGTAAGCTGCCCAGATGAGAGGCTGCTTCATTTTCTAAGCTCCCTAAGCCTGTTTCGAAGCCACTTTCGACTCTGGCAACTAATGGATCCTAAGCTTTCCCATGCACAACATCATGACTGGGTCATGAATCGTGTGGTGTGTCCGGGCAGGAGCAGCATGGCACGGCTGTCCGGAAAATCAGATAGAAAGACAGACAGACAGACAGAATGACAGACAAACAGCAGCGGCCATTTGATCTCTTCCCTTGTCCACCTATCAATCTGACTCGGCCCCGGGCCAACCTGCCTCCTCTGCCACCAGATCTCACACACTCATCCTGCTACGCTGGGCACCTGTGCACATTTCCGGTTTTCGGGTTTTAAAAAAAAACCGAACTGTTTTATTGGTTTTGTAGTTTGTAGTTTTTTATTTGGACTCTATCTTATCGATTTACAGCTTCTAGATAGTTGTTCACTTAATTTTTGAAGATTTCTTTGACAATTTTTCTGGATGAAAATTTTTTGTAGGTTTATTAGTTTGTAGTTTTACTATTTGGATTGAATTTTATCGATCTAAGGTTTCTCTATAATTTTTAAGTTTTAAACAACTTATTTGAAAGTACCCTCCTAGCGTAATTGATTTTTTCGATTTCGAGTTCGATCTTTTTTTGGTACTGTGCTCTTAGCAGGGGGGACTAACTTTTCCCCCGTACGGTCCTATCACAAAATATAAACCATTTTCACACCATTTCACAGTTTTTAGATGCAAAAAAACGGATAAAAAACTCATAAAATATTTGCGAAATTTTTGACTTTTCAAAAATGTTTAAAATATGATTTGTAGTATTCTAGCAACCAAAAACTATAAAGCCCCCTATGGAAATCCAATATTTATTCTAACAGGTCGGGTAATCGACCGGAGAACAAAGATCAGTTCCCTCCCCTGCTAACATTCCAGTACCATTTTTTCACCTTTTTACTTCCAAATCTCCTAGAAGTTCTAGCCTACCTCTTCTCTCGAGCCAATTGCCATTATTTTCCGCCATCCCGAGCCCTTCCCAAAAGCCGTCTGGCACCCCTTTTTTTCGTGGCCTAATCGGATAATGCCTAGTGGAGAAATGTGGGGAGGAGGAGACGCCTCTCAACAAATCCCCCTGTAGCTCAGTGGAAAGTAATACGTGCGGATTTCTATAGCATCCTAAAGATTTCCCTTTTTGAGAGGCGTTGGCGCGGAAAATGTGGGATTTGGGCGTCTTTAGGAACTTTGCGGAATTTTGATCGATTCGGTTCTGTTCTGTTAGCGGGGGACGGTATTTAGCAAAAAAACATTTTCAGCGTTTTATACCGTTTTTTTGGCGTTTTTTATCACAAAAAACTCAGAAAAATCTTCTGTAAAAATTGTAAAATTCGAAATTTTTACCTTTTGCGGTCATTTTTCATTAATTTTTTTTAACGAAAAAGACACGTTTTCGAAAACTTTGTTAATTTTTTATGAACCTTCTATACTTAAACACAACTTTACCTTGATTTACGCCCCCCCCGCTAACAGAACAGAACCATTGTTTCTGGCACATTATTTTAACTTAAAAATTTTAGGCCAGTTTTCGACGTTAGGTTAGCTGATTAAATAACTCTAATTAGATAGAAAGGCGAGAGAAAGGACGGAGAAAGAGAATAAAGAGAGCGAGAGAGAGAGAGAGAGAGAGAGAGAGAGAGAGAGAGAGAGAGCGAGTGCGAGAGTGAGAGAGAACGAGTGCGAGAGTGAGAGAGAGCGAGTGCGAGAGTGAGAGAGAGCGAGTGAGAGAGTGAGAGCGAGAGAGAGCGGGAGAGTGAGAGAGAGAGACGCCCCACCACTGCATGTGGCATAATCGGGCGTGTCGCTTATGCGGCTGATTGGTGCCCCGATTGAATTGGGGGGATGGGGCTCAGTTGGACGAGAGACCCATCTCCACTCCCTCGTCACATACCCCAGGCCACATAATTCTGCTTCCATGTCCCGCATTCCCTTTTCCATTTCGGCATGATCCGCTTTTTCTGGTTTTATGACGTAGGCCTGGGCTTAGGCTTAGGCTTCGGCTTGAGCTTAGGCTTAGGCTTGTGCTTAAGCTTTGCTTAGGCTTCGGCCTCACAATCTGTGCTTCTCGTATTGCCGAAATTCGGGTGGTCGCTCTTGCCCCCTCTCTTGGAGCTCGTTTCTGATGCATGAGGTGAGGTCGAGAGGGACGGCTGTCCCCAACTTCCTAAATTCCATGATTCCAAGGCATCGAGGTCGTCTGTTTGCTGTCTGTATGTCTGTATGTATGTCTGTCTGTCTCTCTCTCTCTGTCTCTCTCTCTTTCTCTCGCTCTCGCTGTCTGTCTGACCCTTTTAAGCATTTTTTGACATAAACTCTTATTTCAAATTCAGGCGTCACTTCAATCTCCAGCTTCTTTTTTGGCTAGTTTCTAAAAAAAACGAACCCCCATCAGATGAGAGAAGTTTCATCGGGTGAGGAGAGTGAGTGGTGCTCCTCGCTCGTTCTCTCTCACTCCTCTCTCGCTCTAATCCAATATCAGCCCCTTCACCCCCATCTCAACACACACAAAATGTTGCCACCCGATGCTTCTTCTCACCCGGGCACTCGGCAATTTGAGTCCCACTCCCGCTTCAAAAAACAAACATTCGCATCGATTAGCAAAATAGAATGATTTAGGTGCCTAGGCAATTGGCCTGGATTTTAACTGGTTACTGTAGGCCAAGAATTTGTATTTAGAAAATGAATTAAATGGCGTAATCAGTTCGTAGTTAAACCCTGGGGTATATGATTTTTTCGCTTTATTTCGGTCTTTTTTGCAAATTACCGTAACCACGCAGTCCAGTTTCCACCAAGATAACTATCTAGGCCACCCCCAACAACCCTTTACATCCCTGGGGCCACATTTTTATGCTAATTACCCCGGGGTGCTGCTGCGGGGGAATAAATGGCCCGTTAGGGGATCACGGGAAACACCGTATCCCTCTCTCTCGCGCTCTCTCTCTCTTTCTCTCTCTCGCTCTCTCGCCTGCAAAGTCCATTTATGGAAATCAGAAGCTCAGCGCTGGATGGGGGTTGGGTGTCCACATTTCGTGGCCTTTCCATATCTAGTGCCAGGCTAATGATCTCTGCTCGCTTTCTCTATTTCGCGCTCTGTCTCTCTCTCTCTCTCTCTCACTGTTATCCTAAGGGCCAAATTTTGCTAATATAAATAGAGGTAATATT